CAAATTATTTTTTTTATTCATTCAATATTTTTCTACACATTTTAGAAGGATTGAATGTTTGAAAAATATGTACAATTTTTTAAGCTACTATTTATCCCATGGGGAAAAATATTTGAATTGTTTTTATAGATGATATATCACCTAGAGAATTTTAATTCATAGCAATTTTTCCTTTCTTTTCCAGTCAACACCTGGCAGCTTGCTTGAAATAGGAAGTACATCTGGAAACAGTTCTCTTGCAGTAACCTAGATCAGTGGAGTATTTTTTATGGGTCACAGTTTGAGGTGATTCCCCAGTTTATGTGTAGTTTGAGCGTGTTTGGCGTATGATGCAACATGCGTATTTTGCCCGTGTCGTGTTCTCAATCGGAAGAGAAGAGGTAGCATTTTTCCTTCTCAGCCATAATTTCCTGATGTTCTTAATAGGAAAATCTCAATAGTCAAGTAGTCAACAGTGCCTTTTGATACTGTAAATCGTTTATTGCACCGATATTCTATTTATTCTACATGTTTCTTTGAAGTTTGAATACAAACATGTCTGCGGAGCTGGAAGGTGTCAACCTCTTGGGTTCTGGCCGTTAAAAAAGGAAAAAGATCCTAGTCCTCAAGGAACAATTTGTAATTAATTGCAAGGTACTGCTTTATTATTGAAAATGAAATATTAAAACAAAATGTCTTGCCAAGCAAGACAATCGAAAGTTTACCTCTATTTTTTGTCGTACGAACACTCAGACTATGGAAGGTGAAAATCATAACTATGAACATCTGTTCAAGGGTATGGTTGGTACGAAGGAAATGGAGGGTTAGGGGGAGGAAAAATTTTAGTGAGCTCGTTTTAAAAAATTGAAAAAGTAGGGTTATAAAATTTTGATGAAGAGAAAATATAAGATAAAAGAATTAAAAAATTAATTAAAAAGTTTTGACTTCATTTTTTGAACTATTTGAAATGACCTCATTAAAATTTTTTTCTCTTCTCTCTCTTATTTCTCTCGTACCAAACGGATTCTAAGAGAGAAATGTTGCTAAACCATAAAAAAAAAAAAAGTGATGATGGGTCTGTATGTTTGCATTTTAACTGACTGCTAGTGTGAAAATGAGCAATATTGACCTTAACAAGGAAGAAGAGAGGGAAGTATTATTTTATTTAAGGGAAAATGACATTGAGGTCCCATGCAACACAAAATACTACAAAAAGGTCCCAGGAAATTTGGTAATGATTCTGAAGTCCCAAAGGGACTTCAGTGCAATTTGATGAATTGCAAAATGACGCCTCTGCCCCTGGTGAAATGCCCTGTTTTTCAGTCTGAAAATGAACACTCAGTACGCAGGAAGCAAGAGAGAAAAAACCCAAACTTCATTCTGCTTCTTCCCTCATTCCCATCTGAAAATCTCATCCACTCTATTAATGTCAATCATTGGCAAAAATCGCTTGTGTTTTTGGTTTGGTGTGTGTTTGGTCATTCAAGTTGGGGTTTTATTATAGGTGGGTAGGGTGATTATGGGTGTTCTGTTTCTGGGTATATTGTGGGTGGATTGAAGGTGGGTTTGCTCTGTCTGGGCATGGTTTAGGGGGAACTGATGAGAAAGATGAATGTTGGTGTGATTAGAAACCCTTACTGCGAAATAGGAAAATATGTTGTCAATAGGGCCGCGACAGTTGTCAATATAGCTCCTTGACTTGTCAATAATAACAGCATTGTACAGATTTACATTAACTGATTTTTTAAATTTTTTACACAAAGGCCATGACCTTCTGTACCCTTGACTCATTGGTAGAGGTCACAAAAAGAGGAAGAAGAGGTAACAAAGAAGGGTGAGTAGTTACATGAGGCAAAAAAAAAAAAAAAAAGCCACTTTGATCCTAGACAAATATGGCAAAAGAATTTTTTCATAAATAGAAGTGACATAAATTTTTTTGGTAGATGTCACAACACACACAAATAATTAGTTTAATACTGATACATGCAACTATTTGTTTTTTTTAATGGGGTTATAAAATCAGTGTAATTACATGTATATGAAGTTGTAAATGAAAGTTAACTGTGTATTACATTCTGATGCATAGTTTGTTGTCATTATCCGCACCCTTCATTGTCAATACATGCTTCGTCACTTGTCACTCACTGCACCATCAGTTGTCAATTAATGTACTGATATAAATTTTAAAAAAAATATGATTTTCTTACATAATGTTATACAACGTCATACAATATCACTAATTCCTCAAAACTAATATTTTTTATAATATGATATAGAATAGCTATTAAAAGTCAATCATCACTGATATGAAATCATAAAATCACTTGTCATAAACAACATATTCACTTGTTAATGGTTTTGCTCTGTGCTGATGTTAGTTTAGTAGCAAAGGAAGAAAAAGATGAAGGTTAGTGTGGGTAGAAACTCTTAGCACGAAATGGGATATTGTGTTGTCAATCAGGCTGTGATAGTTGTCAATGTGTGCCCCGACAGTTGTCAACGTAGCTCCTTAACTTGTCAATAACAGTTGCATGATTCTTGATGCAGGTTTAAATTACTGATGGCGAATACATTTGAAAAGCATCTATTTTGCTTTGTTCACATAGAGAGAAAGTTTATAAATGATAGAGAAGATGATATGAGATATGTGGGAGGTAGTGTAAGAACAACAGTATAAAGGAGGGCACAAGTTATGAAGAATTGAAGAAAATTATATCATCAATTGCTAGAAAAGAAAGTGACTCATTTCTTTTGAAATTCTCAGTTGTGTATAGCTCAACAGCATCCGGCGTAGAAATTAACAACCTGAGTTATCCAAAATAACAAGTAATATAACATAAGTTAATAACAAGTGATATAACAATTTTATAACAAATGAATGTGTGAATATTAATAATTAATGTCCAAAATTTTTATAATTGAAGGTGTCATTTATTTATAATGTTAAGTGATATTTGCATTAAAATATAATTATTAAGAAGAAGGTGTTACTCAGATTTATGTTCAATTGATAAAAGACAGTGCCTACATTAACAAGTCACAGTACTCTATTGGCAAGTCATAGTGCCACCATTGACAAGTTAGTGTGCCACCATTGACAACTGATAATCCGCTACAGCGTCTGACCATATCTGTCGCGGCACCCCCATGTTCCAAGGAGTTGCCATTCTGTGTAAGGCACCGGGGCACCTAATCATATCCGCCGCAGTGCCCAAACCTTTCGAGAAGTTATTCGGTGAACAACAAGTCACAGTGCTACCATTGACAAGTCAGTGTGCTACCATTGATAAGTCATAGTGCCACCATTGATAAATCATAGTGCTTCCATTGACAAGTCATAGTGCCATCATTAACACTTCATTAATAATAATTATATGTGACAATATAATCAAAATATAATATGACAGAGTAATTAAAAATATCATATGATACTAAAACAGGTTATGTAACTTGAATTCATATTGTTGACAACTTATATCAGCAAATTAATTGACAAGTTACAATGCTCCATTGACAAGTTATAATAAGTCTAATAACAATGTAGGGTGCGAATAATGACAATTAAAATGACAGCAGAATCTAACATGCCAAGTTACACTGAAACCATTAACAAGTAAATATGTTGTTTATGACAAGTGATTTTATGATTTCATATCAGTGATGATTGACTTTTAATAGCTATTCTATATCATATTATAAAAAATATATTAGTTTTGAGGAATTAGTAATATTGTATGACGTTGTATAACATTATGTAAGAAAAATCATATTTTTTTTAAATTTATATCAGTACATTAATTGACAACTGATGGTGCAGTGAGTGACAAGTGACGAAGCATGTATTGACAATGAAGGGTGCGGATAATGACAACAAACTATGCATCAGAATGTAATACACAGTTAACTTTCATTTACAACTTCATATACATGTAATTACACTGATTTTATAACCCCATTAAAAAAAACAAATAGTTGCATGTATCAAGTATTAAACTAATTATTTGTGTGTGTTGTGACATCTACCAAAAAAATTTATGTCACTTCTATTTATGAAAAAATTCTTTTGCCATCATTTGTCTAGGATCAAAGTGGCTTTTTTTTTGTTTTGCCTCATGTAACTACTCACCCTTCTTTGTTACCTGTTCTTCCTCTTTTTGTGACCTCTACCAATGAGTTAAGGGTACAGAAGGTCATGGCCTTTGTGTAAAAAATTTAAAAAATCAGTTAATGTAAATCTGTACAATGCTGTTATTATTGACAAGTCAAGGAGCTATATTGACAACTGTCGCGGCCCTATTGACAACATATTTTCCTATTTCGCAGTAAGGGTTTCTAATCACACCAACCTTCATCTTTCTCATCAGTTCCCCCTAAACCATGCCCAGACAGAGCAAACCCACCTTCAATCCACCCATAATATACCCAGAAACAGAACACCCACAATCACCCTACCCACCTATAATAAAACCCCAACTTGAATGACCAAACACACACCAAACCAAAAACACAAGCGATTTTTGCCAATGATTGACATTAATAGAGTGGATGAGATTTTCAGATGGGAATGAGGGAAGAAGCAGAATGAAGTTTGGGTTTTTTCTCTCTTGCTTCCTGCGTACTGAGTGTTCATTTTCAGACTGAAAAACAGGGCATTTCACCAGGGGCAGAGGCGTCATTTTGCAATTCATCAAATTGCACTGAAGTCCCTTTGGGACTTCAGAATCATTACCAAATTTCCTGGGACCTTTTTGTAGTATTTTGTGTTGCATGGGACCTCAATGTCATTTTCCCTTTATTTAATTGTATGACATCCTGGCATGAGATACTTAAAAAAGCGAGTGCAGGGAAGGCAGGCGGAGAAAATCTTTACAGATAAAATTTTTTCTTGAATTAGAGGGGGCCGCACCAACGAGCAAGATTAATTAGCACAAAAGCATGGGGTTACGAGCAAGATCAATTTGCGACGTTCTATTTATGGGAGAGTTTTTGTGTCACTAACTTATAAAGTTATTAACTTACAGATACAAACTAGTTGCTAGAGAAGGCTTATGATGGGAGAGGAGGTGAAGATTGGCTTTTCCTTGGTTTCTTCGTGTGTTCCATTTTGACAGGTGCTTTTTCTTCTGGGTTTTGCCTCTCCCAGCATGGTCACTATGTCCCTCATGGATGGTCTTTCCTTCGGAAGCTTTGCCGTACAGAGAAGCGCAATTCGGAGCACGAGAAGCATCTCTTCTTGGACATGCCTGCACCTACCCGCTATGGTGGGATCTAGTGCTTCTTCCAACCCTCCGTTGCTTCTTTTCTTTCTTACCCATGCAACTATGTCTCCACAGTCTTCGAATGACACGTCTAAAGGCTTTTTCCCTGTTATGAGCTCCAGAAGCACTACGCCGTAACTGTATATGTCGATTTTCTCGTCCACTTTCAGAGTATATCCATATTCTAAGAACCAACACAACAGCCGAGAAATTAATGTGAGCATAATGTTAATTTTCCTCATTACATTATAGGACCGCAGATTTCACACTAGTAAAAGACGAACATATTGAAAGCTAAGAAATTTTTAGGTTTGATTGGAACGTTATCCTTTTTTTTAAAAAAAAAGTGACAGAAGTAATTTGTGCGCGTTCAAGTCAAGAATTTATTCATCTATCTAGATCAAATTACGTTCCTCCGCCTTTTGATGATAATTTAATACTGACCTGGGGCGATGTACCCGTAAGATCCCGCCACCATTGAAACAGTCTCATTCTTGTGGATCAGCATTTTTGCTAATCCGAAATCTGCTATCCTCGCCTCCAGATTTGCGTCAAGGAGTATATTGTTGGACTTGATGTCTCTGTGAATAACTGTGGGGTGACAATCATGATGGAGGTAATGGAGGCCTTGTGCAACTCCAACTGCTACGTTATACCTGGAAACCCAATCTACCAGTAACCTTTCTCCTTGCTTTCCATGTAGTGCTGTCCCAAGATTCCCATTGGGCATGAACTCGTACACCATCATCACATCCCTTTCGTTGTGAACATACCCCAACAGCCTCACAATATTCCTATGCCTCAGTCTCCCCAGCAGATTCACTTCTTTCAACACATCATTACCATCTTCTATGTCTGCCCCTGACCTCCATAGTTTCTTCACTGCTACTGTTACATGAGGTCTATGAATTTCAGCTTTATACACAATGCCAGTGCCTCCCATGCCTATAATATTTGTTTCCTTAATGCATGTGAGAATCTCGCTGCTTGTGAAACTCATCCTTTGAAATGCTACTAATCTCCAAGGCCATTCTTCATTGCTGTTTTTGAACCAATCATGGACGAAACTGTTGTATAAGTACCATTTATTGTACAACCATCTGCCCCCAACATATGCAATGCCCAGAGACACAATTACTGAAATTCCTGTGATAAAACCAACCATAATATGCTTTGTGCGCGAGGTCCTTCGCTCGCTTCCCTGAATTGATCTCTGAGAACATGGAGGAAGAATGCCTCCGCAGAGGTTGGTGTTGTTTGTGAGATCGTTAGGATTTATGGTCATCAAAATACCATTGGAGGGCACTGGACCCTCGAGCTTGTTGTAGGATAGGTTGATCGTTTCAAGAGCTGGGGAGAGGCCAAGGTTTTCAGGTATCCGGCCGTAAAGTGCATTGTGGGAGAGATCAAGAGTGGCTAAGGTGGGCATGTTTGCAATTGATTTCGGGATTTCCCCAGTTAATTGGTTGTTCCCGAGGCTCAAATGGACTAGTTTTTGGCAAGAAGCAATGCTTTCTGGGATGTCTCCAGATATAAGGTTGTTTGAAAGATCCAGCACGGAGAGAGAGATGCAATCCTGGAACTCACCTGGTATATTGCCTCCCAAGTTGTTGTTGGATGCAATGAAGGTTTGAAGGGAGGGAATAGAGAGAATTCCAGAAGGTAGAGATGATTCAAGGTTGTTCCAGGATACATCAATGAAAGAAAGTGAAGCGGATGAAGTGATATCTATTGGAATTTGGCTGGTAAGATTATTCTTGGCCAATTCCAGCCTTTGAAGGTTTGGGAGTTTTCCGAAACCAATTGGAATAGTCCCAGATATAAGATTGTTATGAATGCGAACACGTGCCAGAGATGAACAATTTGAGATCCCGCTTGGAATGGAACCGGAGAAGGAATTACTGAAAAGTATCAGTTTGGTGAGATTTCCAGAAGCACACAAACCTCGCGGAATTTCTCCTGATAATGAGTTAGAAGACACATCCAACCACTCCAGTGGAGAGTTCTGTCCAAGGTTCGCCGGCAAAGGGCCTCGTAAAGAATTTTTCCATAGCTCAAGTACTTTTAATTTCTTCAGTTCCCCAAGCTTTTCTGGTACCAAACCTGTTAGTTTGTTTCTCATGACATTTAATAGCTGCAAGTTCTTCAGCTCAGCAATTTCCTCTGGGATCTTCCCTGAAATCTTGTTATCGGACAAGTCCAGATACTCCAATGACGTAATGTTGCCAATCTCAGGCGGAATCCTTCCTTCAAACTTGTTCTTGTACAAGAAAAGTGTATTAAGCCTTTTCAACTTACCCAATTGTGGTGGAATCTGTCCACTGAGACTACTCACAGCCAAATCAAGGTACTGGAGATTGGTGAGGTTGCCAAACTCTGAAGGGACCTCTCCTTCAAACTCATTGTACCCAAGAATTAGTGTCTCTAGAGAAGCAAGTTCTCCAAGTTCTCCTGGAATCCTCCCTGTAAAGTTATTCCCTGAAAGCCCAAGAAATTTGAGCTTCTGTAAATTCCTGAAACTAACGGGGACTGGACCTTCGAGGTAGCCCCCACGAAAATCAATGCTTTCGAGCAACGTTGCATTTCCAAGATCCTCTGGAAGAAAACCCAAAAAGTTATTACTTGACGCGTTAACTAGTCTCAATCCTGCGGCATTCCCAAGACCCGTAGGAAAGCTGCCAGTGAAGTAGTTCTGGCTCACATCAAAGCTCTTCAAGGAAGTGAGATTGGACAGTGATTTTGGCAATGAAGAAGCGAAATTGTTGCAACTTACGTTGAAAACAGACAGACTAGAAAGTGCTCGGATGTGGTCTGAAACACGACCACTAAGGTTCATGTTGGAGAGGTCGAGACTCTCTACGAAGCCTTTAGAGTTGCACCAAACCCCTGTCCAATTACAGTGGGGTGACCATGAACCGTTACGGCTCAGATTGGTTGGTGGCTGCCAATTCTTCAGATGCTTCATTGGATCAACGAGACTGGATTTGAATGAGAGAAGTGTTGACAATTCATCACTAAATGCAGATTGAGCTCCCTCGGCAAAAACAAGAGAGAGGCCAATGAAACAGTGGAATAAGAAGAAGGGCTGCATTTTAAGAGGGTCTTCGTTTTCCTGTGAGTTGGTTCCACTTAAAAGTATAGCATTTTGCAGAGCAGGGAACAGAGGAAGAAGATGGAGTGCTGGGAGTAAATATAACTAGAAGTTCTGAGAGACAGATTAATTTATAGTTAAAGGCAATGATAGACCAGTTTAATGGATCTACGTGGGCACTTGGGATCCGGACCTGCTAATCATGTGCAACTGATGACTGTCAATCTTTGGACTCATTGGAAATATCCTCGACATCATAACATGCACAGAATGTGTTCCAGAGCTGCTTGTTCTTATAATAAGGTCAACACAAGTGAGCCATTTATAACTGATTTTTAAATTTTAATCTTTTTTCCTTAACCCTTTCTTTTTCGTTTTTTCTCAGGCTTTATTATCAAACTTTCAGGGAGTATTCTCATATTTCTGCTGTATTGATGCAGAAATAACATCATATTACTCAGACGTTGTCTTTTTCCTTCATCATGATATCCGAGACAAAGCATTCCATATTAAGCACATCACTCCGTTCAACCCATAAATGCCCCATCTCAAAGTTACGTTGGTGAACCAAAGATGACCCCGTTTTGAGCGATCTGTTGGCCTTATTTACTATGGAGATAAAAAAAGAGACAGTTTGGAACTTTCTGTTTAAGTGTGACAGAAGAATAGTGCTTTAAGGGAATGTGTTTAGTAGCAATCATTGTCTGTGGCACCAAAGCCCATTCCCTATTATCAAGCAATTGCAATATCCCATTGCTTGGCCACCACATGGGCACATCTGGCTCTTGTGCAATTATTGTAGTACTGTTATCTTTCTTTTCATAAAAAAATTTGAGTGCGTAATGTGAGAGAAGATATTGAACTTTTCTTTTTCAATCAGAGGTTAATAATTTGATCCATAACCAATGAAAAGGGAAAGGCTGGATGCCATGTGAAACGGGAAACTTCCAGAGGGAGGAACTTGGTGCCCAACTACTCATTATTGGAAAATGGGAATGATTTTAGCAAAGGAAACTGGTTTCTATTATTTTCTGACCATTTGAGAATCAGAGAAATGTCCAAAGCTCAGGTGCCCCACATGGTTTTGTGCCAAAGTTGGGAGACCCACCACCGCTATTAATCATTTCCTCTATGGTGAATATTCTATATTCTAGTCGCCAACCACAGGTTGGCTTCGGTGCCCGACGGTCCTCATTTTTCAATCAAGCAGAAAATACAATAATTTCTCTTTACGTCTACAGTTATCAACAATCATTTTTAACGAATAATTATTCAGCCTTGTTTGAATTTTAACGGGGAAATTTTCAATGTTTATGAGTGAATATTACAAGCGAAGGAACGGATATTGCAAAGCTTGAAGGCTCAATCCTTTTTTTTTGGGTTTTGTTTTGCCATCAGACATTTAAGAATGTCATTTCTTTGGGCCGTGTCCATTGTAAAGTTCAATAAAGTAAGTGTAGAATTCGGGTTAATGGCATCTAAGCATTATCTTCTCAAATACTCTTCTGGTTCTATTTAGAAGATAGAGAGGAGAAATTTTTTTAATCCTATTTATAAGTCATTTTATTAAATTTTTTAGTATGGATGTACTATTTTTTCTTTTATTTATTATAATATAGATGTTTTTTTTAAAAGTGTATATATTAAATAGGGATAAAATTAAAAAATTGTTATATTTTAATAGAGAGTTAATGCAGTTTAAAGTTTTTTTTAGTTTGTGAAACATGTTGAAAGTACCTTATAAATAGGATTAGAGAAGTAAATATTAAGAGAATGACCTCTTTGTTCTTATTGACAAACAGGATGACAACTACGGAATTGGCATGGAAAGGAAAGCTTATTTTGCCGGTGTTTCCATTTATTTTACCGTTGTAGGTTTAAAAAAAAATCGTAGTTATGACTGAAAATCCTATATTTGTATCCATTTAAGTTGATATTTAGAACTGTGGCAAAAGAATTTTTATATTTAGAACTTATTTTTTTTAATAGGATTTTTTATGACCTCAAATGATAGGACTTAAATACAATTCTCTTTCGTCTTTGAATGTCTTCACCGTCAAAGGCACAAGACGATTGTTCGGGCTTTTTTTTCTTCTTCTTTTTGCTTGGATCCACCGACGAGGCAAAGCCCAAATATTGGGCTTCAGACGCGTGGTCAGGTGGCAGCGGGCTAACCCGGCCCATAAAAATACTAATCCAATTAAAGGGCCGGTTGGCCCAACAAATAGAAAATTTGGAGACGAAGAGGCACTTCTCTTTTATTGGATTCTGCAGGTGGTTCTGTTTCTAATTGACTTAATAATGGCAGTGATCTGATGCAACAATGATAATCACGGGCAGCAATTATTTAAAGAAAAGAAGGATAATTAGTGGGAATGGGATGAGTCACAAGCCAGTAGAAAACTTTAAAATGATCGGCTGGTTTATGCCCTCTTTTTGGTCGTAGGTGGGCGTCACTTTCCACCAGGTGGCCCACGATCCTCCTTCCTTCTTATCTAATCAACTCGATTTATATGATATTATCAAACCACGCAGTGGGAATTTTGGATGCTACCATCTGCACACTTAAATTACAATCATCCTTATCTTTAAGAGCCAGTCACCACCATTAAGCTTTTCACAAACATGCCCAAAAATTACAGGCCATGCCCCTCTTCCGCTGAACCTTCGCTTATCATAATCAAAGCAGGTTCATTGTTAGTATCAGATCAGTTTAATTTTAATAGACAGAACCCTCCGCAATGCAGAGAAGAAATTCTCGGCCGACACACCAGACAGCATTAATCATCGTATGGCATGTATTCACGTGTTATTATCAAAAGCCGTAGTTTTAATTCGGTGACTTGTGGTGAAATGATGCGGTTATAATAACTTGATGCGGCAAAACATAAAATATGCCCACTCCACTCGCCTCTATTGTGATTGTTTTCCCCTTTGGGTGATCGTCTTCAATTGATGCATGCATATTTAATTAGCATCCGCATGAGTCATCTTCCACAAATGTTGGACTACCTCTTCCTTCCTGCCTTCGACTGCGACCCACAACACTGATGTCTGTAAGTGGTGGCACTTTGCGCTATGTCCGTACGAAAGACAGCCAGGATCATGTGCTTTTGTTCTCTCAGCTGATGTGAAGTAAATAATCGTCACCCGTGTCCTGCACTTTCTGTGGCCTAGTTCTAATATTAACCTACGAAACGGACCCCGTTTATTTTTCAGAAAACATTCGGGTTTCGTCTTTCTTGATTTCCCCCACCAGTACAGCCTGATGCGCCAAAAAAACAAACAGAAAAAGAGAAGAAAATGATGGGATCGAACCCGGTTGGACAATGGATTTATGATTAAGAACACAGAATAACTGGGCTCCAATATATAGGGGAATAGCACTCGTACAGATACAGGAAAAGTGGCAAACCAAGGAGGGGCTGAAGAGTTTGTTTGATTCTTTGATTGCCCAGATTAAAAAGACACAGTAAAAGCAGAAATTTGAGATTCAAAGACAAGGACCAGTGTATCATCTTGTCGGCAACCAAACAGGGGGAAACGTACAAAGTGAAAAATGGATGAGAATGAAAAGCCAAGCATCAGACTTGCCTCGAGGACTCGTTTCCTCACCTCAGGTCAGGCTTCTTTATCAAGAATCATGGTTCCTGAGCAATTATTGGCCACGGCTCCAACTCCACCAGATACTTGAGCTTGTACCTCCTTCTTGTCCTCAAAAGCCCCGTCATGATCTCCTTCGCTGCGCCAACAAGACCGAGTCCGGCAGAGAGGAGGAAGAACAAGAAGAAGGTGAGTGTTATTGGGGAGTTGCGGGTTGTATTATTTATAAAGGGCCATAGATTTCTCAGCCGTGTGCGAGGGAGTTATAGAACGAAGTAAAAAGACAAACCTACAAGGCCGGGGCCATTACCGTATGGACAAGACTTAAAAGTGAGGGATTAATTTGTCGCTTAACTTTATTACAAATGAATAAACTTATATCATCTGCCATGTGATTAAATGTTTTTTTAAAAATTTACACAACACGCTTTCATTGAGTATTTGTATAATGATGTGTGTATTTTTTTCAGTAGAATAATGATGTGTATTTTAATTAGAAGAGACGAGGATCGCGCTTTACGCCGGCTCCGCTTTTAGGATGATCGATTTCACATTACAGTTAACAATTCCTAACCACAGCAAAGTTCAGCGCTAACAAATCCTTCTAAGATTTTAACTTAGCTGGACACTAACACTGTTGTTATAATATCAACAAGGAGAATTATTTTGTTGGGCGTGTTTCTCTTGCCCTTAGAAGTTAGAATGGAGTCTACACGCGCTAAAGCCTTGTTTTTTTTTTTTTTTTTTGTTCCCGAGTTTTAACTGAGCCCCATGAAGAGATGGGAAGAATAATGCGGAAGTGGAAGAATAAGGTAGTTGATGGACAAGTGGCAAGAGTTCCACTTGTCAGGACCTGACAGTGACTTAATAATGCACATTCGGCAATAATTTCATTTAATTGCGATTTTCCAAAACGCACATTCGTGTGCAGCCAATCAAGAATCTCCATAATGAAGCTACTTCTAATTTATTATGCTAATTTGGGGTGCTAATCCGTTTCGAACTTCTTGTCACGTGTCAGACATTAACACCTGTAATGTTCGTTAATATAGTTGCGGCACGGAAAGTTTTTTTAACAGTGGACTACTATATCTATAATAATATCATTATTCTTTCCCAACGATTTCATTTGATAGGGATTTAATTTGACCAATAATTAATAGGGATTTCCTAAGTTTTCAACCGTCGACTAGGTCTTAGCTGCTACTGTTTAATAGATCATTCTATTGCTTTCATTCCTTTGCAGTCATTAAAACTCGAAGAAACGTGACAAATATACACATAGTAGCTTTGACGAATATCAGAGCTCAGAGTTATGAAATATAAGTAAGGGAAAGATGCTGTGGAAGATGACGGTGCCAATGGACCACTGTGAGGGATCGGGGTTAATCTGAATCTTCGATGTAAAAATATGATTTTAGTCAACACATAACATTACGCCACAATCATTCATTTTAATATTCATTTATTATTCTTTACACTCGAAGCTTGCTTTTAAAACTCATTTTATTACTTTTAACATTTTTACTCGTATTCCTTTTTTAAAAAGGATTCATTCAAACCTTCCGGGGACCAAAAATTAAAAAAAAAAAAAAAAAAAAAGGCTTTCAGATCTAGCATACCAGACGGGTCCGGCTTGGTTGCTGACTTTTTTAAGACGCACGCTTCCTAAGGGCGGCCTTGGCAAGGCTGAGCTATCCGTCCATCATTCATCAAACCGTGCCTTTCAATCCCAAAAGAAAAGGTTGGCATTAGTCATCTTCTCATCCTTTCCCTTCTTTTCCGTTTGTCGTTTAGTTAGCGGGGATGACACCAACAACTGATTTCCCAAATCCATTGTCACGGGGCCCACCACTCCTCACATTCTCCTTCTCATAGCCATTTTGCACTTTTTTTCCTAACCTTTTCCTCTCAGCCATTTTGCATTTTTTTTCCCCTAACCTTTCCCAGTCATTTTACATGGAAGGTAAAGAGAATTTTCTAGATGGGATTCATGATCCTATATACAAGTTACTCAAATTATTTTTTTTTTCCCGAATATTACTCTAATGTAATTTTTTTTATAATGTAAAATAAAAGTGAAATTGAAAATTTTTTTCCAAAGTTATTGATAAGCATAAGCACACGAGGGAGTATCATAAAATCGCTCAACAACAGAAATTCTCAGAATTTATCGTGACCCTTAGACTCGTCCGCAACAATCGCATCTCAGAACAGATCATATTTGCATTCCAATAAGTGGTTCAGAAAAATAGCGTTGATGGACATCAACTTTCTGCATCCGCATGCATCCCGAGCAAGCATTCAACTGAAAATAATAGTGATCTCAGCACCATTCTTACAATTTGTAAAAATCAGGAACCTAGTAATTACCAGTACAACGCTACGACGGCTGTATCGAAGCCTTCATCTAACAATCTATGTTTTGGATCACTGCTGCCTCAAATTTCTCATACCTGAAAAGAGACGGGTAGGAAATTGAGATGACATAATATCAGCAATAATGAGCAAAGAAAAATGTACAGGTAAAATATTAGAAAATTTAAAGATATAAAAAATACCCACAGGTAAAGCACATTCAGTAAACAGAATGACACCATATCTCTGAATCGCAACATTCTGTACGAGAAAGAAGAGGGATAGCATGAGATCCGTGGCCCTTATAAAATTTGCCACCTGTTTGTGTATCTGTATTGCACTATGTATACTCATTTCAACAAGACTAGCAACCCAAAATAAAGGCATGCACTTCAGCCCAACTGGAGACCGTGTAAAGAACGCCCGACAAACCCTTCCAAATGGAAGAGCTTTCGTCAATGTACTCCTTCTGCTTCCCAACCAAGCCAGGAAACAATGGGACAAATGAAATACCAAACTGCGTCCCTACTCTTCTAAGGCTAGAACTTGAACCAATCACAATTCCAATATCAGCTTCGAGTAGACATAGCAAATCACCCACTGAGTCCCCAATGTAAACAGTCAAATTCTTCCTTTCATCATTGAAGTTGTTTAATATATTCCGGAAAGCTTGGACCTTTTCAACGGGAGATTCCACCTTCTTAGCAATTTCACCAGTGGAGACAGATCCCTCAAAAGTGAACTCATTAGCATGCACATTCAGCTCATTCAAGCCCGCTGCACCATTTTTTCCCCCGGGGGCAGACTATTAGCAAGAAAAATAGGAAATATACGGTATAATATATTACTAACTTTTAAGGCATATTCTCAATAAAAAGACTACTGAAGATTGAAAAAAAATAATCTAGTATGAAATCGTATATAATAAAGATGCCAACAATTACATTAGCATACACAAGCATATCAAGGCTTTCTTTGCTAGGCATTAAATAACAAAAATTCAACCGATTCCAAACAACCAACAGGAAGTGATTGAGTGAGACAGCAACAGAATTCATGGTCATTCAATCGATTCTCATTAACCATTCTGACACAAGGTTACGTATGGCAACAGGTAACTTGACCACTGGTAACCTGTTGCCTGCCTGATCTAATTATTTCTAAATCCCTCGATGCTTCTTTATAAGTTGAGTATATATATCAAAGAAGAAGACATGTATATCAAATTTATAATTCATAATTTTACTTAAAAAATTAAATTTTCATTTGAAATTGACAGGGAACATCAGAAAAATGCAATAACCAGTTCATATACAAAAAGTGTTCTGACGGGAAGGCAAAGAGAATTAGTTAAAGGGAATAATATACAATATTACCATCATAGACAAAATTACAGCATAATAAGGGACATACCTGACAAAAAAGCAGACTTAATTAGCTCATCACACCAGCAGTATGAAAGTATATGCACATTTGCATTCAAGTTTTCATTCTTTACAACTCTCTGAAAGAAATTAATGCAACCATCTTGAAGAATTAGACGCTCCCCAGCCCGCTTTATATCTTCAAGGTTTAAACCCTTGAGTACCCCTGACTCAATAACCCTATCATTTGCCTTTTTCTCAAACTTTGAGAGTTGCTCCAGTGCTACAGACAGTTTTTGGAAATCAAAATTCTCCACTGCCAAATCACGAGGTCAGAGTTAGAACTAAAAATATCAGAGAACAGAATGTAGATTCTTCTTAAGTCAAAATATCTTAAAGAAAACATAGAATATTATCATACATCTCTCAGCAGGCATCATGTTTTCTATACATTGCTCATACTCCTCTGTATACTCCTGCGATAGTTCCATCCACGTACTCTTGAGATCAATGGATGACATCCGAACAGTTTGATCCTTGGATTGATTGTGATCAGATTTTGGTGCTGTCAAAATTGCAATTTCTGCCAAGATGGCAGATGAGTCAACAACGGTGCATGTCAAATCAAAATCAGAAAATATCATGAGGCGGTCTCTTTCTGGGTTATGTTCTTTAGTCAGGGGTACTACAGTTGGTTGAAATAGTGGTTGTGCACAGAAGAAGTCAATTTCAAGCTTCATAGCTTGGTGATATAGCTTTTCAATGACATCAAGCTCTTCGCCTGTCAAAGGGACGCTTAATTTCTCAAGCAAGTCTTCTGTTTGTAAAGCAGAGGCCTAAATTATATTTGGAAAAAAAAAAAGAAAAAGAATAAATGAGTGTCATCGATTAAGTGTATATTCCACCAATATTCACCACAAGAGAACTATGAAGGCAACTATAATTAGGTTCTGTCGTCAATTTGACAAACCTGGAAACCTTCAGAAGAATAATTGTCGATCCACTTCTGGAAAGGGTGAGGATCCTTGTTGTCTAGAAGTTCCTGAAACTGCTTGCCCAAAAAGGCATAGAGGCTCATGCAAGGAGTCATGGCACCCAAAGTATAAGCAGCAATCTTGGTTTTCTCAAAAGGTGTTGCCAGCTTACCGGGACCTTTTACTGCATCCACCTTGCCAGAGGCTGTAGCCAACAGGAAGTCTGTGTACTTGACAGTTGCAGAGTTAATATTCTCTTTGGCAAGGTCTAATCCCCATTCCTACACATCATTTCAAAATAGCACACCAAAATAATAGAGATTGAATGGTTGAAAAAGACAACAAGCATGTATAAAATATCGATAAAGTTATCATGACCATGAGACATATGTTTCACATATTCCAAGATTGGAATAATTGGCTTACTCTCTGAAAATAGGTATACTCTGTGCTATTGCTAACAAATAACAGTGATAAGGGAATTTGCAAGGAAAGCAGTTCTAAATTTTCCTCCTTCAAAATACATCCTAAGTTCTCATTCTCATGTTCCATTTGACTGGAAGTACCTTTTCTCCTATGGTCATATTCCAAGGGTACACAAAAGTTGATCATTACGATTGCACAGTGTGCAAGTTTTAAAAAGATCAAGTTGCAGATGATATTCTCCTTTACCCTCAGTATTCAGTGCCTATGATATAATTAACCAATACTCAATAGATCATGCAAGAAGTCATGCAAATATCAACCAACACTTGAAAATTATTTCCACAAACCAAAATTCAGTAAGAAGATTATAGAAAAAGATGGGGCAACAATAAAATAAAGTATTATATCGCAAAATAATATATCCACAAAAACCATTCCCAATCAAGTATACTACCTCCATATGGATACATGAGAACTACATGTTATTTTCTCAAATTATTATTTACTCAGTTTTAGTCTAACCTGCACAAGTAAATTATGCATCTTTAGCTCCTCTAAAACTGACTTCCTCAACTCAGAAATTCCAAGCTTTGCATCATCATCATCAGCACACTCCTCTGCCAACTCGTAACTGTCAAATCAATCAAAGGAGAAAATTTTAAAAAATAAGAACACTTGAATGACCTTATAGTTATTTACCAACGAAAAGGACATGAGACTAAAAAGGACGAAACTATGAAACACTGGTACTTTAAAACAGAGTCATATCATATCTGCCAGATACACAATACACGTGTTAAATACAACACAACGCTCCAAACTCCATTTAAACAGTAATGTATAATGTTTCTCGCAGTGTATACATAATACTTTTTTAAGACTAGGCTACAGAGCCCAAAACAAAAACAAACAATTCACGCACCTTTACATGTGATGTTACAAACTCCGGAATCATAACGAATTACTTTCCACTTCTCAAACGTCAACCGGGAGAAATAACAAGGTCAGCAATATAATTTTAGTCCAGAAAACGAGTGTTAGCATTTAACTTAATATGTTACTCAGTAACGGCTAATCTCGAACGTCTACTAAAGAAGGTTATTCTTAAAATGCCAATTTCGAAAGGACGAAAATACATGTAATACACTGTTGTTTTGGGTATACCAGTTCAAGAACCAAGCATGGCGATGGGAAAAAGAATGGAAGAGGGCTATTCAAGGACTATCTTGCGTGATTAATCAGTTGCTTACGAGTTAAGATTACGAATATTATTATAAGGAAACTTTTGGCATTTCAGTTTCGTTTTCTAAGTCCTTGAAAGCAAGAATACATTATAATTTTTCACAGTAATCAAAAAAAAAGAAAAAGGCAGGGTTAAATAAAAGAAACTGAAAAAGAAGAAAAAGGAAAAGATAGAAACAGAATCTCACGCTTGAGCAAAGGCCCGAAGAAAATGAACGTCCTGAGAGATGTAATGACGGAAGGATTCAATCTTCAAATTGCCGGAGGCCAAACACACAGCAAAGGGAGTGTACATGGCAAAAATGGATTCTCGATTGAACTTGTCCCAAAAGCGCCTGGCAAGTCCCGCTTCGGTGTGGCCGGACGACATAGATGACTTAGGCGGCATCGCCATTGGCATTGACGATCTCGGAGAAGAGTCAACAAGGCAGGATCTGAGCGAGTACGGAGGAACAACTCGAAATGAGTTGGAATAAATGAAATGGATGGGATTGAGAGGGGCTTTGATTGGGTTTAAGGCGAAGCGTATGAGCATCAAGTACAGCGAGAGAGAAAGAGAGAGACGGCGGTGACTGTGTGCTGCGCACTCGCTGAGAGAGGAGAGAGAGGAGTGAGGAGAGAGAGAGTTGGCAGTTGGGTCGCTGGCTGTGTGAAAAGGGAGGGAAGTTTTTATCTGGTTAGTGGAGAACCGGACGACGGCATCTTATTTTGTTATAAACCAGCACGGGCCGCACCTATGAGTTTCACCTGGATCGATCGGCCTATAAGGAGCCCAAGTAATTGGGCCTCCATGAACTTAGTTTTTTGGGAAATCCTATCTCAAGTTTATAATATAAAATATTATTTGATTTTTATTTTGACTTTAAATATAAAATTCTAATATATTTTGTCTCTCATATTTATATTTTTTTCAAGATAGTTCTTCTAACAATAATAATTTTAACTAATACATTTAATTAATAAAGATATTTTAGGAAATAAATTTTTTGGCACAAAGAATCAGGTGATAAATAGTGTTGCTTTTATTAGACATTGTAACTTTTTTTATTTCTTTTATTTTTCATGCTCATGTGACTGCTTTTATTACTCTTTCCCACATTGAGAAAATATCTAATTATATTAATACATACTTTTCAATTCATTTTAATCATGAGTAAATTTGAATTGTTATGACTACAATATTGCTCTGAATTAATACTTTCCGTTTTTAATATAAGAATTTATTTGATTTTTATTTTAATCCCAATATAAGACTTTAATCTACTTTGTCTCTCATATTTCTTTAAAAGATAATCTTTATAATAATGGTGGTTTTAGCCAATACACTTGATTAGTAAGGATATTTTAATAAAGATAACACCTATTTATTACAAATAACTAACTTAATTAATTTTCTTAATTTATTTAAATCAGTCAACTAGTTTTTATATTAAGAACCAGACACAGTATGTGTTTGCAATATATATGTTCTCAAGACATGAATAATAAAAATAAAAACTCATCTAAAAAATTGTGTTCAATTCTAAATATATAGGTTATATTTAAATACATTGAGAAATATTTGAGGAATAATAAACAAATTTATACAAAATATAATACAATGAATGAGAAAAATCTTTGTGAAATATCTAAGACTTCTAAGCCTTAGTATAAAAATTAATTGACTTATTTGAGTATATTGAAAAAATTAGTTAAATTAATTATTTGTAATAAATAACTGTTATTTTTTCTAAGTTATTATTGCCAATCATGTACTACTTCTGATTCTAAATATAAGAGCTAATTGGCTGGTTTGAATATATTAAGGAAATAAATTGAGTTAATTGTTTCTAATAAATAAGTGTTGTCTTTTCTAAAATATTCTTACTAATCAAGTATATGGCTAGAACTATCATTATTAGAATGACTATCTTGAGAAAAAATATATAAATATAAGAAACAAAATAGACTGGGATCTTATATTTAACTATGACCAAAATAAATATCAAACAAGGTATTATATTAAGGACCCAAGGCAGTATATAAGTTATAACTACTATTTAATGAAACCTTTAATATGTGCAACTACTATAAAGACTATATTAAAAAATAAATAAATATAAAAAACAAAATAAATTATAATTTTATATTTATAACCAAATTGAATTATCAGATCACAGACAGAAAATTTGTTTTTGCAAGCAATAACAGCTTCATGTAAATTATCTAAATATTTATATCTGTATGTGACATAGTATTAACATAAAGAGGAAATCATATCATTTATAAACGTGATCAATGTCACTCCCCCGCGCGTCCATAATAACACAACATTTATGTAAAACAACACCCCCTTTTTGCATCTATCGTTAAAAAATTTTTGGACCAGACATCTATCATTAAAAATTACTACTACAATGGGATATTTTTCAAATGAAAAAAAAAAAACAAAAAAAAACTCTTGGCCGGTTGGCCCTAGACCCCTTGCCGCAATGACCTCGCCTCTGTTGGGAATTTGGGATCAAGCCACGAAAGAATTGCCAGGGCCGCGGACGGCGGCGGAACCGAGCAGCGCTACTCAAACGTGCTTGCTTCTTCATTGGTTCGCCTCGTTTTCGCTATCTTGTTCAGAGGTTTGAAGTTTCTTACATCTCCCCCTATTCTTGTACCTCTGATTAATTGATTGTTTGATCCTTTTCGCATGTTTTTTTGCTTTTTCCTCTTGATGGTAGACACATGTTGGCAACTGCATGCAACGTTTGCCGGATTTTCTCCCTGGGTGTTTCGTTGTCAAGAAACTGCTAAAAGAGAAAATTCTCATCCCTAAATAAATCAGCCAACTTTGAAATTTTGTCCGTCGATTAATACATCCAACTTCCCCGGTTGAACTTGGGTTCTCAAATCTCATACTCTCCGCTTCATTGCGCGTCTGAAAATAATAACTCACTCCAACGAGGGAAATTAGTTGGATTTTCGGTAAGCATTAGATTATAATCATTCTTATGGGAGATTTTCATACCCATCTTTTCTCCGGAGTCAAAACATCAATTAGGTTTTCAAGTGAAAACCATCTTGTGTACTGTTACATGTTAAAGACTTAACGTAGTGATCTGTAGTGATTGTAACTGAACGATAAATTGATCCCGATATCAGATTTGCTTTTGACTCCCTATTTCAGAATCTGGACAGGTGATGAGCCTTGGCTTACATTTATTTTCATCAGTAGAGGAGTTTGAGTAATCATTTACCAGTCCTAATATTTCTCCACTTTAATTCAGTTCTCTGCAGATGTAGTTAGTCGTGACTATTGAGGACGTGCTTTACCGGTTTATATCCTGGATGGACATCAATAAGAGGATGACCTGTGACAGTGTTCATGCTGTGCTAAACTGTGATGACATACTGCAAGAGATCTTGCTACGACTACCCCCTTCATCTATTTGCAAATTCATCATCACATCAAAGAGATGGCTGCGTGTAATATGCAGTTCTTCATTCTACCGATGCTATGTGAATATATGGGGACAAAAGTTTAGACTTTGGGGTTTCTTTGTATGCAACTTTTTATATCTAGGAAGACCCCGTGATGGCTACCAACGGCCCTCCTGGGAACCTGCATTGCCTTTTTTGTCCACTTGTAAAGAGGGTGATGATCTGAAGTCTTCTGGCGTTCTCAGAAAACTTGGCTACTTTATTGATTGTTTCAATGGCATTCTTCTTTGCGGTCGTCATCCAAAGACTTATTATGTGTACAATTTCAAGAACAAGCAACAATACCAACTCCCAGAACCTCAGCAGTTCTACAAAATGTTGTGCATGGCATTCATTGTTGAGGAACATCTTGATGATGTCATTTGCTACAAGGTGATTCGAGCCAAATGTGAGTGCAAACTTAAGGTGCGCAACACAGTTTCTATTGAGACTTTCTCCTCAAAAACTGGAACTTGGAAGCAATCTACTCTAACATGCTCTACAACTTTTGCACTGCGCCCAAGGACAGTAGCTATGGTGGTCAAGGGAGTTGTCCACTGGTTTGCAATGTGGGGAAACCTTGCTATTTATGATCCACGCTTTGGAGATAGGTGGATAGCTCTATTAAAACTGCCAGCAGGTGGGCTATCACATGAGCATGAAGAGTCAGTTCTAGGGGAGTCATCTGATGGGCTTCTACAGTATGGTCAGAGCAGTAACTTGGGTGTGGAGATATGGGTTCTTGAGGATGAAGAAGGAGCTAGCTCATCCATTAACAGAAACTGTGCACATGTAAGGAAGAAGTGGATTTTAAGGTGGAGATTAAACTTTAAAGTAATGTGGAAGCAAAATCCAACTCTCAGCATGCAATGTAAAGAATCTCAGATACTGTCATTCCTTCCTCAGAATTCTCAGTCTATCTTCATTAGATCGGGGTGGAACATTTTCCAATGTGATCTGGAGACCAAAAGGCTAGAAACAATTTATTATCAGGGTCGTGGGGCTGCCATTTCATGGGAGTCAAGTAAAGTTGTTCCTTACTTTCTACCAACTTGGCCATTGGCTTGTGTGTCATAACAGAAATCATAACATGACGCTGGATATGATTTCTGTTGAATTAAGTAAAAAATTGACGGTCCTTGATGTATTTAAGTTGTACGTAGGGGTGATGAAATTTCAGTTCTTAACTTCCCTCCACCATAGGACCTTCACTTTCTTGTGGTTCCAAGCCGCTTGGGTTATCTTGCGTCATCTGGGTTTAGTTAAAGCTAGGAAAACGTATTTCTTTTGTGATGGTATGTTAGAAGGTAAGATGAATGTAGAAAACAACTTCTCCCCATTTTTTTGGGGGCGCTTGAAGACTCTAGAGTCATGTTAGGAGATGTGATTTGTCATAACCGGGGTATGGATGACTGATGATGGCCTGGACTGGATGGTTACATTCCTTGTGTTTTAGGGTTTGTTTGGGATCACTTTTATAAGGTAATTATAAGTATTTTGACGTAATTCGGGACAAAATTTCTCTCATATAATTGTTTTTTGTAAATTATGATTAAAAAGCTACTTTTGAAGACTCCAATCCTATTCCAAACAAGCCCTTAGGCAGTAGCTTTGATTCTAGTGCTAAATGAAGGCTTAACAGCATAATTAATAAATTGTTAATATTTTAGAAATCATATCGTACTCTTGGTGCTGTCATGCCCATTTGCTATGAAGGGTTTGAAGTAAATAGGAGTGGGAATAGAAGTAAAAGTGGGGTAGGAAAAGAGACGTGACGTGAAAAAATGTTTGGTAGGTCAATGGAACCCTGCAATAATTTCAATCTAATACTTGCATTTATAATATCAATGTACAAAGATATTCTTGCTGGGCAAAATAACAAGAAAGGAAGTTAGATTTAACTTGGAGAAGAGAACCACTACTCACAACTAGAAAAACCACCAAAAAGCTACTGCTAGAGAACACCATAAATTAGGTGTTGAGTTTTAATCATTTACAGAAATCGAGCGATCCATAATAACGAACAATTCAAAAAACCAAGAATAATAATGTAGAAATAGACAGAAACATTGAATATCACATCTACGATGAAGGCTCAATTCACAGCGACATTGAAGAAGCTAGTTCTCTAGTTTGCTTGTTTGAAAATATGGATGACTCCGATGCGTTCAACGGGACAAGAACCCGCGCCGTCGGCAAGGTAGCCATTGCAATCTTACTCAACCTATTGGGAGGCAAAGCGTCACTAGGGGACGCCGAAAGGGGAGGCACCGCGCCATTTGCAGCTTTTAAAGGTGTATTTGAATTGGCAGTATTAAAACTGATTTTTATTCTATTTAACTTTTATAAATATGAGTTGGAATAAAAATTAGTTAGTATAGTATGATTTATATTTGGATTAACATTTATAAAAAAATCAGTTTGAAAATTTAGAACTTGTTTGGATAGATAATTAAAAAAATAAATTTAAATGCAAAATGATTAAAAAGGACATGAGTTTTATATAAGATTCAGTTAACAATTTTAGAATTAAGAATATACATAAATATTTTAGAAAGATCGTGTACGAGTAACATATAATATAATTAAGTAATTTATTTAGTTTTTTTAAATCTATTCAAATAATATTATCAAAATATTTATCATTAAATTTTACAATTTTATTTTTTTAAAAAACTAAGTTTAATTAGATAGTATTATTATATTTATTAGAATTAAATAATAAACAATATAAATTAAAAGAAGGGATAATTAATCCACAGCTCTTTATAGTTTCAACTAATTTTGAATCAGATTCTTATAGTTTTTTTTTCTTTTTATCAGGTCTTTATACTTTCACCTGTTTTTAATTAGGTCCTTGTATTTATTTTTCTTTTTATCAAGTTCTTATAAGTTCATCTTATTTTTAATTAAGTCCCTGAATTTTTTATTCTTTATTTTATAAATTCTAACAGTACTATTATATAAACATAAAATAGTATGTATTATTTAATATTAGTTTATAAACAATAATATTCTAAAGATATTGAATTATTATAATGATTTTAATTTTTTCAGCAAAAAAATTAATTGTTCTAAAAAATTTTCCTGAATTAATTAATTCTATTACTTTTTTATTACATAATTATTAATTTAATTTAATTATTAATATTTTATATTTCAGTATTAATCTATTTAATTAAGCTTATATTTAATTAATAAATAAAAATTAAAACTACATGGACCTAATTAAAAATTTAGTGAAATTATAAGAACTTAATTAAAAGAAAAATAAATACAAGGACCTAATTAAAAAAAAGTAAAAGTATAAGGACCTAATAAAAAGAAAAAAAACTATAGGGACTTGATTCAAAATTCGTTGAAACTATAAGGACTTACGGATTAATTAACCCTTAAAAGAATAATAAAAAACATAAATGTGTTGGTCACTCTTGGTGGGAAAAAAATAAATGTGGTGGTCACTCTCTAACCTATAGAAGGACATACAGTTAAAAAGCACAGCTACTGCTAAAAAAAAATTACTGGGGAGTGTTTGGCAATCTCCAAACTATGGTTTTAGAAATACTTTTCTATAAAACGAGACAAATCCCTTCACATATTTACTTCGTAAACCATAAAAGCACTTCTAAAACGTTTGGTTTCACTCACAGCAACGCACCTAATGAGCAAGAAAAAGTTCCATTAAGAGAAAAGTCAATTTGAAGATTACCGTGCGATAGAGAAAGCGGAATCCCAAACAATTTCTTATCTTCAAATAACCCCCTAATTCACGTTTCGTACGTCCCAATGCATGTTTTATAGTCTGAACGGTGATCCAAACATAGTCTAGGTTAGATCCGTTAAGTTATATCTGTTGGCAAGAGGTAGTAAGAATTTAATGCATTTTAAAAATTCTTATGATCCGCAATTTATATGGATATGATGATTAAATATATTTAGTATTTACAAATAGTTTTTTCCGACAATATACTGACTCGTTTTTATAATTTAAATTTAATCTCTTACTTAAAACATCAAACAACATCTTATAAAATGTATATCTCATAAAATTTCAAATCATCTAAATGAACAGTTTGTCAAACTAACTTCCTAAAAAACAACGAATATAATTTATGAAAACATCAGTTTGACAAACGTTAATCCAAACAAATGGATTCACAGACTCGGTAAGTTCTAGTAAAAAAAAACCTGTTTTCTATGCATATTTTTTTAATAAACAACATAAAATAACCAACTTTGCTGCCGATACAAATGTACTTGCATTTTTATATCAATTATTTAAATAAAACAGTAAAAGAATTATCCTGTTCTGTTGTATCTAAAACTAGGTGCTGAAAAGTCAAACTGAAGAGTGCGCATTGAGTATCCTTTTTTTTTTTTTTTTAAATGCTTTTCAGTGGCGCCCCCGCATTACAAATCAAATGCTAGTTATACATCTAAGGAGGAAGATCAGCCTTTGTACGATGTTAAAGTCCATTGACTTGTCTCTGATGCGTCCCAATTCAACAATTAGCCGGCTCGATGCGTCGATGTGCAGTTCATCAATTCTGCTGACGAGGCTGTCAAGTTGGGCTTGGCAGCAAGAAACTAAAGCCAGAGTTCTCACGAATAAGCGGTGGGGCCTCCACGTCGGAGATATCTATCTGTTCCATCGACTTTGACATATCATCAACCGAAAATGGAATGCTGCCAAGCAAATAATTCCAAACGGTTAATGCCAACCGCATTTCTTCCATATGGATTACAGAACATTAGTATTAAACAATGTTGGTTTTCATGACCACATCAAACTTGCAAAACCGGTGAAATCAAACATTAGTGATAGCTGAAATGAGGGAAATAATATCCACTCGTTTGATCGATATCACCTTACCTTGAATCATCATCCAGCAGGAAAGAACTACTAACTGCGTTAGTTGAATCTTCGGTCATCAACACTCTCATATTGGAGATAACCTAGATGAAAACATTGACGAGGCAAAGCTTAAACATAGTTTTTCTGCACGTTTTCTTCCTGAAGCTATCATGCTGTGGAGTTCAGGAAGAGATAACTCCAAGCCTATTTTTGAATAAAGGTTTTCTGAGGAAACTTACATCAGGTGACACGCTGTGTGTACCATACTTGTCATCCCAGTACATTGTGCTAATCCGATATAACTGCTGGATGCTGAGGACCTGCAAATAGAGGAATTAGGTTGGGAATTGTTCAGGTAACTATATCATCTGCCACCATAATGAGTAAAATTGCCTCCGCTTACCGGGCAAAGGTCATGGCTTATTTCATCCAGTGTTTTCTTAGGTTTCTGGTGTATGACCTGAACAAAACAAAGGGTGGAAAAGATGAGTTTGCTGTATTGGCTATCTTACCATCGGAACAAGTGCAGGTAGAAAGATACCAGAAATCCAATCGCCTGTCTGATATGTTTCAACTCATCCCACGCTGAACCTGCATACTGCATCGTTTTGGTAGAGGGAAGGAGGAGGGGCAGGGAAAATGGGAGGTTAGTAGTTATCTCATATCAACAGAACTGTACAGGATAAGAGCAATAAAATTAAGGCACCTCATCTGTCGCCTTATAACACCAGTGCTCCAATTCAGCCAACCCAGCTTTGACATATTCTCCATTACTAAATGAGCAGCACTCTCTTCTTAAAAGGAGACTGTTGCAAGAATCAAAATATGTCATGATAAAATTATTTTGCAGAACAGAAAACAATCCCAAAAACTATGGAAGCAAAGCATACGAACCTATTGAATAGTTGAACATTGATGAAAGAAAAAATTTGAGTAAACACCTTACGAACTAAAAATGGGGGAACCTGTCAAAACAAAGCAGGAAAATAAAACGTGTAGGAGAGAAAATAAAACCCCTTCTGCTTCTTTTGAAGAATAAGTTGGACGTAAGTTTAAACCCCTGTCAAGTAATGTGCAAAATCTGAAATTTAGAATCACAAGGGTCGGCCAAAAAATGCATGATGACCTATCCCCATAATACAAATATGACAGTATGAAGAGGCAAAAGATGATGTCAAATGAGATTCTACTAACATGATTTGCCCTCAAAGTGTTCAAAAAGTTCCCAAGGCTCGTAACTATCCCCTGCCAGTGAGCAATCAAAGCTCGCTGAGCTTCAGTATTTGCAACTGTTAGTGATCCCTTAACCAAGCATGCTCTGGATGTTCTTGGTGCCTATCTCATCACAATCAAACAATTACATTTGAAATCCATAAATTTGATAGAAGGATGGCAAATGAAGTTAACAACGATCTTTGAACACAAAGAAACAGTTACCTACCTGGATGCACAACCCTAGCAGGGGAGAAATTTCTTTCTTTAGATTATCCCGAATCATTCCATATATTTTTTCTACATATGCAGTAAGCTGCTGTTTGAAAAGCAAAGCTGGGTACTTGGCTTCAACTTGACGCAATGTGTCTACTCCACCACTTATGCTACCATTGATTAAGGAGAGGTTAACTCCTGTAGGGGCTCCACGGAAACTCTGAAACAACAAGAAGAATTATTTGAAGAGTGAAAGCTTCTCTAGAGGTATTGCTCTGTTCAAATAAGAACACCGTGTTTACCTGTGTCATTCTCCCAAATAGGGTTGCGGATGAAGAACGACGGCGTTGTGGGGCCATGCCAGCAGCACCACTAGCCTTAAGTGTGCGCTGGAGTAACAATAGAAGCGTGGATGCATTGGATAACCAATAAGCCAAGACATCATTGTTGTCCTGGGTCTGAAAGTCCAAATAAATATTTGAGTTAGAAGGTTAGAGACATCAAGAGTAATAAAGAGAGCACAACATGATAGAGTTTCGCCTTTTACACCTCAATTGCATTGCCAATAGTTTGAATAATACGATCAAAAACACTAGTGCGCTCTACTTCAAATGACCTCCAATGTAAGAGACATTTATATATGATACATGCAGCAACAGGTCTGTTCCCTGCAAAGCCTACATGTTGCGCAATACATCTGATGAGCAAGTCTTGATTTTCCTGCTGTTTCTCATTTAGTGACTTTTGTGGTCTGTCATCTACTTCAGCATGTTCCCTCTGGTTAATTGATGAGCTATGAAGATCCTGATTGGTTTATCAGGTGGCAAAAATGAGAGTCAGGTCCACGTAATATCCCACCCAAATAAACAGTGATATAAAATAGCTACATACCAAGGGTATCTTCGCTTCTCCGACTATATGACCACTTTCAGCGCCTCTCTGACACGAGGCAAGAAAATATATTAAACTAACACCAAGCTTTATATTATAGTCATGTACGTGCATAAGAAGCATTCCATGGACTACCTGTATAATAGATCTAGAGCGTCCTGAAAGAAACTTATTTGGTGTCATGGATACTGCTTGCTGACGTAGAACCCGATTCTCTGATTCTAAATTAGTAATTTTCTCTTCCAGCCTAATCAATCATGAGATTTTAACCAATTCTCTTAGCAAATTAATGAGTGGTTATGACCCATCTTTAAAGATGAAATTACGTATAAAAAAGTTTACCATAGTACTCCACAAGAGAGTTAAATGGAAAAGCTTTAGATCGACATTTTGAAAGTTGATCTATGATTAGCATGAAAAAACAATAACATCAAACAACTTTATTACCTGGTTAACGATTCCTGTAGTTGACGAACCTTCTTCTCTGTGTCCTCTAATTTTTTGCCTTGTTCTTCACTAAAAGCTTGAGATTCATTGTATTTTCTTTCAAAATCTTCAGCTTTTTGTTTCTCTGACTCTAATGATGTCTGTGTGAACATAAAGCCCAAGGTAACATCACTTAGGTAACTTCATCATGATATGCTGCAAACAATAACTTTAGTTCATCACCATTAACTTGAGCAGAAATTAGTCTACTTATATTAATTTTGGGATCCAGTCAAATGATACTGAAGGGAAAAAAAATCTAAATTCCGCTGCAAACCATTTGCATTCCTTGGTACCATAATTGTTTAATTGAAAGAAATAATTCGTTCTAGCTGGCATTAATTATTTTTCCTTTCCTATATTTTATTTACTAGGAATTCTTTCTTTGCAGTACAAAATATGATTTCATTATGCTTCTCAAATTTACAAGCAGGACATGACAAGCTACACCCCTTTATTATATTGAGAACAATCTAATGACAGTTCTCATATAAACACTCTAAAGACAATAAAACTTGTACTTAGTTCTGGAAAAATCTATAACGACATGAATAATCCATTTGTCTAACATGATAAGTTATGTATTATTATATCACTGAATTTAATTTTCAGAACAGAAACAAAAAGGTTATAAATTCTTTTCTAGGAATGTTGTTCAATCTGATGTACTGATTTGTAAACCTGCTACCAACTTCTGTTTAAATTTACCAGTAAAGGAACTGTAAAAAGAACAATGTTTTACTGAGAGGCTGATATAGTTGTTTCTTTACAAAATACTTATAGGTAAACATGCTTCCAAGACTTGAAGGAACCATATATGCATAAAAAGACACATGCTTGAAAGTAGAAGTTACCTAACTGCACATGTGAGGTCTAGTTAGAATGAACTTTCTTACCTTCAGACTCTCAACTTCCCCCACTAGTGACTCAACCTTTTGTGTGTCTTCCACTAGAACTTGTGTTTCTTTAACAACAGGAGGTGCTTCTTCAACAACTTTCTTTGCATTCTCCCGCTCCTTAACAAGTAAAGCATTGGTTTCATCAATCTTGTTCTGCATCTCCTGCAGTGAGTTCTGCAGTTTTGCTACTTCTTGTGCTTTGGCTTCTTCTAGGTTAGTCTGCACAAAATTTTGTAGTCTGTTTAGGGCTTAAAAATTGAGAGGTTTAGTTTTTTCTTCAAAATTCATGATTGCATACAATATCATAAAAACAAAAATTTCTGACATAATATCCATCCACAAAATATAGATGTTACCCTTAAACTTTTTTCTAATTGCAGACGCCAAGTAAGTTCCTCCACTCGTTTTTCCAGCTTATCCTTTGCTTCTTTAAGCGCACCAGTTTCTCTTGCAGCCTAGAGCAAATAAAGTAATTTTAACTAACAGTAGAGAAAGAGAAATTATATCAAGAAAATTAGTAAAGAGAGGACATGCTTGCCACACAGATATCACAATTAAGACAGTAATAGCATAAATATAAAAATAATAAAAATCACTAGAAAGACAGAAACATGCCATTTTGAGTTTCCTAAGTTCTCTCCTGGCCAATCGCCCCCTCCATCTGCATTGTGCAACAATAGTACTTTTCTTGAGCCTCTTGTAATACAAAGTGGCCTTCCGGCATCTCCACCAAGCCTGCAATTTTCAAGAGAGAGTGTTTATTTATGAATACTGTATACCGATCATAATGGGCAGGTCATGTCAATCGTATAGTAAAAAATGACCTGAATAGTGACTGCAGCTTTAGTACGCTTCCTAAATCTGAATTGGTTACGAGCACCCATTGTCCTTAAACCTGTTTGCAAGATAAGTACTGAAGCTTGGAGTCTTTTATAGGCTTTCCTAGCTGTATATCTGCGCACGTCTTTCTGAATTTTCTTTGCAGCGGCCTCCCTTCTCATGTTATCATATTGTTTGCATGCCAGTCTTCCTATAGATCATATATCATGCATGTTAGTAAAATGTAGTAACAAGAGACTGATTAAGCAGTGAAGTGTGTCTCACATCCTAATTGGAGAAGCCCATAATCTTGAAAATTAAATAGCATTTGGTAGATAACTGACTTAGGTTGTTGAAATTTTGGAGTATCTCACCTCTACATAAAGACTGCATGAATACGGTAGTTCTACGTAATGCAAGATAATGATTACGAGCTTGATGGGTTCGTATGCGCCGTTGGACAATTTTGGCTGCCCGACTGAGTACCTGAGCCCTCCGTGCGTCTAGTTCAGCCATCTGACCTGCTCTCAGGAATATCTTCGTTTTCCCAATCTACAACAATTCATAGCCAATCAAACGTATTTTGAGTCCCTGAAATATGGTGGCACGAATGTTTCTACGCATGTAATACAATTATGCAATCATGTTCATAGATTTTAGTTCTTTAACCCAGCAAAATTCTGCTAATCCACTACATGACAAAAATAGTTACTTCGGCAAAACATACCTGATATCCTTTAAGACCCACTTTCTCTAAAATCTTTTGGCAAACGACCTTTTCATCAGAGCTGCTCATAGAGGAAATAAATTTTTAGATTAGTGCTGTCTTGGCATGAAGCAGGTGATGTGCTAAAAGTACTTACTTTCCATCCACAACCTCTGGGGCAAGGATTCCAAATCTGTGAGCAAATTCAAAGAAAAGACGGCGAGTAGGGTAACCAGCGCAACTAATTCTGATTGCCTCTAGAACACCCTATAGGGTCAAGTATAAGATATTACAAAAGAAGGGGATTGGAGACACAGAATTATGGATATACTTTTTATACAAACGATCATCCAAAGAAGGGAATAAAAGTCGGATATCAGGCATACTTACACCACAGCGAAGTTGTTGCATAATGTTGACGTTCTCAAATATTGCAGGCTTAAGGACATTGTTTGGCTTTATACATCTTACATAATGAGGTTCTGTCGAGTTCAATGTGTCCATTAGTTGCTGTAGTTGTAGCTGCACCATTCAGATTATGAAAACATGGTTTCTTAACTGCCCGATAGTAAAAATGCATTCAATTTTTTAAGGAAATGTTGTGCAGGTATACAAGTGGACAAGGAAGTAATGATACCTTAAAACGAGAAGCTATGGAAGAAAACTTCGATGATTTAGATGTCTCTTCTGGAAGAGGAGGAAAAAGACCTGCTACGAAAGGGCATTTGGAAGCGCCCAACAAATCTTGATGTTCAGGAACCACATAATCTTTATTTTTATCTAAAAACTGGTCAGACTGGTATAAGACCTGTCCATTTGATGAGTGTAAGAATCCATAAGCAAGAATGTTTCATTTTCAAGCATTTGATGCTATGATAATTAGTCATACCTCCCCGGCATAATGAGCAACGGTAAAATCTGTTCGAGACAATTTGGGCTTTATAAAACGCTTGTGAGTCTTAAATGTTTGATAAAGCTTATTTGCAAATGTTTCATGTGTTGACTTGGGAAACATGCTGAAAGACAAAGAGAAATAAGAAGAATGAAGGAGCAGATTCAATATGGCATCTAATTTTGTGACAAGGTCAATTAGACAAAAAGAACCAAAGTTTTCCATCTTTCCATCCAAAGGTATAAGTCAAAAAAAATATTGAACAAGATACGAGAGCACTACTTTGGAGAAAGAAATTCAGAGGACAAAAAACAATCAAGAAGAAGAAGGAAGAAAACATTGTTTTACCAGGCTTCATCAAGGAGAGCGACAATTCCTCCGGGTTTCTGCAAAAGAAGAGTCAACATGAAAGACTAAGAAAAAAAATAGGGGAAATACAGGAAAAGCCTAATAAGGAATTGGATTTTGGCAGATTGTAAAAATAAGCCTAAAAGCATAAATCTAGTGGAAAACAACTCAGAAGTAAACTTCTTGATTGTTCAGTTGTTCTCAAGAACTAATGCATTTCAAAGGCTAAAATTGTTAGAAGGTTCTTTAATGGTCCCTTTGGACTAAATGAGAGGATAAAGCACAAGCCCCTCATATCCTGTACACTTTGCTCTGTTTCTCTGTTTTGCAAATGTAAGGTGGCAATGCTCCACATGTCCATGCCTAACATTCACAGAAAGCAATCAACAGTGTTTTCTCTGTTTAAAGGTACTGCAGAGTCACAAAAATAGACTGTAGTGTATCCTTAGAACAATAGATAAATAACACTGGACAACATAAAAAAGATCATCACGAGAATATTTGAAAGCGTAAATATCTCTAATTGTCTATTCTGGACAAGTCGGTTGACCATTTTGCAGGTTCTAATCAATCAGAATATCATAATAAAAGAGGGGGGGAGGGGGAACCTTTTCAATAAGGTCTAAAACATCTTTATTATCAACAAATTCAATGTAGCTCCAATCAATCTGCTCCTTTGTATATTCTTCTTGTTCCATTTTAAACACGTGCTGCAAATCATCAGACTTGTCAAATGTGGAAATAATATATGCGCAAGAAACTGAAATGCTTAATGCGGTCAGAGATTTTGCCTGATTGAAATGTTGCTGCAACTTCTCATTTGTGAAATTGATGCAGAACTGCTCAAAACTGCAGAGCATGATATGCTGAAATTAAGTTACAAAGGATTGAAAACAAGCAGATGTCGTTTGTTGCAATACGTTAAGCATTGCATTCTCATTTATATGAATTTGTTTGGCTACATTATAGGTTACCTATTAGTTTTAAAGCTTTCAAAACCATAGATATCGAGGACCCCAATCAAACATTTGGAATTTGGATCTTGTCCGATTGAATTATTAATCTTGTCCACCAACCTGTATAATCCCAAATAATTTCACTTAGTGCCAAAACCATGTCTTGTACCATAATAAAGGACAGAAAATATGGAATTGTTTTCATTTAAAGCATGTTACCAGTCAAATAGCCGAGAATAAATTGTTTTTGCCAAGCCATCTCTACTGATTGCGGCACTTTGGGGGTCGAGGCTCCGCTTTATAACTTCCTCAGGGGTGACCATGACACGTTTGCACAATGCATCTTGCAAGGCATCAGCGTCACACCTGATAAAACATGAAATACGATCATGACAATCACCTTGAAGGTAATTGAATCCCATCGCAGAAAACATACATGAGAAGCTCTGCAGTTGTTTTCAAGTGGAATTTCGCTTTGTCATCCTTTGGAACTGATGAGTCAACCTCCTTTCCTTTGGAAAAATCAATATTGCCAAGATGAAGAATTGCAGCAACCACTCGGAAAATTGCTTCCTGACACAAAATAGTCAGGAAAACAGAGAGTCAATTTAATCATTCCATATTTTAGCAGAATAGAAGTTAAATTCATAGCCATGAAAAGATATACCTGGTCCTTTTGGCTTATTCCAACAATATCCATAGCTCTCCGGGTAGCAAGATACTCACGAGCATCACTTACATCAGCCAGTTCATAAAAACTTGATTGGTTCAGGTAGTGAAATGATCTAGGATTATCTAATTTGTATTTCTCAATTTCCTGCCAACAAAAGTTGCCATAATTATTAAAAGGAATTATCACAAGCGACAAGTAGATTGTTAACAATAAGACACCTCCTGTGGTGCAGCACAAAGGAGATAAAAGCAGTGGTAGTTGCGTTCAGGATCATTAATTTGGCAGACCCTAGACCTCTCCAGAAGGTAAGTTCGAATGGCTGCTCCTGAGATTCTTCCACTCTTATCAAATTGGATCTCAACAAATTTACCAAATCGACTGCATCATTAAAACAAGGAAAATTTGAAAACAGTTGTTGGCAAAAACTTTTGAGGTAATCAACAAGTTAGGAAAAGAAAATTCCATAAATGGCAATCTCTCCAACAGCTACTGTCAACATCAAGTGGTCTTGTAGTTGCAGAATGGGGTAAGAGGGAATGCAGTGAGACAGAAATGAAGTCCAAGTAATCATTCACTGCCTCTATGAAAGAAATACACACACCTCGAATTGTTATTCCTAACAGTTTTTGCATTGCCAAATGCTTCAAGAACCGGATTTGACTGCATTCAGATCATTCAATTCAGAGTCACATGAGATTCCATGTTGAATTACTTAAAAATAGAATGTTATTGGTAAAGGAATGCAAATTGTTCTTTTACAATTATAGAATGAGTAGTTCGTTGAATCTTACTTCAAGAACTTGTTGTTCAACCGTTCGTCCTTCAGTAGCAGCCCTACCACCTAAGAAAGCTAAATAACGCATAAGCATTTTTGTAGTTTCAGTTTTACCAGCTCCACTTTCCCCGCTGACCAAAATCGAATTACTTTTTCCTTCATTAATCATTGCCCTGATTTTAGTAAGAGAATCAATTAGATATTTGGTTCAATAAAAAAGGTGGCAGCATGCACAAGGCTCCCACGAACATATGACCTCCATGTCACATGGCAACAAACTTTATCATTGCTTCAAGACTCAATAACAAAAACAAAAATTGGCTATAAGAAATTACCTATATGCAACATCAGCTACTGCAAATACATGAGGGCTTAGTTCTCCAAATGGTGCTCCCTTGTACTGTTGCATCATGTGAGGGTCATAAAGATGAGGAAGTCTTTGGAATGGATTTATGGCAATAAGAATATTTCCAGTATAAGTCTGTCATTACAATAACAAAATGAGAAGGAAATAAGCATTTTCGGCTAATAAACTTCGCATACAATGCAATATTAAAGGAAAGAAAGCCTTACGTATATTTCATTCAATTCATATCTAGATTTTAGGTTCTGCAAGACCCCAGGCTCGTGCAAATAAGACAGCTTTGTCATATCATCCACTCCACCGGCTGGAGCTTCCATATCTTTGGGATATATTTTTGATAATTTTGCAGAAACCTTGAAAACCCCGAAACAGAAGTTGAGATGGTAATTCAGATTAAATTTCTGCCTGAATCGATTTTCTATAGTTTTGTGCATTCCATTTCCAATTGACAATACATGGATGGGAGTAATTGATGCTTCACGAAAGAAGGCATTATTATGCTTGTAGAAGTAGAATTATAGACATAATTTTCTTACGGCAGCATAGTATGCCCACAGCAGTAATTGAACTAGAGAAGAAAAGCAAGGAACAAAATAGAGATTGAGTTAGGCTCATTTAGGAGAGGTCAATTATTTTGACCGCCAATTTGAGGAACTTAAACAATACGTATAATTGATTGTAGATCAAGGTGATTTAAATATCAAGTACAACGTCAAAACTATGAGAAAGAGAGAAGGCTCGTGCGTGTATCCTTGCCCTTTCATTATTAGTGTAAATATAGCAAGTCCGTAAGGAGGAGTAATCATGCTTGCCATTATGATGTTCTCTTTCTTTTGCATTAACTGTAATCATAAAAGAAACAAAACTCAATTGTTCATCCATCCAAGATCGCTGAGCAATAATTCCAGCATGAAAGTCCATGCAGATGGGGAACTTACGACGATATTGAAAAAGAAAAATGCCCAGATACAAAGGATGAAGGAACAATTTATTGGCAGCAGGCGAACCTTTTTCCCATTGGTAGTTTCAATCTCGGCATCCTTTCCATAGATTTTTGATACCTGCCCATCAATCCAAGCAACATCTGGATCCTCAATCCAGACATGAGAACCTACAATGATATTCACTGGAGTTCCCTGCAGGTGGAGATGCAGAATCATATTTTATATGTTCCTAATTCATTGACAGAAAATTTTCCATTCTTATACAGTGAATTGGAGAAGGATTATAAAATTCTAAACTTAAGTATACAACATATTAGTTTCTTCCTTGTATTTTAGACACATCACACTAACATTCAAATAGATAGTACTGGAATATTTTTCAGAAATAATAATACTCCGCCAGCCCACAATATGTCCGATCGAACTATCTCATGCAGACAAAAACAAATAGTAGTTAAAAGGAAGTTTATGTCATTAAATATATAAAAAAAAAAAAAAAATTTTCCAAACATATCCTTGTCAAAATTCTATACTACATTAATTGCAATGAATTAATTATCACAAAAGGATAAAATAGGGGGAAATATAAGTGCTCTAAATATTATTAAACTAGACATATTTTGAATCAAAACAAACTGGGAGAAAATGGCTTGTATAGCGAACTGGAGGAGTAGATAAATAGTAACCAAATAATTGAGTGCCACAAACCAGAAGTTAGAGGATGGGTCGAGTTAATCGCTAAAGGCAAGATCTCATATCTGTCATCATCTTATTTTCTCTCTTGTGTTTAAACTGGAAGATAATTAACGCTTTCTGGATCCTGAAGGAACGGCTAGTAATCACTTGATATGGCATCCTCACACAAACGTGGAATCTATAAATATATTTCTCATAATATTCAAATCGATGTTCAGCATCTAGTCGGAAACTAAGATTACCCATTAGCTCATGACAAAACTTCTATGCAGTCAACTAAGTTTAATAGTTATGTTGCTATGTAAAGGAACAGCTGTTCTGGCCATGTTTGAGTGTACCAGCACATGGGTGCATGGTAGGAAACTGTTCTTCTACAATCTATAGAATCATACGTGAATAATCATATGCTGATGATATATAAATCATATTTATAACTTTTCTTTCCGGCTTTCGTCAGTATCTGAGTGCAAGATATTCCAATAACATTACGTTCTTTTACATTTCACGAATGATCTGATCCTTTTTCCATATTCTTTCAGATTCCGAATACCGTAAGTTGATACGGTATGGGCGCCGCCATAGCCCATTAGTTTTACATGCAAACGGCTTACGTTAAATGCGATTGCCAGTCAGATATTATCAGAAACTAAACTGACAATGTTGTAATAGGAGAAAAGGGGGGTAACAGGAAAGTGTTCAGTAACAGAATAGAGAGAGAGATTTTGTTTGGGAAAATCAAAACACAGTGCATGCAAGTCCAGAATATGAACCGAAACTCGCATACCATTATTGAGCTGTAAATCCGAAGCTGTTGGACCCCTTAACCTCTATCTTCATCAAGTTCAGATAACAATGTCAGGATCCGATCACTTACCGCCAATGTACGTACGAGTCTAAACATTATGGATCATAGATACCCAGAATTTAAAAGATGACGCATTAGGAAAAGATTGAACTCCAACCCCAAGCGAAAAAGATATATGTGAAGCCAAGGCCTGGAAACGCCATTTTGTTGGGGGAAAAAAAGGGAAGAAATTGAAAGAAAAGAGAAAGAGTGGGAAATGGGAGAAAGAAAGAAGAGACTGATGAGGAGAGAAAGTTTTGTGAGTGGAAATAGAATGCGGATCGAAGGGCCCGAGGAAGAGGCATTCTTCGAGAGGACCTGCAACTTCGGGAGCTTCCTTTCCCTTTGCTTTCGCGCCAACTCGTGGCTGCTGATCAAGTCTCCCTTTCTCCTTCTAAACGGGAGTCTGGCACGCCATGAGATTATTTCCTTGCAGCTTGATTCATTTTTTGACGATTTGTCAGGTGACAGAACGTTCAAGGCCCAAAAAAAGTGACAGAACGTTACGTTGAATTTTTATATTTAATAATTTTTAGTCTTAAAAGATAAAATGCCTTAATTTAATTCTCAAGAATTTGGTCCCAGAAAAAGAATTTTTTAAAAATAATATCTTCCCAGATAGTTTGACCCTTGTGCGCCAACATACGCTAGTTTACTCAAAAGGATTGGAGCTTATTTGGAGTCATTTAATATGGATATTTGTAAGGATGTCGACGTAAGTTGGCCAGAAAAAAAATATGTTCACTTAGATTGAAGTAAAACTTATCTTACTTACCTGTTTTATATTTTTAAAATCATAATTAAAAATTTGTTTTGAAGGGGTGCTACTCCCAATTCAAAGAAACACTTGTCAGCCTGTTTCATTGGAGGGAAGCAAAACTTTTAGGATTCTCTTGGTGAAAAAAAAATCACGATGCGCACTCCTTTTTTGTTAGTGCAGCATATGGTAAATGGCCCAAAAAATAAAACCATGTTCATGCGCACCTTAACCCTCAAAAAATATTTGAATATGTAATCTAAACCAAGAGAATATTTAGATAGAAATCAAATTATGGTTTTAAAAATATTTTTATAATATATAAAATAAATATATAGAAAAGTTTGTTCTATTTTATGAAAAAGTACTTTTTAAAAATATTTTTATATGTTCCCAAATACCTCCTAAATAATATGAAAGATCAGTGGCATGTAGAAGCGCGGGAGCAGGTATCTAAGTAAATATTTTTATTAATATAAAAATTGCCATTGAAAAATTTAGGAAGATAAGATACTACCTCCCCTCCTACATATAAAAACTATTTAACTAATTTGACTAAATTAAAAAAACTGATTAAGTTGGTTATTTGTAATAAATACGTGTTGTCTTTTCTAAAATATCACTGCTAATTAAGTGTATTAACTATAACTATCATTATTACAAGGACTACTATAAGAAAATAGATAAATATGAAAAATAAAGTGAATTGAGATCTTATATTTATGATCAAAATAAAAGTTAAATAAAAATAGAAAACAGTACATTACATCTAAGCAAAGTTTACACCGAATGACCATGTAACGGAAGCATTTATGATTAGACTATAAACATTGGAATTATTTAAAAGAGCCAAACAACCCAATGTCGAAGATGGTAAGACCAAATCATCCTGTGTTTCACAAAAATAATCTTGACTTTCACAAAGCACTGGCTCTCTTGCTCATGATTCTAAATTCTAATACTCCTCCGGTCCTTATTATAAGACCTCATTTGATTTTTATTTGGTCATTATAAGACCCAATCATTTTATCTCTTATATTTATGCATTTTTTCCAAGATAATCCTTCTAATAATGATAGTTTTAGCCAATATACTTAATAGCAAGGATATTTTAGGAATGACAACACTTATTTATTATAAATAACTAACTTACTTCCTTAATCTCCTCAAATAAGTCAATGAGTCTTATAATTAGAACCGGAGGAGTATCATCTAAGCGTACAAGACTGAACAGACAGTTTTTGCAAAACTACCAAAATCATTTTTTATTGTCATTTTCACTGGTTTCAACCGAACGCATCTCCGGTTCAAGGCATCTCCATCTTGGCATCTTCCGCTCCAGCCACAGCGGAAGACGAGAAAATCTGAGATTACTAATAGACCGCGAGTGACCTGCTTACAGTTGCACCCACACGGCTGATGCTTCTGGGGGAGAACGCTTTTAAACAACACAAGTCGTGGAATCTTAATGATAGTGGTTTCAAGTAAAACGGATGCTGGAGAAAGGAGAACCGAAGGACGCTAGACTTTGCACGAAGGTTGGATTCTTAACAATTTTAAGCTTCGCCTCAGCATAAAAGGCAATTTACGAGAGAGGCACTTTAATAGTTTAATTTCGAATCTTAATTTTGAAATCTTGAATTCTCGATCCTTCAATTTGATTACAGATTCCATGGGCTTCCCTCCGTGTTCGGTTTTCCAAACGATGGTTTGAATCTCGCAAACGCCCGTTTCCAAACACGGGGAAAACGGACTTTTCCAGGCATTCTGTGCACCGTCTTCTTGGTCCATTAGCCTAATTTCTCCTGCATTGATCTACGAATATTTCATACCTTTATTTTGATGATGATGATGATCAGATGTTTATAACTTCAAACTGGATACACGAGAACTTAATTAATTTATATTTAGCGTTAATATTAGCTACTGTATCTTATTTTAGACCTATATGTATTTAAATTCATGAACTCTAGGATATTTTCCATTTTTATTCCTGTAATATTCATACATGAAAATAATATATTTAAAGAAATTTAAAATATCCTATCATTGCTGGTTCAATTTATAATCATTGCTTGGGTTAAAAAAAAAGAAGGGAAAACTAATTTGTAGGTCCTTATAATTATACTCAATTTTGAATCTAAGTCCCTAAACTTTCTTTCTTTTTTATTGGATCCTTTAAGTTTCTACCGTTAGATCCATTACTCCCTAAAACTTAAAACTGTTAATGAAAACTAACACTGTTAAAAGTTTCGTTGAAAGTCTAAATCATCTTCTTCTTCAATCTCCTTTCATCGTAAGTCTGTAACCCCCAAGCTCTCTCTCTCCTTTTCTCCTTCCTTAATATCATCTCCTTCCCCCACCATTAAATCTGGTGGATGCTATCTAGAAATCATCCACAAGGCCTTTTAATCAAATATCCCAGAAAATATACCTAATTCACACCCAAGTCATTTTGGATGACCCTGATTGAATCAAGAAGATATATTGAGAAACCAGTGCATGAACCAAATTATTCCTATGTTTCAGCGTAGAGTGCTACTTTGAGATCATATCCATATAAGAACTTTTAATCACTATAGCAGCCCAAGTCAAATTTTGTTTAGTTATTGACATCATCCTCAACAAATGAGAAAGAAATGCATATAACTCATCCATTTCTCCTTCCCAAAATGTCTCATCGGAGTGGAGCCTACATTATTATATCTCTTCTTGCATTGGTGAAACGAGAAGCGGGCGTGATTGGCGGTAAGGTGGGGGAACTATACGTGCTGTTACATTTTCCGAACCAATATCATCATAACAAGATCACGGCGGCTGTTGACTCTAGTGAGATCCTCCACTGTCACCGTCAGGAGGATCACCGTTCTAAGTCTCCAGAAATCCTCCAAACAGCCATTCACTTCATTATCAATCATGGTTACCTCCATTGTAGAAGTAGAGTTGCTGCACCGGTCATGGAATCCCACATGGCCAGGCCCATATGTGAAGGCTTCTTGGTTGCGATGGGTACAATTGTTCAAGTAATAATAGCAGCTGTGTAGTCAAAAAAGTCGAGCTCTAATGGCATACATGTTGGAGATGGAACGGCAAGATGTATAATGGTGGGGAAGGAGAGAGAAAGCTTGGGGGTTATGGTGGAAGGAATTCGAAGAAGATGATGATTTAGACGGAACTTTCAACGGTGTTAATTTTAACTTGACAGTTTTAGGTTTAGGGAGTAACACATATGACGGTGGAAATTTAAAGGATCCAATAAAAAGAAAAAAAAAACTCAGGGACTTGATTCAAAACTGAGTATAATTACAAAGGACCTCCAAATTAGTTTTCCCAAAAAAAAAAGGTTACAATCATTACTTCTCAGACAATCAAACAATTTCATCGATTTCAAAGGGTTCAGAACTTCAGATGAATTTCGATTATGGTTTATCGAATCCGTACGTTCGCAACGCTCCGTTTTAGCGAGCCCAACCAACCATATCATTTCAAGCCCGAAAATCAGTCAAAAAGCCCCATCACAAGACAAGAAGGAGGGTAAGCATAAAAGCTTAAGCTTAAAGGACCAAAATTTACAGAATGAAGAAGACGCAATAAGCGAGGTCCGGCGATGTGCCCTATAGAATGTAGTAGCCTAAGACAAACAAACATCCGCCCGAGTAAATTTCACTGTTTAATCATCAGCAGGTTTGAGGAAGAGGGCTTCACCGGAGCTGCCCCCTCTGGCCTCAGCTGAGCTCCCAGTTTCTTGCTTGGCCTGATCTCCGGCGTTGCTGCGGCCAAAATCAGGAAAACTGGGTCCCACATGAGTGGATTCAGCGTTGATCAAGTGAAGTGGAGGTGGTGGGGTTGAAGTACTGGAGCTGATTCCCATCTGAGTGTGGAAGGGTTGATGCTGCGGAAGTGGCGAGAAAGGCTGTTGAGCGTACAAAAGCGAAGACCGTGCTGCCATGAGCTGCTGCTGTGTCATCTGTTGACCCTGAAAATACTGTGCTCCTTGCTGAGCAATCCCACTACCAGAATACTGCGACATATTATTCATTCGTTAAACGCCCACTTATTAACTCGAGACTCGAGAGTGTGACATAGTTTGGTATTTTACCTGGCCAGGCATGGCAGGATGTTGGGGTTGAGAATCCGCTATTGCAGCTAAGTACATGAGGTTTCGCTGTAGCCTTGCTTGGTTCCTGAAAAACAAAACATAAACGCAGTCCTCGATTCAAATCATGAAGTCTTTTGAAACATTTTGATTCAATTAGATTCTTACTCTGCACACTCGCTCAGCTTCCCAGAGTTCTGGCTTTCAACAATCTTCAGAATCAAGGTCTTGTTTTCGTCCAGGTATACTGCTTCCATTCCAACAACAACAACAAAAAGGTTATACGTGTCACGCAGAATGAGGGAATGTATATAGCAAACAGCAGAACACGGAGTGTTATCGGGAGTATCTCAAATCTCAAATTTGAAATGAAAGTCGGCTAATACCAACCAATCTAGTTTAAGGACTCAGTCCTGCGATCGACTGAAACGTGACGGCTTTGAGTGGTCTATGTAACTTTAATGTTCAATCATGTTGTCCATTACTAAAAAACATTCAGAAAACACACCGTTCTCATGTGGGGTGCGAACAGAGCTAATATCAAAACTTAAAAAGTCCTCAGAGATAAGGGATATTTAGGTAGATGATAAGGTTATCCAAACAAAAGCTGCTTTTGTAGAGGAAAGAACTATCATTCCTGCGGTCTCTAGCTCAGCCAATCATCCATACACTGCCAAAAAGAAGAAAGCAGAGAGCACCCACTCCAGGGCAGCAGAGTAGACCGCAAACGCCGTAGACTCACACCACCGGCAATTACGTAACTCGCAGCAGAAATGACAAAGGGGAAGTAGAATAAAGGGAATGAGGCATGACCAGGAAGACCAGAAATGCGAAAGCACTGGAAACGGTACTTAAAGACAAAAGGATGCCAGTCGGTGCGGATACAATAAGTAATGCCCAGACCAAACGGAATGAGAATAAAGAAGCAAGGATCATCGTTAGATAGAAGAAAGCAAGAAAGAAAGGCATGAAGTTGCAGAAGGAGATGAAGAGAGAACCTGTTGAATGTGATCAGTGGTGACGTTGTTGGGGTAGTAGGCCGCCATCATGGGTTGCATCTGCATCAGGTGCTGCTGCTGCATTTCTCACACAAGTTATATTTATATGCGTCTAAATCCCACTCTCTATCTAATTATCTCTCTCCGAACAGAGCTGTGGAGCAGAGCAGGAAACACACCCCTGCAAGAGTTGCAACTGCAAAGAGAAACAAAAGTCTCTGCTTTTCTGTGTTCCCACCTTTCCCCTACCTCACAGTGTTACTACTACCGCTCAGAGAAGGATACTACATACTAGTGGGTACAGTAAATGAGAGAGAGAAAGAGGGAGGGCAGTGTTTTTCCATTTTCGTGTTTGTTTGTTTTGGCCCTCCTGGGGTAGTCATGTTTCCCTGCCTAGAACTGCGTGCTCTTCTCCATCTAAAAAGTAGGTCACGTGATGGATGTGAGGCAGAGCAGGCTCGGAGAATCAAAATCTCCAAGCCTTTTCTCATTGTAATGTAACTGATATTTTTCTAACTTTCATACTCAATCCTTCCTTCCTTTGAAATGTACTAAATCATGGCATAATTTTTCCCTCCACAACCCCATAATGGATTCTCCTCTTATCCTTAATATAAAATTTAATTATTAAATTAATTTTTTTATAATTAACTAAATAACCTAATTTTCTTAATATAATTAAAATAGTTAAATAGGTCTTATATTAAAAATCAGAGAAGTAATATCTTTCAAGTGATTTTGTATTCACACATGACATTATTATTAATTTACATTTTCTCAGCATGATTGTTTTGGTAGAGCGATGGCATAAATGATGCATTAAAAGAAAATGAAGCTGTTTGTTTGGGTTTTACTTTTGTTTGTTTGCTTTGGTTTGAATTTTACTGTAGTGTTAACATGACAGAGCGCGGAAGGCGATGGTGCTGTTGGGCCGCTTTGGTATAAGTGGCTAATGAAGCTGACGTTGGACTTGTGTCAGAGAATTTTACTGTAGTGTTAACATCAGAGCGCGGAAGGCGATGGTGCTGTTGGGCCCGCTTTGGTATAAGTGGCTAATGAAGCTGACGTTGGACTTGTGTCAGAGATTCCGAGGCTTGTATCCGTTGCAACACGCGCCCCCGTCACGCGTTTCCCCCACGTCGTTGCTCGCCCCGCTCCGCTCCGTACCGCTCATTTCCTGGCGTCCAACTCCTATTTTTCCTTTAACCCAGGTTTTGTTATTGTCTGAAAATAATGTATCTTTCATTTTTAAGAAATTTTTTTTTTTTTGTAATATTATGCTTCAACAAGTGAAAAGTACTTACGTGGGAGTATAATGGCTACGAGCATTTTTTTAAAATTTATGGCTACGAGTAATATTTTTTATTAGGATTTATGTTATTTATTAGCTTTTTTTAACGCATACACATAATTCCAAGAGAATCATTATGTGGAGCGGGGGGAGTAATAATAATTCTACGGATCCATGTAATTGACAGGTTTTATCACACGGGCTGAAGTATGAAGCCCTTGTTTTTGTTGGGTCCGCCGGAATAAATATTAGCCACTTGCTGATAAAGACCAAAGCACACCGCATCTTAGAAAGGTGTGTGCATGTGTCCACATCATTTTTTTGTTTCAATTTGAACTCAGTTTTAAAAAGGGAAATGCTAACGGCGTTGCCGGAATATGGTGGGTACTATCTATCCCACAAATACAACTTATAAACCATTTCGAATTCTTCTTTGCTTGTTTAATCATCACGATTGAGTCTGTTCTTATACTCTTCGTTCTTAATATAACACTCATTTATTAATTTGATTACATTAAAAAAATTAGATAAGTTAGTTAATTATAAAAAATATAACACTTTTTTCTTAAAACACCCATAATCATCTTTCTTTACCTTCTCTTCCTCTTTTACTTGATTATTTGAAGGAGTATCTATAAGAATAATTTAAAAAAATTGTATAATGATAAATAAATGATCTTATATTTAGAACTAAAACTAACTCAATAATTAAGTAATATATTAAGTAACGGAGGAGTATAAAGGAGAATTCATGCCACTGTGTCCAAGACTTGGGTTCGCCCGAACACGGCACTGCCTGTGCCACGAATGTCATTCTTGGTAATATAACTAGAAGAATAAGCCGGTGGCTTTAGGTGTTTATTGAAAGAAAAAAAGAAAAGCCAATCATGTATTTCACATCACATAGTGTAAAAATTAGATAAGATCTTATAATTAGAACCGGAAGTAGTAGTATTCATTATTCTTAATAATATAATATATTATTAATTAATTAGTTAATATTTTATATTAACAATAGTAATATATTGATGATGATTTAGTTAAACACCTTTTTTAAGCGTGTCTTGAGCATAAAATTGCACCTCACGAGTGGGTGTGCATTTGTTTTTTTTTTTTTTTAACTTGTCAAGATTAATGCATATTTTCAAGTTCAAGGAGCGTTTAAATATTATGTATCAATGAGGTTCTCATATTAGTTATGAGATTCAAACTCACAACCTTATAAATTATTATACCACTTTTTATTAACTGGTTAAATCTTGTTGATCTTCTTCTCCGTTTATATTGCCAGGTGAGACAAAAGACGACAAAAAAAAAGAAGAAAAAGTGATAATACTGGTATGAATTAATGATGAAGGGGTGGGCATTGATGAAATGCGAGGGCAGCTAGGGACGGATTCCTTGTAAAACAGAGAGATGCAGGAAAAAGGGGACATAATTAATGTCGAGGGATTCTGGTGTGGTCAGTAATTTAGATGGATGGTGACATTGACACCATAAAAATTGACAAGGAATGGTGCAAGTCCAAATGAAATTAATAAGGCCCACGGTCCATCTAGTACAGGCTTCCTATGCCCCGCTATGGGGCCTGGCCGCTGGCGCTTATTATTACAGTGAGAAGTATAATTATACAGACGCGTGTAAGAAATTAACACATTCTGCTCGCCTTCCATCAATGCTGTCAACAAGAAACATATAATATGAGAGCAGTGATCCGGTGCTTGCGCTTCGTTGCCTGAAAATTCGTGACCATTGGACCAATTTCATTGGATGGATAGGAATCGCGGAGCAGGCCCCTATCCTCGCAAATGTGGAGACACATCATCAACACCCCCATCACCGTGCCTCCTTCCTCCCGCTACGACGTCCTATTATGAGGCAATGCATGCATGCATCAGATCATTTCAGGTAATTTTATCTATATGAGATAAATATGCAACCCTAGTTCACTCTAATAAAGTGCACCGTTTTTTTAATAAAAAGAGGGGGGGGAGACTCTCCAGCCACCACCTAATGCTACACGTGGCACAACATGCAATTCTCCCCCACCACCATCCGTTTATATTCCTTCATGTTCTAAAATTGCACCTGGCTTGCATTTTACTTTCGCATTTAAACGCCCGCACATTGGGTGAGGTTGTAAATCTACAACGTGCATGGCCCTGGTGGGACCCCCTTTTCTTCAGCCGTGCCCACGTGTCATCACCCTAGCTCATGGGTGCTCCTGCTCTCTGCCCTATTTAAAATAAGCCCCGGGCTATGAATGATGTGCGCATTGCTTGAGAGGATGCACATGTACATTGTAATTCAGTGGTTGGCGTGGGAAAATTCCTGAAATTTCCATCTGCCAGGAAGCCCGGACGACCTGCTTTCCCATTTGATTTTATACTGACACAAGGAACGCTTTTTATGCGCCAGCTCTTCATTAATAATGACTTTTGAATTAATTGCGAATAACTAATCAAATTTATTTCTGTACATCCATGAGCTGTCCGCGTCCTTAATTAGATTATAGAGACAAATCCGTTATTCCAAACTCATAAACCTCCTCTTGTCAAAGGGTTTTGCAAGCACTGGGCAGCACGCAGTACGGCTTAATTAGCTGAACACAGTACATGTTTGTCGTGTTCAACTTGGCCGTTCATGATCTGAGCTTGCGAATGTAAGGGGTTCTTAACTAGGAGCAAATCCTACTATTTTTAGGGTTGGTCGGCCCCAGATTAATATGTAACAGGCAAGCTTACTAACCAAAAGAAATGTTAATAAGCCCAGCAATCAACTTCAAGGCAGGGTTTCACACGTTTTCGTCCGTCTGGCGTGGGGTTGATGAGATGGGAGGCACGCGCATTGCTATCGCCCCTTCACTAGATGAAAACGACGGGCAGTGTAATTATGTCTGAGCATTTTCAGGGGCTTTTCTTCGACGTCGCCACCCAAACTTCCTTCTAAGTTCCACCCACCGTGCATGACGCTCGACCAAAAGCATCACGTTGCTATACAAACCAATACACCGTACTAACCCTCACTCTCGGGTTCTTTGATCTCTATACGAACTTTCTCCCTTTTTCTTTTCATGAAACCGGTTAAGCATTTTACCCTAAAAAAAAGGAAAAATCGCCTCTTCATGGTTCGTCTAGTTACACTTTTTTTTTTGCACTGAGGTATTTGTTTTTTTAATATTACTTTTAAGTTTTAATTTTTCTTGTGTTTGTGTAGTATATCGGATCTGCACGTGTTGATTGATTATATTCTGTAACGCGTTTTTAATTCCGATGGAAAATGCTACTGCTATTTTATTCGGTTTTTTCCCCGATTAAAAATGCTTTTCAGTTACTGCTAAAAAAAATGCTTTTCAGTTTTCAGGGTGAAAATTATATACTATTCGCGGTGATGCTAGAGGCATGCGCCGATTGATCAGACAAACAGAAAATGGTGATGAGAAGGCACTATTGAAGATCGCAGGAGAGTTGTTATTGGCAATATAATTCAAATAAAGCGTCCTTGACCCTGAGGACCGAAAAATAAAAGAGGATGAAGTATCATATAAAGTGGAAGTAGTTGGGGTTTGCTAGTTTGGCTTTTTAGGCTGATTATTTGACTTTTATTTTTCCCTGTGTAATGAATTGACCAGAACAGTGGTTCGACACATTGAATCGGTCTCTCACCGCAAATCATACCGGTTCCCTTCCCGTCCTCTTCTCTCTCTCTCTGTTTTTTAGCAGTTAGATTAACATATTTTAACAGTTTAGATTTTAATTTTTTTATAAACTGCTTATACATTCTGTTTAAAGATATTTAGTACATTTTCTAAATCATTAGAATTAAATTTTAATGTATTTTATAATTTGTTATTTATTTTTATAATTTAATATTTTAATAACAATTCTTAAAAAGTTAAAATCTGAATCCTTGAAATGTTAATCTAAGGATTGGGGGGGGGGGGAAAGGAAGGGAAGAAAATAAGAAGGAGAGAGGAGAAATTCTAAACGCGAACATTGACAACCATCTCATGGCTGAGAGCTCCGAAGACTAGTAGTGCCTGACATTCAACGCATGCAGATTTGAAGTTCGCCGTGTAAAAGTCATCCATCGCCCCTTTCATTATAAAATCCGACGTCAAATGTTTGCTTCCCAAGCAACGATTGTATAGCCCACAAATTTTGACCCCCAACGATGGATTATGTTCCTCGATATTAATTAGTGGTGTTAATATGATCAATTATTAAAATTAGTAATATTATTTATTTTAGATTATATAAGGTGACGCTTTTCTTAGTCATGATTAGGACGCATATATAGAGTTTGACTTTGACTTTTTCCCTGGCATTCAATTCTTCGATATCTCGCCTCTTCCGTGATTAAAAAAGCATTTAACTTAGCTTATCTAACATTTGTGTGATTACATAAAGTACAAATATTTCTTGCCAGAAAAAAGATTACTACTGAAGTAAATATATGTCGTTACTAAACTGGGTATAGAATTAATACTCGAAATCTTAATATCATATCCATGCTTCTCTGATATCGATATCATCATCAACATGAACAATCAAGGCAAAGAAACAATACGATATATATATATATATATATATATCACATCTCCTACAGCCCTCAACCAGAAAAGAAACTCGATCGATTAACAGCAAACTGAAAGAGTCAAAACCACACATGAATAAAAGAATATGAACCTGGAAAACGAATCCTTCAAGTAATAACCCCGGGAGAATGGAGGCGGGGAAACGCTAGTACGGCCTGAAAGGTGTCCATATATATATATTTATATACAGTTTGAATATATGAATGAATTTGTGTGGGAGAGGCTTAACCCAAGGAAGCCGACTAGTTATGTTCGAGGGTGTCATTATTAACCATGGAAGCTGCACCGAACTTGACCGGTTCATCTGGAAATGCCGGTGGTGCACTGGCATGAACATCGTGGCCGGCAACGTTGATCTGAAAAGTGCATCGCCCGCGGCTACGACCGGGGATGGTGGAGCAAGGGTTTGGGTGAGATTGCACGGGACCTCGCCGGAGTGATTGCGCCATCGGGTTATTCTGCAACCATTGCTCCCGTTCCAATGGCCTCGACGCCACTATTTGCTGCGGACTCAATATCAGTACTGCAGCCAGCACTGCAAATACCTTTGTGTAGTAACCCATTCGTCTCAGGTTTTCGAAAGCGAGGCGTGAGTTTATAAGAACAGCAATATGTGTGAATTGGGCCAAGAAAGGAAAGAACTATAATATCTATCTGTGACTGTGGACTGGGAATGATAACGAAGGGGAAGAATAGGCTTCAGAATTTATAGACGGCTGCTTGTATAACTCCGTACGAGTATGAACGAATAAGGTGAGATTTGTTGAACACCGAGACGAGTAGATCAAAAGCCGCGGCTTGGAGTATAGAGTAGAGATTGGTCCAACTCAAAGACTCAGAAATTTCCCTTTTGAAATTCAAACGAGGTAATATATATTTTAATTGGACTGTGGGGTTTGAAAGAGTCCTCTGTGTTCTTCGTTTATACTTAAGTTTTAGGCTTGAACGAGTCTATACATATGGAAGCTCATGTTTTGGGTTAAGCGCACAAAACGACCCACCGACTTGCTAATACCATCTCTCCTTATAATAATATAACACATCGTTTGATTTTTATTTTGGTTCTTGTTAATCTATTTTGTCTCTCATATTTATCCTTTTTCTTTTAAAGTAGTCATTCTAATAATTATAGTTTTAGTCAATACACTTGATTAGTAAGGATATTTTATGGAAGACAATACTTGTTTATTACAAATAACTGACTTAACTTAATTTTTTAATCTAATCAAATTAATCAACTAATTTTTATATTTAGGACTATAGTTAGTATTACATGGGTTCATATTTTGTTTTAGTCAATTTTCATTTAATTTGTAGAGGTCCTTATTGCCTTTCCAAAACATTTACTTCGGTGCATCAGGCGTGCGTGGTCGGTGGTTGTTAAGGAAAAAAGGTTCTCTCGGGGTAAGAAGAAGGAAGCAGTAAAATGAATTTGGATTCCGCCCAAATCGGCCGTTCTGTGCTCAAGTAACGTATGGCTGCAAAATTAAAATGTTTATTTTACGTATTTTATTTCACTCAATATAATTTTTTCCTCCTCCATATATTATAGTTGGGCAGTTTATAAATTTAAACATGATAGAGAATCTAAATCTTAAAAAACTGCAAACTTCTTAGAAACTAAAACAGAATAATTTTTTAAGACAAAAATACGATCTCTTAAATTTTGTTTACTATAGTAACCTTTTAACTTCTCTGTTTCAATATTTTAAATATGTGGCTTTTTATGTAATTCGGCAATAAAATAAGGTTTTCCAAAGAATAAAAAAGAAATTGTCAACCACAGGCTCCTCCTTAAGTATTGAGAATAAGCACTTTTCAAATCACTTCGCATTTCTATAAACTATTCCTCTCTTGCAATGTTTTTAATGGAACTGTTTTCTTAAAGAACAGAAGATCTAGTTTTTTTGTGCTGTGTGCCGAAGTTAAAAAATAATTGTATAGTTTACTATATATTTCATTTTATAGACAGACTAGACATGCATGATTTCTTCCTTATATTTCACAAAATTTGAGAAATAAACTGCCCTGTTCCTGGGTGACAAATATTGTACAAGTATATATTTTAGGGAAAACCATATTGAAGGTACCTATACTTTCTCTCAATTTTTAATTTGGTACCTATGTGTTTTTTCCCTTTTAATTAAACATTTAATTTTATTTTTTTTAGCAATATTAGCTCTTATAACTTTGTTCTATTGATATTTTTAGTCTCTACATAAGGCTTAATGATGTTAATAGAGGAAAAATAAAGATTTAGTTAAGAACAAAAAACACATAGGTACCAAATTGAAAATTGAGAAAAAGTATAGGTACCTCCAATATGGTTTTCCTTATATTTTAATACAAGTCAAGGGATTGTTTCTTTAGCCAACGAGGTGGTTATATTACCGATCGGGGGTTCTGAAACCGCGGTTGTTACCGAACCCTATGTACTAATACATAACAAAACGGCGCGGTTGTTTTTTTTTTTCCCCCGTGCACGTAGAATAAATTTTGTATGGCCAACCTCCGCAGCCGGGTCGCAATGCAAATAAATTTCAGAGGCAGCCTCATGGACGTGCTCGAATCGGATCTCTTGGAGTGTGACCCAGAAGTCACAAATAAGGGGTCTCGTTGCAGTAATTTCCAATCTAGAAGGGATTGCTTAGACCACTTGTCCCCTAGCAGGAGGTTGAGGGCCTCTGATATTGGAGAAACAATGCTGTTCGTTTACAGACGTCCAACCCATTTTGAATAGGCAGAGCATATCAGAAGCTGTTACTAGAAGGTATCCACGTGGAAATTCCACGATCCGGTTTCCATCACTTCCCCCTATTTCACGCTCAAAATGACAAAAAACAGTCTCCATATCTATTTATATTATAAAATAAATCTTATATTTAGAACTGAAAAACTAATTTGATTTCTCTCCACTTTATTCTGTATTTTTTTTAATTATCCAAATAGTGTTTTAACCATTGAGACTTATTTAATTCTTTTGCCTTCTTATAATATTTTTATAAATCTAATCTTTTTCCACGGGACAAATTCAGCAGAACGGGAGAAGGGAGCAGCGGAGAAAGGCGCTTTTTCTTTAGTAAACTGCCTCTTTTTCTTGGGTGGGTTTATACAGCTGAACTGAAAAGCACAACAAAAGAATCGCCCTCGGCTACCCGAGTGAAGTGAAAATTGCTCTCATATTTTTCGGGATGAAGAACTTGAAGTGTAATCAGATGCACGAACAAGACTGAAGATAACTACTGCTATTTTGATATTCCATATCCCCACACGCTTGAAGCAAACGCCTGAAAAACTCCTCTTAATGAAAACATCAATGCATAAAACTGAGGCGTCATCGTCATGCATGCAATTACAGCGAATATAGTACAAAAACCCGTCTACCTGCAGTTTTCTGAATATACAAAATAGATGCAAGACGACACGAAATACATATTCCAATAACTCATTCCTCTGACAATCCAAAATCTGGTTATTGAACAAACAACTCAAATGCGATGCAAATGAAATAGGCTCATGGAATCTGACCCAAAAAAAAAAAAAAAAAGAAATAGGCTCATGGAAAAGCTTGCCTACTCTGCAAAATGAAACGAACCCCAACAAAAAAGCAGGGTACAGGGTTTATAGGGTTATAATTACTGTACACTTGCAACGAGTCTAGGAATCCTGGTTCACTATAGCACAATGTACCTCCCTCCTAGTCCCAGCGCACTAGCATTGATTTTCCTGCTTCCATCTGCAAAATATAGACAAGCCATCACCCAACTTACCCAAGTATGAAAAACTAGGGACAATTGTACTGGAGCTATTATGCAGTCCTGGGAATTCAACATCTTCCCTCATGCTTGACTGTTGAACGTAAATCAGCAGTTTGTACTGACCTTCCTATAAAATACAGCCTGAAATATCAGGTTGATCTATTTCTCTAATCCCAATCTTACGCAATTCTTGCAGACGATCAGCTATTTCTCGTAATAACTCAAGTCCTTCCTCCCTGTTCCTCAGTATGTTGATAGTATGCTCAAGGAAACGCTGGTCTGCCTCAAGAACTCGCAACCTGCCAATCACATCATACTCAAGCCTGCCATTTTCGTCGCATACTGGAGGTTTCTCAGATGAAGAAACAGAATCTTGCATTGGTTGATTATTGACAAACTTCCCACAATTTTCTTGATATTCAGAATTTACGATATTGTGCGCTGATCGATGGACATTTATGAAACCATACACTTGCGTCTCCAACTTCTTCAACTCCTGTAAAACATATAATCTTTCATTATCAAACTCCGATTGTGGATTTTTCACAGGGTCAATATTCTTTTCCTCCAAAGCTATGTTTAGCGCTGCAGCTTTGTCTGAGATACTATGGATGCTTTCTCTGTTTTCCGCACGAGAAGATTGCGGCTGATCCAAACCAATATCTTTCACCTCCATATCAGAGCTTGTTTGAGTCAAGTGCTGCGATGTTGACTCATCAGGATATTTCTTCCTAAAATACTCAAGCTCTGCTTCCAAGTCCTCCAGCTCTCTCCCCTTCTCAGCAAGAAGGTTGTTAGCTTTTTGCAAAGCTTCTGTCTCATACTCTGACTGCTCTTCCATCATCCTTAGGCATTGCAAAGCTTCCATATGCAGTGTTGCCTTTTCTTCCTGCAGCCTAGTTATCATGGCTAACGCTTGAGTTGCAGCAACTGCAGAAGCATTTCTTTCTTCCTCCAGCTCTTTATACAGAGCACTCATAAGTTTCCTGTCATGATCAACTTGCCTCTTTAACCTGTCAACGGCACTTTCACCTTCAATTTCACTGACAATGCTTCCATCCAGGGACAGACCAGACTCATTTCTCTCAAGTGAGACCCTCTTTTGAAGTATCTGCATTCCAGCAGAGTTGGATGCATCAGAAGTCTTCGCTTCATCACTATTTACAGACAATCTAGGACTCAAATCATTTGCTGATAGGTCAGTTCCTCGAGCGGCAGATAATTGTGACAATAATATCTTTAAATCTTCACTGATTCTTGAAGAATCCTTCCCAAGCCATTGCTCTGCAAGCATGCCTGATAACTGCCTTCCTCTATTACTTACGGCTAGTTTATAAGCATCACCGAGATCCAGTAAATTGGGATATTGCTGACCATTCTCGCCTAAAACAAGACCTGCTTCAGATGTTGTTCGGTTAATGTCTGGCTTGATGATTTCCTCATCCCCTATGGTAGATCGTTGCTCAGATGTCAGTCCCACCTTACAAGTTGTCAAATCATCACCTATTCAAATGATAATTTCCATCAAGTTAACTCATGAAAGACCTGATTGGAACTTGAGAGAAACCTGATCCTACCAAGGTCTTTGATTGCATGTTTTATTAGAAACTTAAAAGGCCCATTTCTTAATAAATCCTCTATTTGAGATAAAACTTTATACGAATGACAGTTCATGTAGGTGAAACCATGTACTTACGAACAGTTTCATTGAACAGATTTTCCATATAAAAACAGTGACATTGTTCTTCATTATAAAGAAAAAGAATCCAAATAATTGAAAACGTGGGTATTCTTTTTTTACATCAACTAATACTAAGATTAACATTCTATTTTTATTTTCGCACGTTCCATATCCAAGTACAGCAAGGTAGACAAAGAGAGAACTAAAATATAACTTACAGGTTTCTTTTGATGCTTCCACGGTGACTGGTGCTGCAGATTTACTTCCGTGAGTATCTGTATATCCTGAATGCATCCCTGGTTCTGATTCTATTGACGGTTTACACGGAGAAGGTGAGCCTAAGGGTTTTTCAGAGGCCAAGTCTTCATCTAAGTCAATAACATGAGGCTCCCTCTGTACACATTGAACATTTATATCTTCGTTCGTATCATGTGTTTCACGAATTGGGGTGCTTATGACATCATCATCATCAGATAAAGCAACGTCAGACTCACTATCAGAAGTGATCTTCAGTTCTGTGTACCCGACATGAGACAAAGGATCAATCTGGCTAATTCTTCTCAGATGAGTTGCTCTCACCGATAAACGCGGTTCTGATCTCCTCTTCTCATGAAGATCGATTCCAACATCACCTGATGATGATGGAATATCAAATTCAGTAGCCTCAGACCTGACTGACTTGGTCAACACCAACCTTGGATCATTGCCCCAAGAGACCCTTGGCTCATCGCAACAAGAACATTGTTTTGTTGTTGAAAGAGAAATCTTATGGTCATCCAATAACCAATCCTGCTCATGCGGGGTCTTAGATCCCTCTCCCAATTTACCTAACAATAACTGGTAATTTTCAGAACTGGACTTGTTGACTTTAGCGAAGGAGAATAGACAATCTTCACACATCCCATGAACATTCACAAGCTTGTCGTGTGCACAACAAAGAATTAAGGCAGAAATCTCCAGCTTATGACCTCTGCAAATCAAGTCCCAATAGTACCCTTTTTTCTCCTTGCCTAACACATGATCAAGCCTCGAGCACAACAGGCACGGTATTTGCAATTTGCAGTGGCCAGCGAATTTCGTAATAATGAATGAAAAGACAGCATCAACGAACAGGAAAGAGATCAGCAACCACTCAAGCAAAGCTGAAGCCAAGGCTGCAGTAATGCCCGCGGAAAGGTTGTGTGAATTAGCAGATGAGACTCCCACGGCAGCCATTTTTGAATCAGATCAAGTAACCCCAGTGACGAAACCGACTTTAAATGGGCAAAACTCCAATGTTCTCGATTTAGTATCGTTCAAGGCAAAAAGGAAAAATGCTGGGAAAGAAGAACAGAATTAGAAGCACTACTTACTGTTCCGCTGAAGAATCAGAAGATCGGATGTGTTGTGGAGAAAGTACACGAACAAGATCAAACATCGCAATCTAAATACCCGGAAGTCTTTTTTTTTTTTTTTTAAACTCGGATGACGTTAAATGGATGCTAAATTAGAAATCAATCAATAAAGTTCCAGATGTAAAATAAATATCCAGGAAGTCTCGAAGTTCTCAGAGGTAAAAAGTTAGAAAAATACCAATATCATCAGCTGCGGACAGTTCAAGCAGAAGAAACTTATCCAAAAATCGAAGCTCCCAAGTATTACGACCCAGAATCAGTTAAGCCATCAGATAGGATTTTTTTCTTTAAAAAAATTATGTTACTGGAAGCGAAAGCAATGGGCAATCGGGATATTAGAAAACACGCCCCAATCATGCACGATCAGAAAAAGGCGTGATACCTTCTCAGGTGAAATAATGAATGCTGGAGTGAGAGAGCTCAATCAAACAGAGTCATCCCAAAACGACTGAAAGAACAATAAAGTGATGAGCGGGGGGTGGGAGATGAGTAATCTCCACGAAGTAAATCAAAGGCCCAACCAAAAATGGCAGAAGCTTTCCAACTGGAATGAACGCGGCAATCGCATTTTCCTATTGGGGGAGAGCAACTTTGGTCGAATAAAAGAACAAACCGACAACCGCCAGAAAGTCGGCTGCTGATAAGTGAAAGAATAAAGGTCTCTTGCAATACCGAAAATACCCCCGAATGGGTAGATGAGAACGGAGAAGAAGAGAAGAATTTGGAGGAGGAATCTTAATCGGCCAATCAGTGAGGAGGGAGGGAATATGACAAGGAAATGAGCGCATCTACTTGAGAGGGTCCGTGGTGTGAGAACAGAACCAAGAATCGCAATGCAGGGGATGAGTCGAAGAAACAATGGAGTGGTCGGTTGGAATTTCGGAAGACTATCTAAAGATGCGGGGGTCATAGTTATAAATAGGTATGGTCGGCGGCAGCGTAAAGGAAACTAGAGAGTGATATGATGCCGCCAAAGTTGTTAGTAACCGACCTGTTGAAGACTCTGTCTTACTGTAAGGAATGAATGGGCAGATAAGCAGGACGGGCGTGGCGGCACGTTAGCAGAGTTGTGGGGTAACTGTTGTGCCGATAATCTGAAGCAATCAGGAGTTGTTGGAGCCCTTTAATTTACTGCCTGGCCGTGTTGATATAAAAATTGATTTAATTTTTAATTTAATCTTAAACATGAAACTTTAATTTACTTTATTTATCGTATTAGCTGTCTTTGTATTAGTTACTCATATTAGATGTTTTCATAAAAAGATAATTTTAATACACATTATTAATAAAGATATTTTAAAAAAATAATATATATTTATTATAAATAACTGGTTTAACTAACTTTTTTAATCTTTTTAAATGAATCAATTAGTTCTTATATTAAGAATTGATATAGGAATGATTTTGTGAAAATACTGTCCTTGGAAAAATAAATGCTGAAGAAGTTATGTATTCGATAGGAAGATATACAAAATAACTTTAGCAATCATAAGAGCAAGACGCAATTCTCTCTTTCCTCAGCTGGATGGTTTCATCTACTTAATGGAATGCAGAGTATTTATTGGGAAAAAAGAAAAAGAAAAAGAAGAGGAGTGAATATGTGAAATTGAATGGGGCGTGTGTAGTGGGTTCCATTTGAACTTTAAAGCATGAATGAGTGAATGCTATTGTTAGTACTAGCTAATTGGCTATTATCTGTACCTGACGCTCTGTACATAATTCAGTAATACATATTTCACTTTCCACTAAAAAAAGAAAAAAGAGCATGAATGATTGATGGTTGGTGCCTTGAAATCACATCATTCGTAAATCATAATGCTACCTTTTTGGTAGTCTCTGTTTTTTTAACATCCCTGCTTTTTGTTCCCTTCCTTTATCTATGCATCTAAAATGCTACATAAAGGCAAGTGAGCACAGCCAATTTATTGGGGTGTAATTTACGGCAAAATCTGCCACACAAGTTTGTGATGATGTTATACCTGTTCCAAGCGCCACGAACTGGCCAGCAGAATTTTGTTTTTTGTCCCCAATAGTTTGCCATCTATCTATCCATCCCACTGGCTTGCTTCTTAAGATTTTCGTCCAGAGATAATGACAATAAATATGTATACTTGTCTCATATCCTTACAAACTCATGACCTCTAAATGCCTTCCTACAACCCTACTCTGGATTTTACCCGTCATAAAAATTACTACCTCCGGTTTTTAATATAAAATCTCGTTTGATTTTTATTTTAGTCCTAAATATAATATCCTTATCCATTTTATCTCTAATATTTATGTATTTTTTTTCCTAAAATAGTCATTCTAACAATGATATTTCTAACTAATATACTTGATTAGCAAGGATATTTTAGAAAAAACAATACATATTTATTACAAATAACTAAACTTAACTTCTTTCCTTAATCCTCTCAAATTAGTCAATTTGCTCTTATAATTAGAACCGGAAGTAGTATATTATTACAAGTGGGAGCTATTAGAACAAACCAAATGTTTTACCCATTTAATCGTTTAAAAAAAAAAAAGAAGTTCAGTTATTACAAACTGCATTCTTTTATTGTAGGCCATACTAACATCATTTCAATTAAACCATGCTAGGGCCAAAGCATGTGAGTAGGAACCACACAAAAAGTGATGTTTAGATTTAATTTTGAGAAGTAATTTTACTATATACAAAATATAAAAAAAGGTGAAAATATTTTTTAGGTGTTTTCACGATTTGTCAAACTCCCCCAAAGTCAAGCCATGCTCCAAGTGGAAAAACTGTCTATCTTGATCCACGTATATTCTTTTTGTTTTTGGTAACGATCCACGTATATTCTAAACGGGCATTGTTAACCCCTTTCTTTTGGAGCCGAATCCCTTTTTTTTCGTCTGATGAAATGTTTGTGTTCCTCAGAAGTGTTCAGAGACCAGTTGTAGATATCTCTGGAGCGGCCCAAGGTTGAATCCTTAAAAGTGAATGGGCCGTAATCCACCGCCTCCGCCCACCAAAAAAAAAAGAGGCAAAGGAGAGTCAATGATAATGCTCCGGGTTACCGGAGGAATCATCAACAGAAGAAAAAACACCACCAAACCAGCACCTTAAATTCACCACTTCAATATTTAATGATTTATTCAACTAATTGAAAACTAACTAACAAACCTCAGTATAAATATTTAAAAAAAAAAAAACTAGAGAATGGCACAGCTTACAGCTCTGTTACCATTTTTTATGAATTAATTATGTCAGTAAACTTGAACTGTTTAATAAAAAAAATTAATTATCGGATTTGATTATCATTAATCGTTGAGATTTAAATTAACTAAATCAATATCAATAAAAAAAATCTAAAATCTTTTTCACACATTTTGTTGGGCCTTGTTTTTTTTTGTTTTTGTGTGGTTAATTTGTCTCCAACTGATCATGCAACATCTAAGGTATCAGAAAAGGTGGGTATGAAATTCGGGGAAAAAAATTCATACCTGCTTTAAATTTGAACAATTTTTAAATGACAATTTTTCTTGTGCATTACACTTAGATGTATAGATATATAATTAAACATTATATTTAACTCACAGCATTCATAAAAACCGTGATTCATATTATAATTATTCAAAAAGCATAAAAAATTGCATCAACGCGGACCCGCATGTGAGGCTCGTTGCAGGGTAAGCATGATATATATATATATGTGTGTGTGTGTGTGTGTTGTTTTTTTTTTTTGAGCAAAAAGTAAGCATGATAACTAAACGGAGAGTCATGAGGGTGGCAAGTTCTTTTTTTTTTCCCCCGCCTAAAGCCTAAGTCGCGTTTGGGTTAGAAGGAAAAAAACCTGAAAATAGGGCAAAACAGTAATTACGGAAAACCGGAGAAAGGAGAGGCCGATCTCCTTTGACCTAAATACCCTCTTTTTCTTCTCAGCCCCAATTCTGTGTGGCGGTATTTCCATTGTCAACCCTCACAGTCGCTCCCCCTTCTGCCCCTCTATTTCCCAATCTTCCTCTCCTCTCCTCACCCTTCTTCCCCTAATTCCGATTTTCTCCAATTCCCCGCCAATTTTCCTCAACTTCTTTTCAAATTCTCCTCCTTGTTCGGAGACCTCCTTCCCCTCCGATCACAAAACCCTTGCCCTTTGTTCGATCCCCATCTAAATGCTTCGACCCTCTGATTTTGCAAGTTCCGAACATTACCCAGTTCCCGTTTTTATATTTCAGATCCTAATACCCTAGTACGATACCCTTTTTTGGCCTTGGTCTGGCATCGGAGAGAGGATTTTGCTTTTAATCCTTCGGATTGAGACTTTTCAGGTAGTTTTTGTGATATTCTTTTTTGGAAAAAATTGTTATCTTGTTATTATGTATCTTTATCATTTTATATACTCACATGTTCACGTAGCTGAGCAATCACTACAGTTGGGCTGTGATTAGAGTTTTTTTTTATGAAAGATTGTTCTTTTTGTTAGTTTCTTTATCCTTAGTAGGGCTTTACGCGCAGGTTGCGCGGTTTTCGATTCCAGGTTACCTCCTGGCTAGGTTGAAGTGTTTTTTTTGTTTTTTCCCTTCCCGTGGGTTGGGCTGCAATTTGCTATATTTTGAAGCTTGAGGGAAGTGGTGTTTTTGTTTTCTATTATGACTTACGTATTGTCTCGCTAGTGTTTTATAGAGTTTCAAGTTAAGAACAGTGCATACTTTTGGATTTCAAAGGTGATTTTAATTTCTCGTGCCTGTTATTTCTTCTCTTCAAACAAATGCTGACAATTTAAGAATGTAATATCGGAATTTGTTCTTGCACCTCATCATCATCATCATTATTTTGTTATGTCCATGAATTAATGGTAATCCAAGCGGAATGCCGGGGAATATTGGTTCTTCATCACATTGAACTATGCATTTGTAATCAACAGAACGCTGCACATGCAATTTGAAGTAGGTCTGATTGTCTTACATTTTAATATGCATGCCTCACATGCTCTAGTTGCACAAAACCATTACTGGATATTATTAACTGGAGCTTAATGGAAGGAAGGGAAATGGAAAACTGCAGATAAATAGTTATCTTGTTTTTTTTTTTTGGGGGGGGGGGGGAGCTATTGCTGTAATGCTGTTGCCCCTCTATTTTGTTGCCTGTTTAACTTCATTGGGACATGTACCGCGTATGACAAAAGGTGAGCAGAACAAAGTGTCGATGTTATCTTATTTTACTTGACTAATGAATTTTAGGGGTTCTTGCAACAGGTTTTCCAAGCACTAAGCAGGTTTTTGACTAGTGAACTGAGCGGTAGTTGCTGTTGGTATATCTATCTGATGTCTTCAATGGCTAACCATGATTTGATACTTGGTCAAAGTCACAATTTAGCCCTTGGTCATGATCAGCAATTGGTGATGAGCCATAATCATAATTTGGACCTCAGCCAAAACCATGATTTGGGTCTGGGACAAACCCATGAGCATCATTTGGGTCTGGGACAAGCCCATGATCATGAGCTTGGCTTGGGACATCCCCATGACCATGAATTGGGTTTGGGACAGGAGCATGATCAAGAAGGTGATGATGATCACAATTATGGTCATGAGAATGAGTTATCCATGGATCGAAAGCCTGAGCATGATGACCATGAGCTAGCACTGTCTGAAAACAATGAGTTGACTGTTTCAGAGAACCAAGAACTTGATGAAAATCTGGACCTCGCTATTGTCCAGCACCCAGAAATGGGGATTGATTCTACCCAAGATATGGGTGTTCAGCAGTCCCAACTAGTAGTTGCTACAACGCCACCTGTAATTCAGGCTCGCACAGTTGCTGTAACTCCTAATTATGAATTATCAGTGGGGCAAGAATTTCCTGATGTCAAGAGTTGCCGGAGGGCATTGAGGGATACAGCTATTGCTCTTCACTTCGAGATGCAGACTATAAAATCTGACAAGACACGCTTCACTGCTAAATGTGCAAGCGAAGGATGTCCCTGGCGCATCCATGCAGCAAAGCTCCCGGGAGTTCCAACTTTTACTATTAGGACAATTCATGAGAGTCATACGTGTGGAGGGATTCATCATCTTGGTCACCAGCAAGCCTCTGTTCAATGGGTTGCAAGCTCAGTGGAGCAAAGGCTGAGAGAGAACCCTAATTGTAAGCCGAAGGAGATACTGGAAGAGATTCACCGGGTTCATGGTATCACTTTATCATACAAGCAAGCATGGAGAGGCAAGGAGCGCATCATGGCTGCCATGCGCGGATCATTTGAAGAGGGATACCGCTTGCTTCCACAATACTGTGAACAGTTGAAACGAACAAATCCGGGTAGCATAGCATCTGTTTACGGGAACCCAACCGATAACTGCTTTCAACGCCTCTTCATATCCTTTCAAGCATCTATATATGGTTTTCTGAATGCTTGCAGACCACTCTTGGGGCTTGATAGAACATATTTAAAGAGCAAGTATCTTGGTACTTTACTTCTTGCGACAGGTTTTGATGGTGACGGGGCTCTGTTTCCTCTGGCATTTGGTGTTGTTGATGAGGAGAATGATGATAACTGGATGTGGTTCCTGTCTGAACTTCATAACCTGCTCGAGATTAACACGGAAAACATGCCGAGGCTTACAATTTTGTCTGACAGGCAGAAAGGAATTGTGGACGGAGTGGAAGCAAATTTTCCTACTGCTTTCCATGGATTTTGCATGCGTCACTTGAGCGACAGCTTCCGCAAGGAGTTTAATAACACAATGCTTGTTAATCTTCTGTGGGAAGCAGCTCATGCTCTTACGGTCATTGAATTTGAAGCAAAAGTTTTAGAGATTGAAGAGATATCACAGGATGCTGCGTATTGGATTCGAAGAATTCCTCCTCGTTTATGGGCGACGGCATATTTTGAAGGGCAGAGGTTTGGTCACCTGACCGCGAACATAGTGGAGTCTTTAAATAATTGGATATTGGAAGCATCGGGCCTTCCCATAATTCAAATGATGGAATGCATCAGAAGGCAGCTGATGACTTGGTTTAACGAGCGCCGAGAGACGAGCATGCAGTGGACATCCATACTGGTACCTTCGGCGGAGAGACGAGTTGCAGAGGCACTGGAGCGCGCGCGCACTTATCAGGTGCTTCGTGCTAATGAAGCAGAATTTGAAGTGATCTCCCATGAAGGCACCAACATCGTGGACATTCGGAACCGCTGCTGTCTGTGTCGTGGGTGGCAGCTGTACGGGCTGCCGTGTGCGCATGCTGTGGCGGCGCTTCTGTCATGCAGGCAGAATGTGCACAGATTCACCGAGAGCTGTTTCACTGTGGCGACTTACCGGAAGACCTATTCACAGACCATACATCCGATTCCCGATAAATCACTGTGGAAAGAGTTGTCGGACACGGATCCCAATGCGAGCCAGGCCGCCGAAATCATCATAAACCCGCCGAAATCACTCCGGCCTCCGGGACGACCGAGGAAGAAGCGAGTTCGGGCAGAAGACCGTGGACGGGTAAAGCGGGTGGTACATTGTAGTCGGTGCAATCAAACGGGTCACTTCAGAACCACGTGCGCAGCTCCCAACTAAGGGCCCAGCCCCAACTGCCCAAGTGAAGTGTTACTGTTACTGTTTATTATTATTATTATTATTATTATTAGCCTTTATAGCTCAGTCTGTCCATCAGTTAAATGTGAATGAATTTGAGGTAGCTGCTTTCATGTGAATAATAGTATCCTCTCAAATCATTGGTAACGTCGCTTTGCTTTTTATTCCATATTTGTTCTCGCAGTCGGATGTTGCCGTTACAACCCCGTGCCGTGGTTTGTATTTCTCGGCATGACAGCACTAGGGATTAGGGAATAGGGATCTCCTCTCCCTGCTGACGCCTACAATTTTACTGTCATTTCATTACTAATTAATTTTGAACCATTTACTCTTCATAACCAACAATTATGATCTTTTGGCCAAAAAAATAACATGATCTCAAGTTTCTAGAATTGCTGAAAAATTGAGAAGGTATAGATGCATCGAGCAGTCTAGATTCATGGAATTCCTGTTGCAGCTGGATGCGAAGTATACTAGTCTCCTTAACATTCTCCAAATACGAAGTACAAACACTGACACAGCACTCATCTAGGTCCAGAGCAATCTTTGGCAACAAGAAGGGTCTAGAGCAAACGTTACTTCTAATACTCCTATTTTACTGTTGGCAAAAAAAAAAAAAAAAAAACTCCTATTTTACAAGTTTTGAATTTGATTTTTTAATTTCATTTGTTCAATTCTCTAACACCGTCTAATTTCATTAATAAAAATTGTTGGCATTAGCCCAGGAGGGCAGGTTCAACTAGTTGCAAACGGGAAGGCAAGGCATCACGTCCCTATCATGTCATGGGCTCGAATTCTGAGAAGTCCTCTTCTGGGAAGCGCCCCGGATTAGTCTGCACCCAATGTGATGTGGGATACCGGAAGAGTTAGCGATACCATCCTACTCAAAAAAAAAATATTGGCATTGCAAATTTTAAATGCTGACAGAAGTAACATTTAAAATTATAATATCAACATTTCACGTCAATAAGACTAGTAATATTAAGATTACAAAATTAAAAATATACTTTACAAATTCATAATACCATGAAATTTAAGAGGACTAAATGTCTGCTTTTATTATCATAATAATTAAAATAATCCATCAAATGCCATTTCACATGAAGCTAACGGATGATTGTACGGCCCCGTTTAGAACCCATAGTTTGCGCCATACCCTGAGCCATAGCCGCCGGCATGTCCTGGGTTAGACGGTGAAGATGCATAGACAGAAGCATGAGCCGAAGCCGGAGGAGCAGCGGTGTAAGAATTGAAAGCTTGGTCGGTCGCAGGCCCGCCAGCCTGTGGCTGCGATGGAGCGGCATCAGCCATAAAGTTCTGCACAACAAAATCCAAAATTACATGCTAATCAAGCGGTATAAATCAGCTGGAACACGGCATCATCTTGCAAATGAGAACTCTTTGAACAGATGAATAATGTACAGAACAATATTCATGCACGGAAATCATAAAGACCAGGAGAATGCACCAAGAGAAAAATATGAAATTACAGGATTTGCCTGCAAGTTTTTATTAAAAGTGATATTTTGAAGATTATAAGCAACAACTAACACGAGTTTTAGATCTTCTGCACTTTCTCTGCTTTAACGGAAAAATAATCTCATAAAATTAAATTTAAACTTGATCCTCGTTTTCACTTCACCCATATTCGGATATTCCCCTTGGCTTCCCCACTCTCACTCTCCCTAACGTAGCCCTTAACTATCGTCCGTTACAACAAAGTATCCATGAAAACAATTTCCAAGACATACTTCCTCCTTTGCCAGGGATGAACAGAAAATGCACGTGCTTTTGGCACGTACTTTAAATTGTTCCAAATTTTTCCTTGCTGCAGACTTGACGAAGTTCGTGTTTCAATAAGGAAAATATGAATATATACGCCTGGGGGAAGAAGAAAGGATTTGTTGCGTTCTCGATTGTAAACACAGCCAAAGGCTTTTAACGAGATATGAAGAATGAAAAACATGATGGACAGAATCAAGATTACCTGTATCAACTGCTGAGCAGTCTGGACCTGAGAAGCTGTTCCACTGATTTCAACAGTCATCTCCCCAGGAACACCCCTAGTTTCTTGTATAGAAACAGTAGCCCCGCTGATTCGTCGGATGTAGCTTATACTTGCCCCAGCAGTCCCAATAACAGCATCAGCATAAGACAGAGGAATTTGCATTTGCTGGGTGATCTGACAAAACAATGAGTCAAGCAATTTATTGCTGAGGCCATAATCAAAGAGCAAACACTCATCTATTCTATCGTCTTGAGTATCAGCACAAACTACAAAGTAGTCAAGGACCGTGTCCATAATTTGCATTCGAAAACAAGTTTCTATAGTTAATTCATTACAGCGGCCCTGTCTCACATCAGCACACATTACCTCACATAATATGCCCTGAGACACAAATATTTGTATTCAAATTGTTTGTGAGGATAATCTCAGTAGCTTTTTACTCTACACTTTAAAATACTTGTGAATTTACAGTTGATATAACTTCATGAATAGTTGCTAGGTTCCCCATAGTAACAACAAAAAAACCCTTTTAAAAAAAAAACCTGCGTGACCATGGAAGCTGCAGATTGGGTGTTTGAAGATGCACGGATGCCTATGGGAGCATCTCTTCCATAAGCAGATATACCATGATGAGACTGTTTGTCCACTGAAGGCGGCAACTCAGCTGGTGGATAAAAATTATCAAGTTGTCCTGGAGGTGGCATGTATTGCTGAGTAGGTCCGAAACCAGGACCTCCACTAACATTTGGAGGTGAAGCCCATGATTGGTGAGGTGGGAGGTGCTCCATGGGATGAGGATTTGCCATTTGCATCTGGAAAAAGAATAAGCAAGTATCATTTCTCATTTCTATTGTTTGAGATAAACCCTTCAAAAATTTTAGATTTAATCACACGCTTACATTCATTTCAAATATAGGAATTACACTGCGGTCAACAAGAAACTTCCTCAGATGGGAGGCAATTAGCTCTACTGCTTTAAGCACCCCAGTAGGATCCCCTACTACTTCAACAACCCTATCATCTTGAAGAGCAAACAGAGGCAGGTCCTCTGTAGAAGAGTACAACAAACCAATGCTTAGCAAAATGCCAAAAATATTAATTTACTTTACAAAAAGTTCAGAAAACTAAAATAAGCAACTGCTGCTCAGGACTAACAAGACCGACAGCTGTCCCCAAAATCATATCCCCGATTCTTTAACAGGGATGAAGGATGGATCCAAATGTCGCTAATGGATTGTGATGATCTAGACTAGGATGTCAGAGCAAACTGATGGCTGTTTTCCTAACAGCTGTAGCAGTGGTCGCGAACACGCTTCAGTGAGCAAGATAATTAATAGGGTGATAGAAGTCAGCGCCCACTTCTGGTATATACCAGGAAGAAGCGTCTGAATTAAGTGGTTTTCCTCCGACTAACCTTGTTATGTCTTGAGTGTTCCTATGGATGGCAGAGGTTGACGAGCTCTAATACCAATCTCTTATCCTATGGTCAAAACTAGATTGGCTATTTTTTTCAAATAAACACAATCATGAAGAACATGGAAAACAATTCTAGAATACAGATAATGCGAAACATATAGCACTAGCGCTTAACAAACAAAATAATCTTATAATAGAAGTAAGCCCAAAGAACCTGTTCCAAGAACTCTAACAATACAATTGGATTCTTCTTGGATAGATTTAACTGTTCCTCCTTGTTTCCCAATTAAACTTCCTGCTTGAGATGCTGCTACTAGTAGCCTTGTTGAGACCTTCCCACCAACACCTAAAGGAGCATGGGAAGAATCAATCTCTAAACCATCAATAACCCGTTTATGAACTCTCAATAAGCCATCCACGGCTGGAGGAAGAGATGAATCAGGTTCCTCCCTAGCAGAAACCATTACCTAATCAAGAACAACAAACAGTAATTTCAGACCATTCTTTTCGTAATAATTCTCCCTAACATCCATAGTTGCCAACGAATCACAAATAAAACAATATAGAATGGACAACCAAATATTTCTGCTTTAACCCATATTATCGGGCCAGTCAACGACAGCTCTATTTACCAAACATTGTATTCCACCAACAATCTCTGCAAGGAATTCAATCCATTCTCATGCACAGACAGGTGTTGCAGTTTTTAAAATAAATAAAAAATAAAAAAACGATAATAAAACAGCTGATACCAGCTCAACACTTCTTAAAGGTGTTGTAACTGCATTTAATTTTTTATTCTTCAATCATATTCTTATTACAATCAGCTCTTAATAAGATAAGAAAAAACATTTAAACGCTATTCATAACGTTTTGAAAAATTTGTTCAGATCAACTACAACATTTTATGCAACTTAGACACAAAAATTAACAATCTTATGCATGCTATTTATGATATCTTTTTAATATACGCTTGTTAAATTATTGCGTGAGTTGCTAGGTCATATACTAGTTTTAACTAGCATAAGTACCAAATTGAAGAGTATAGCAAAGGATAGTATCTTCTTCCCCCGTCGGAACCCTCATATCTCAATCACTTACAACACAATGTGGTCCAATCATACCCCCACCTCTCAACATATTTACTGAAAGCAATGATCAACTGCGACCAGCTCGCTAAATTCAGTGCCTCAATTGGACCGCTTATCCATCAACTTAATCTACACACATCATTTTCCCTCCATATCAATATATATAACTGAAATATAGAACCACTTTTGGTTCAAGTACCAGCAGTAGCCTGCTATTAACACATGCAATCACTCCAAATACTCACTAGATTTTCAGAAATATCCCTTGCTAATAGCATTTCAACTACTCAATAGTCTAAACATTTCCTTCAGCCTAACTCTTTCGCATTTTATTTTCCTTACCTTGAAGAAATGTGTCAACTGCTGTAAGTAATCATTCCCCCAGGACAATAAGTCATTAAACGACATAATTGATGGAACAATGACACTGTCTTCTCATTTACATAAAGAAGCTCTCCATGTGTTGAAAATAAAACTAAACAATAGTAGCTTTTAAATCCCTTTACTCATAATAACATATAGACAATAAAAAACACTAAGTATTTGTATTTGATGGTTTAACTATCGGATATAAGTTTCTTTTTCATTGCTTGCAATCTGTGGCAAGGCATCAATCATCCAGGTTCTGAATTTACCAGATCGAATGCAGAGCTTCATGATACTTTGATACAAAATATCTACATTTTTATAAACTTTTCAGCACTTCTGCTGATCCCTGCCCTGCATCTGGATCTTTGGTTCTTCATAATTGGGATCTTATTGATGATTGAGATGTTGCCTTAAAATTGGTCCACAGAACCTGCACAGATTCATTTTGTTAGAATTCATTCATCTTTTAAGGATTTTTTTTTTCTATCACTCATCTTTTCTGGATCTTCTTCCTCTTCTTCGTCTTGCTTTGATCACTGTGCACAATTAAGGCCATCCTTTAAATCATGAGCCATCTGTACATGATTTTTCTTAACTGCTTAATAGTTGAAATAAACTTCTAATTACTGTATAGGGGCACGGTAAAATACCATGAACGACTACTAAAGGAAAGACAGCCACAATCTGTTCTCCTCCTTGACATCTTTGTCAGACGCATACAAATACTGGATATTTACTATTGCCATGAACTATTCCCGAATGTTAAACATATATTTCAATTCATCAAGAAAGCCTCATCCCTGATACTTTTGGCTGTTCCCTGAGCCAATCTAACTATATCGGTAGTTTGAAGCAAAAATTAAATAGAAAAATACTTCAATTAATTACATATATAACATTATCCATCAAAAGGAGATGCACTTCATAAACATACTCTGTTTTAAAATCCACTTATTTAATAACCGAAAAAACTATAGATACGACATATGCATCATTCTGGGATTGTGACATAACTTAAGCATTTCAGTAGCTAAGAACCTGTGAAAATTTAGAGAGCATTCAACAGTTATCTCTCTTCACTAACAAGCTCATCGAGAAATGTCAAGAAGCTAACATAAACCCAATGGATTAAAAAAATAATTAGCGAAGTCCAAGTACAAAAAAAAAAGTTCCATTCTAATAGCAACCGCCCAAAAAAAAAAAGCATAACAAAAACCCCGCAATCAAAAGCGAAAATATTTCAAGGATGAAATTGATTTTGAAATTTAAAAAAAAAAATTGTCACATTTAAGCAATCCAGACAAGTCATAGTGACTGAGTTGATAAATTTACTGGAGATAATTACATGAATAGATTAAAGAAACTTACAGCCCTTTCTGAAGTCCCTGGAGGACCATCAAGAATTTTAATGCGAGCTCGAGTCTCCTCTACAATTTTTTTGATGAACTCTCCTTTGCGTCCAATTATACCACCAACCTTCTGGGCAGGAACCAACATCCGGAAGACACTCTCCCCAGGCCATCCAGGCCATTTCTTCTCACCACTTCCAGCAAATGGCTCCTCAACGTGCCCCTCTCTTTGCTCATGCTCTGAATTCTCGGTTGGTTGCTCAGCATCAGGTTCACTTAAATTTTGATCAACTTCAGCCATAGGGGTGTCACTGGTTTACTAGAAGGAAGCGAGCAAATGTATCAGAAACTGGGGAAAGACTTGACTGAGATGGGTAGCAGAACAATCATATGCACTCCAAGCAGGGCTAGATCGCTGAACTACAAAGGCAACTGATTTCCACATCAAGTGCTAGTTTTAAATTAATAACAAAAAATATACAACGATTCATTACAAATAATAAAAGAAATACTCCCAAAATGTAATCCCCCATTATTTAATGTGCTAAAAGAACTAACAAAGAAAGCAATATAGGACAAACCTGTACGCTATGTTTGGTACGGGGTTTTCGGAGGGGAGGGGAGGGAAGTTGCTCCCCTCCCCTTGTTTGGCTGGTATAATTTTTTAGAAGGGGAGGGGAACTCCCACCCTCCCCTTGTTTGGTTAAGATGTTTTTTAAAGAGGGGAGGGGTTCTTCTCCCCTCCTCTTCCCTTCTAGCCTCCCCTCCAAAAGTGGGGTTTTTTGGAGGGGAGATGAGAGATGATATTTTAATTCCTTATATGCCCTTTTGATTTGTTAACCTCTAATCAGTCATAAACATTTTTACATAAGAGAGTTCTTTTGAGTATCTAATAAGAGGTTATTAAGATAATTATCTCCAAAATTAGTGAGCATTTGTAAACTTTTTTTCTCTTCTTCTAATTCTAAGAGGCCGTTGGTATTTTCTTTCACCTTCAAGGTGTTTTCTCTTATTGAAATCTATCAACTTTTTGTACGGGGGTGAAATAATTATAACATGGTAAGAACAGTTTGTACGGGGGAGAAAAACTGTAACCAAGGAAGCGCAGAAAGTTGAGCTTAATACGATCTAAATGGCTTTCCAAAGTTTCAGTCGACAACCAAAAGTCAAATTGACATCAAACAGTCCCTTATTATATTAGATCGAAATAGATGCAATCACAAACCTATAATCCGGAAAATTGCGCGCTAATCAACGAGGGAACAGGTGCCAGAATACTGGAAGTGTGCGCCAGCTGCTCAAACTTGCCTGGGTTAATCGAAAGCAACTCAAATGAAAATTTCAAAGAAACTTTCGAGTTCGCATGGCAGGATAACGGTTAAAATTCTAGGGTTTGGGGAGAGGAAAGAGAAGGTTAGAGAACGTTGAGGTAAAAATAAATCTGCAGAACTAGGCATGGGGTTTTGGCCACAGAGAGAGAGAGAGAGAGAGCTAGGGATAGGGTTGGCCGGTTTAGAGTAATGTTCCCGCGATATTCTTTGTAAATAGTTTATGCTTCGCACGTCTTTTCTGTGTCCTTTTTAACTTTTTACGGGGAGAATGCCTCTTGGACCATTGGCCTTTCGACGCATCAACATCTCTTATGTCTTCGCTCTTCATTTTCAAATTGAAGTCCCGCTAAATTTTAGTCAGTCACCAGAAAAAAATCTCGCTCATTTTTTATTCTCATCAGTCTACTTGCCATTCTCACTGATCACCAATGACAGATAATTTATATCAAATTTGGGAAACAAAAACAGGGTTTTGGTAGTATAGAGTAGGGGTGCAATCCATATCAGACGTGAAGCATTAAAAACCCGTCTGCGTTCACTGTCCATGAAGTCCCTCATGAAACAAATAATGGTGTCGATCTTATCCACTCCGGTGAAGATACTCTTGGCTGCTATAAAGGGCTTTAAAAATCATCAGACTGAGACATCAAATTTTACTCATGTTAAACGTTCCCTTGATTTTAATACTGTTGAAGTAGGGTGCTCAAAATACATCGCATTCTTCCTGTAAGAGACAGCATTGCAGACCTAAAATTAGAAGTCCTATAAGAAAAGCTTAAAGCGGGGTTCCATCTTTGTCTACCTAGGAAGAATTGGGGAACTACAATCGGCTCAAAACCAATGATCATTATCAGTATGTGCAGCAGAGAAATATTATGAACTGTAACAGTGGAAAGATGAGCTCTACTAAGACCGCTCAGTAGCGCCTTATCATTATAACGTCACCCTTGATCTCATGGGTATCCAATGAAACAATTATACATGTTCTCTCTAGTTATCTCTATGATCGCAGAGAGTGCAAAAGAATTTGAATATTAACTACAACAGGTGCACATTATTGACAGGTTTCTACGCTATTCATCCTTTCTTGGCATCAGCAACAGCTGCTTCTGATGCAGTTTTAGTGGCAGGATTAGTTGCAGGAGCCATCAAATTGTCAAACTTCTCAGATTTTCCCAGCACAATTTCAATCTAAAAGGATCAATAAGAAGAAGTTAATTACCTATGTAAGACCTTAATTATATTGATATATCAGTTTGATCATTGACCAAGTTAATTACCGACAAAATCACAGAAGAATAAAAAATTAGGACAAATAAAGGTCGGAAGCCTTAGAGCCCACCTTAGCCTTGTGCATCAGACGACCTTTATTCTCGTCCTTGATGCCAACGGTAGATGTCGAAACTTCTGCTCCATCCCATGACTAATTAGTTGGCTTCATTCACCATGTGCAAATAAGGCATTGATAACATGCTAAGAAGAAAGAAATCTTACTCTTCTCAGTGGCGAGTCCATTGTTCTTCAAGATCTCGGCAATTGTCACCACCGTCGCGATAGCTATACAGAAACACAAAAACTTAGTTCTAACATTCATGTTAAATGCAAAGAATCACCCAGGGAAATTATAACGCCGATGCTGCACCAGCTATATGCCGTAATTTTGGATTCAGCAACCACGGGTAAGAGAAAACCAATGACAATAAAAGGATTCAAATTTCCAGACTAAACTCTTGGTGGTGCTATCAATTTCTTCACTACAAACGTACGTAGAGGCACTAAGGGGAAAGGGAATGGATCACTCTTTCGCACAGCAGCATAAAGATACTGGCATAATAAAAAAAATCGTTTAACCGTGGTGCAAAAGAACACCTCCTTTTCCAGTAGCCCTTTTTTAGGATTGAAATTGTGCGTGTGTTTCTCATATGAAGATGAATACATCCCTTGTATGGGTTACCAAAACACAATTTGTAAATTACCTTTCGAAAGAAGAAACATCTAATATCCAAGGACAACCTAACAGAAAACATATATGAGATTCAGAGAAAGATGTACCCATCCCCAGTGCAGAAAGCTCAACCTCATTGTGCTGCTGTATGTACCTCTGCATCAAAGAAGAACCCATTTGGTCATTATATACACATCCAGGAAATTATCTACCCTCATGGGTTGGGTTTCATCCTTCGTTTCAAGTATGCCATTTGATTATTTACATTATTTACTACCACGAATCGCGAAACCCCGAGCCTATTCGACCATTGGTTGCGAATGAACAAAAAAATAAAGAGTACGAGCAAGAGGAAATATATAAAACATCAAAATGCATTCGTTGCAGATGCAAGAATCGACCAAAAAGAGTGGGATCCTGAGAAGTTTAACCATCAGGACTCGGCAGATTCATAAGAACGCAATAGCTGTTTCCTAAAGTTGAACCAACAGCCGTAGAGTTTATGACAATGAAAATGTTTCATGTAGCTGTTTCCTACAACTTATGGCTTGTTATCAATCAGAAGCCAGAAATGCGATTCAAGGAGTCCAGCACAAATCATTTCGAACAACATACAGATAATGTGCCCAGAAACTCAGATTTCAGAACAAGATTCCATTTCTACAGGAAATTCAAGCGTTCTTTTGTTGTTCATTTTCTGAGGCCATTGAAGAGACTGCATTCCTTATATAATATACATATCAAGATTAAATAAATCCTGAAGAGAAGGAGATATAATAATAAAAACAGATGGGTACCTTGGCGAGATTGACGTAGAAGAAAAGCGGCTTCTTAGTGTTGGAAACCTGGATTCTGTTCTTCTTCGAGTTGTCAGTGTCTCCATTTTCAGCAAGGGTCGTTATGCTTTTCTTCTCGGCGGCTTCAGCGTTTCCATTGACGGCGACTTGCGTCACGTTTTTCTTGGGGGCTTCAGTGTTTCCATTTGCAGCAACGGTCGTCATTGTTATCGTCTAACCGTGTTATTCTATTGCGCTTTGTTGTACGGAATGCTTTGGAGCGGGAAAAGGAAAGAAAGGCTCGATCGGTAAAGTAGGGGAAATCAGTTAGAGCCAGGCTTATATAGAACGGGACTCTGGGAATCGTAAAACCAGTGAGGAGCGGACACGTGCTGGCGTCTAATGGCAAGTGGACGCGGTAAAGTGTATTGGCAGTTAGGATTAAACCTAGTGAAAGAACGAGTCCGTTATGAGGAGAGAGAAACTCTGCGTGGTGGTTATTTTTTTGAGCGGATTGACGAATAGGACCCTGCATCGACGGCCTCTAGGCCCAAATCCTCAGATGAAAAGGCCCGACCCAAAATTCTGGGGCTGACCACCGACATCGACCTCGCTTTATGTTTTGTAGCCGACTGCGAAACCAAAGGGCCATCCCTTTTTTGGCCCAAAAAAAAAAGAGACGAAATAACTCATAGCGACCGTCCCTAATTCACCTTCTCTCTGAGGCAGCATGGCGGAGGCTCTTAATAAACTTTCCCGTGCAAAAAAGACATACTCTCAGTAATGTGAACAGGATCGATTAAAAAGGATGGATCAGGTACTGAAGAGTGACAATTAAATGAAGGATAAACATTGTGTGAAGTTAGAGATCGAAGATGGCGTTTATGCCACAAACTAGGATGTAATACTAAAGATTCAGCAACATGCGGTGGTGCTGAATCATTTGGTTGATCAAAGGTTGGTAGAAAAGGGGCGTGTGGTTTTATTTTTTATTTTTTTGAATTTCTTCCCACGGTAAGGGGCGTGGTTTTATGTTGACCACAATGGTTGGGAGGGAAAGAAAGGAAATGATGCATGTACGCTGCTTTTCTATCTGTTTTAAACAATAATAAATTCATGCATGCATATGTGGCTGTGTGTAAGAATATATTGTGCATGCTTCGGGCTCTTTAGCTTCAATTGTTGGTTGGCGTGGTCCCGTTATGTGAATCCCCACTGATTTGCAGCATCTACTTTTAAGTAACATGAAGGGCGGCAGAATGATATGGTGGGGCCACACCAAATCACACGAATTTGCTCTTTGTTTCGCTTTCCTTTGACATGCGGGGCTTCTTTGCTCCACACGTGTGTGTTCCAGTTTTATTTCATTCTCCTCAGCCCAACATGTTCCGCCAACAGATCAACACGCCCAGCTCTTTCCAATGATTACTTGTAATGACACAAAATCTTTAGGCTACTCGCACACGTTGCCGGCTCTCCAATGAATGCATAGAGTTCGATATCCTCGGCTATCTCGTATAATATTTGACCGTGCCTGCCACGATATCAATCTCCCTCCCAAAGCTTCTGGCATTTGTTAGCTTGTTGTCGAGACCATTCCCACCAAAAAGATAAGGTTTTTTTTTTTTGGGGGGGTGGGTGGCCGCGTGTGTGAAATGCGATTACTCAATTAACGATGGAAAACTGAGAAAGCAGGTACAGTGTGGGATCCATGCCCTTTCAATTTATGATGACGTATATCGACTCATGGTGTCTGGTGGTGATTGGGTTCATATCCGAGCGTGTCGAGCTAGCTTTTGTAAAACCTACCGTCGTGCGAAGACAAATTGACCAGTCATGGGCCAAGCTTCCACGTCTCCCCCTGACGACTGAAGCTAAGCCAGATTCCTCCCAAGAGGACATGGTCGTCGGGGACCATATATGCGTTTACATGGGGTTCCACTCATAGTCGGTGCGATCAATAATAAAGATGAAGAATGCCGAATTAGTGGACTATACACCTCAAACTTTCTCAGCCACCATTATGTCTGCATATGTGACCATTTGTGTCGTTTTAGGGCGGTGATCATGTTCATAGTTGTCTATAATTTATGGGCTGACTGCTGGAGATGAAGTTTAGGCGTGGTAGCCAGTGATAGGACCACCGCCCGAGCCCACAGACCAGGACTGATTGATGCTTGAAGCGTGAGCAGCTTGCACAAGGAAGCCAGAATTAATGGGTTCCAATGGGGAGGGTGAGTGAAAAAGGAAAAAAGCCTCTGAAACGAGGGGTGGGATCCTTTTTTGACTTTGTGGGTACCTGAGAGCATCAGAATGTCGGATATTCAAAAGTGGATGTCTAGATTAAAGTGGTGCAAACCCAATGTCCAATTTGATATGATTACTTGGCCTGGCTTATCCGGAAACTACCAAACGTCGCCTACATGTGTGATTAACGGCAACGGCGTCTCTAGGCCGTTGGTTTCTCCTCGGCGTCAACACAGTGGCCAGCCGCAAGCTCTAATTTCTAACTAACTTCATCTTAACGCCTCCTTTAATTTATGGCATGACAAGGCAAAGATCGGCTTTTGAAAAATTGAATGCTGAGAATTTTGTCGTTCGGTGCGTTTTTTAAGATGCGTATTAATCCATATTTGCAACTTATCTCCGAACAATTTTTTAGGACTCGGATATCGTGAAATTTGAACCTCAAATGTGATTCCCATATGAACGAGGATGATGTGCATATGAAATAGATTAGGAAAAAGGTGTTTGCCTCCAATGCACTTTGAAATTCAAAAAAGGTCTTAAAGGATGAGTAAAGCGAAGAAAAGGGGGAGGAAGCCAATGAGGAGTGAGGAGTTTTGAACAGTGCTTTGCCGTGCGAAGCTTCCTCATCAGCCTCAGGCACTCCCCAATATTATCTATATGCATGGATATACACGGCACATAACTAAACAGTCAAGTCATTATTATTAGCTGACCAAAACGATCATTGAACGGCGCATTTTCAAAATCTCCTTGAAATATGAGATTTAGATTTATTCAGAGTTAAGTTTTCCTGTCTAATATCAACATGTCCCTTGTATATTACTCCCTCCGTTTCTTATTATAAGAGACATTTGATGCTTATAGTATGTTCCTAAATATAAGAGACACTTAAAAGTTGTCTCTACTTTTTTGTGTTAATTTCCTATTTTACCCATATTTATTGTCTCCAACTCACACTCTCTCTCCTTTCCACTTCTCTTTCTTTTAAGAATTTACTATTGTTCTCTCTCATGCTCTCTCTCCTTATTAATGAGGGCATTTTTAGAAAAAAAAATTATACTTTTTGCACATTAATTGTTCTTAACTAATTTTAACTGTTTTTTTTATCAACGCAATTCGGTTATTCGTCTCTTATAATAAGGAACGGAGGGAGTACCACCCGGGAAAAATAACTTCTTCAATTGCCATCTGGCGAAGTTTCGGTTAGTGACAAAGTGATTGAGCGTTAGTTAGGGAGGGACTGATATGTTGAACACTTGAAGTCAATGGCCATTTTAGTTTGGAAAATAAACAATTGCTTTTGCACATTGATGCCTAAAACGAGTTTCTTGATAACCATTAAAGGGAAATGCTGGACGAGAAGTTATCGCAGTTTAAGTTCATAATTATACACTCGTTTCAACAATAGAAAACATTTGTTCACCAAAAAAAAATTGAGTGTTTGCTCTATACATTTTTAGTGATCATAATGCAAATAATATTTTTCTATTTATTCATATAAATAAAACATTGATTAAAGTTAATTAATACTCTTAAATTATATCCCATCTTTCAAATTTAATTTTTTAACCCAATTTCACTCAACTCTCAACCTCTCTCTCCTGTCATAATTAATTAACGATGCTTATGTCAATGACATTGTTGAAAAATATTTTTTTATAGATTACAAAATAATTTATATACAAAGATATGAAAAGTCTTCAAAAAGTGTATTAAAGACGGGCTTATCATTCTCATCCTCAATGTCAGCTATGGAATGAGATTTTTTGAAAAAAAAAAACATTTTCGATCAAAAAATTACCATTTCCTTCCTAAACACGAGAGTTAGTTATTGAATTGGTTTTAGTATAAATATAAAATGTAAACAAAAGAGTTAGTTATTGAATTGGTTTTAGCATAAATGTAAAATGTCAACAATTAAGGATTACTCTTTTAGTCCTAAATATAAGACCCATATTATAGTGTAAACTAATATGATAGAGTACTATTTTCGATTCTTAATATAAGATCTAGTTAACTAATTTAAGAATATTAAAAAAAATTAGTTAAATTGCTTATTTGTCATAAATATGTGTTGTTTTTCTTAGAATATTCTTACTAATTATGCCCATTAGATATAATTATTATTTGATGAAACATTTAACATGTGCAATTATTACAATAGCTACTTTAGAAAAAATAGATCAATATATAACAAAATAAATCAGAATCTTATATTTAAAATTAAATTAAAAATTAAACTAATTTTTATATTAAACATAGGAGGAAGTACTATTTTTTTTTTCCACACACAAGATGAACTATGGTTAAATTGAAGATGGTGCTTAAAATTGTTGGATTGGGTATGGGCGCATCAAATATCACTTGCAGGGCGCAAGGCCGAATTTCCACTGCCCCCACTGCCCGTGTTATCTGTTCATTTTTTCGTCTTGAAGTTTTCAACTCTAGCGTAACTCCGTTGAAAAATCTCCCTCTGTTTAGCCCCGTCAATCCCCCGAGCCCCACGCAAGCAGACGGTGAAAGAATCGTCCCGTTTGGCGGGGGAAAAAAAACAGAAGTATCGCCGTTAAGAGTCACGGAAACTTCTCTATATAAACGTCTCTACATTAAACCAGTGGTGCGAAACTAAAAGGGAAAAAGCTTTTGTTAACCTCCCTAAAGACAAGGAATATCATTGAAACCCATTTGAAATATTTTCTATTTCGCACGCACAGGGAAGCCCAATAGCGAGCGGAGGGAGGAGGAGGAGGAAGGCCTCGAGATCCTGTCAGATCGGAGCGGAACTGGAAGCGAAAATTTCACATTATTGACTGATTCTGGTGTGATTACCGCTCTTTTTGTGTTATTATGGTTAATCTTCGTAATGTGGTATCGATCTTTGATTTTGCTGGGCCTATTTGGCTTATCGTTACATTGCTCTGGGGATCATTTTTTGTGTTGCCTTTCTTATGTGCTGTTTTGTTTTCCTTCTCGCTCGGGAGGTTGCCCATTTTGACAACGCTGGCTTAGAAGAAGCCAAGCCTATCTCTTCTTCTTTTTTATTTTATTTTTCTTACTATAGCGTTAGCCTCAGGAAAAAGGATTTTGGCAATATCGGATCCTCGTCTTTCGTCGGCTGTTCGATTTATCTGGTTAGCTGCCACTATGGGCCATCTTTTTTAATAATTGCAATATACATGTATTGGGTCAACTGGGAAAATTTAAATCTGCGGGTCTTTTACATGTTCTTCGTGTTTAATATTGTATGCCTTCCATATTTCCTGTATCTATGTCGTTGGTTTATTTCTGGGTTTGTTGGGTCCAGCTTAAGCCTTTCATTTTCTATTTTGAGCAGTTGTATTGACCAAAGCTTCTTCCTCAGCTTAAGAACCATTTATACCAATAATGAATATTGTTCTTTGTGTTAGACCTTCTGTGATCCTCTCTATTAATCAAACTGAACGGAAACGGTATCTCAGTTGAATTTATTGTTCCGGATTTCCAGGACGTAAAGTTGTCTTTACGTGTGGTTCATTCATCTTTAGATCACGTTGAGGTTGCTCTTAAATGTTTGGGCTTCATACACGAAATTTGCACGGAGCTTCGGAATGATTCTGCAATAACTGTTTGAGTCTTACCTAAAACTCTTCCAATTACCCATTTCGCCCTTTTTCACGTCGTGGCTCAAAAGGATTCTTCTTCTTCTTGTTAACATGAAGTGTTTTTTCCGTAGCGTTTAAACTGATCGGTATAATGCTTCCTTCTATGGTGGCTTCAAGTAACAAGATCATGTAAAAGAATGATTAATTCATACGAGCAGAGGGTTTAGGCCATAATAACATTGTATTCTCAATTGGGAAGTCTCATGCATATATTTTAAAATTTATTGGGAAAAGAATTTTGCCTTTACCATGTTATAACAATTTGTCTTCCACATCATTATTTCTTTTTATTTTTTATTTTTCAAGTGGATGATCTCTAGGTTTCCCTCGACAATTTATGAAGAATTATCGGTCTATAGAATTTTACTTTAGAATATTAGTGGACTGGGTTCTTTATCATTTTTTATTGAAAACAATTATGATGCTGGTTTGTCCCCTATCAAAGTTATGCTCCCATCTCATCTATAAATTTAGAATGCCTTTGTTATCCACCCCCCCTTCCAGGGCTTGCTTACAATTTTATATATTTTGTATTCACTATGTTGCTTACCCTATAATCTATTATTTTCAATAGCGCAGCGTTATGGGGAGGGAAGTTACAGGCATACATGTTGTGGACAGGAGGACGAATGCTGTCCCAGCGGCCTCAAACGGTAGGCCTAATGATAAAGTACACATTTCTCCCAAACTTGCGGCAGTTAAGGTTGATTCAAAGGATCACGAGGCAGAGGAAAGTACTGGAGCTAATTCTCTTGTTGAGAAAAGTCATGTAAAGAATAATGTTTTGGGTACTAAAAGCACAAACCATGATGGTGTCTTGCCTAAGGAGAAGAATGAGAAAAACGAAATACAGGGTATCAAAATGTTAAGTTCGCCTGCTACTAGATCCACTTCTGTGGGAGAAGATAATACAAAACACTCTGATTCACAGTTATCTGATCTGGCTGATGAGAAGCATGACTCGAACTCACGGTCTGTTGAAACTCTTGGTGTTTTGTCACCAAATGCTGACAATATTCATTCCCCCAGCTCAACAAAGAATTCACAGGTATTTCTGGTCAATTGAACATGTAGAGTTGAATAGTTCCTTTGCTTCAAGACTACTGAACATGCAGTGACAATGACGCAGTTTTTTTTTTTTTTTGGGGGCTTTGTTTCTGATATGATTTCAATATTTAAACAAACCGGTCTGATACAAGAACCCTTTAATGCCACAAAATTGATATTCCATTATTGACAAACATGCATACTTGAATTAAAGATTTGGTTGTTGATTGGGTGCAATGGTGTTGTGTGATCTGTATAGCTGACCTCATCTAGTGGGATAACGCTTGTTATTGATGTTATATTCATACTTGAATTATACTTAATTACTAGTGGAAGCTCATATACCGTGCCTAATAAATGTAAGTAGCCACTAATTAAGATTGAATCTACTACCTTTGAAATGGTATCGGCCGTAAAAAGGCAATTGGCTCCAAACATTGCTGATTTGCTGATGGCAACAGGCTTCCCTATTGATATAAATATGGTTTGTGTTGGTGGGGGCATATTTTACACTTATTGCTATTGGTGTTTGCACTCTTCTGGGAAAAAAAAAATGTCAGATTAGTGATCTGCAAATTCTTCTGATTTGTTTTTCAGCCTACTTCACCCCTTGCATCAAGAAAGCTCTTGCAATTTGAAGATAATAAGCACCGTGATGATGAGGATGATTGGTCTGTAGCTTCCTCGTATCCTCTACAATTTTATCATTTTGATAGTTTTAATCTGAAGAGAACAAGTTTTAGGTGTTTAAAATAGATATAGGAATTTGAGATTTGGCCTGCACCCGGGTGTTGGAAACCACACCCCCCCCCCCAAAAAAAAAAAAAAAAAAGGAAAACCCAATAAGGAAGGAGGTATACTTAATTACCCCCCCAATCATTCAGTCATTTGTTCTTTAACCGTTCATTTTAGTGCTACATCTGGGCGCACTGCCAGAGCTAAGGTAACTGTGGGCACAGCCCCTACATTTAGATGCTCAGAACGGGCGGAGAAACGGAAGGAGGTATTGTTTTACTGAACTGTCAACTCATATATATTCTGCTTGAGTGTTTGATATTATAGATTGAATGAAGAGGTAGTGTTGGTTCTTATCTTCATTTTGGTTTATCCATCCAGTTCTATACGAAGTTAGAGGAGAAACATCGAGCTCTTGAAGAAGAAAGAGGCCAATATGAAGCAAGGCAGAGGGTACACTAATCTTCTCTGACTATCATATACAGCGCAGCCATTTTTTGTTTTTCCATTGTTATCCTTTCGTTTTGTCTTCCCCCTGACAGAGACATCCATCACCTCTTCAATTACCCTGGGATGTGCCACGTATATCGGTTATCATTAGGTCACTAAATACACATTGAACTGAAGAAATGACATTTACTGTTTTGTTTAATGACATAGGAAGAGAGAGAAGCAGCCCTCAAGCAATTGAGAAAGTCCCTGGTGATTAAAGCAAATCCAGTACCAAGTTTCTACTATGAGGGGCCTCCACCGAAAACTGAACTGAAAAAGGTATTCTCTTTTTTCACGTGTTCTTCCTAGTTCCCGAAGAATCTGGATGAATATGACTATCATTGACGGTTCCTGAATTTGCTTGGATAGACCCCTAGAAGTCCTTCAGAGATAGCAGTCTGTTCAGAATTTAAACCTCTCATGTTGCCAAGATATTGTTAATTATTTGGCTGAGATAACTTGTACTCGTCACTAACTTGGCTGTATTTTCAGCACAGGTTTTTGGGGTTCTTGGCTTCTTGCTTCTAGGTGCTCCCATGTTTATTGCTGACTTCGTTTTTTTTTAAAAAAAAATTTTTTTATTATTTTTTTAATACATGGGTCAAGCTAGTGCTTGAAAGAGGGATTGAACCCACAACCTATCACCAACTAGGGTAAACTCCGTGCCGCCAGGCACATATAGCTGTTGGCTGCCGACTTCAAATTTAAATGTGCTTTCACGAAGGATGTTACTACATTGTTTCCTTGTTGTGTATAACGTTGCTTTTAATTCTTTTCAACTAGAAGAATGATAATCTAAACTGGTGAACGACCAAATAATCTCAGTTCTCCTTTGATACAGCCGCCGCTGACTCGACCCATATCACCAAAGCTAAGCAGGAGGAAGAGTTGTGGTGATGCTGTTACCTCATCTCCGGAAGTTTGTACTCGTGCACAGCGTCACAGCATTGGCAACTTTAAACAGGGATGCAATAGCACTCCTGTCACTAGGAAAGGCAAGGAGCAGGTCATTGGACGTAACAGCATTGGCAGTTGCAAAACCAAGGAACGACCAAAACTGGACAAGGAAACGAAAGCTGCTACTCCTAAAATCTCGGACCAGACGAATGCGGATATATCTGTCCTGTCATGAGCTTCCATCAAGTCTTATACTGACCTTCAGTTGAGAGGAAAGTAGCCTTCATGTGGGATTGTTTGCAAAAGAGATGAACCTATTTTCTTTTCACCCGGACTGACGTGTTAAACCGTTTATGCTAACTTGAATTGTATATGTTTTGTAAGTTATATTGGTGCATATCATGTTGTATGTAAAGATAGAGTTATGATCTAATACCGGACTAAATGTGATATTCCGCAGTCTGTCCGCCTCTTCCCGCTGGTGAGAGGATAATTCTATAAGAGAAAATATCTTATTGCTTTCTCCAGGACCTTATTAAGGTATGCTATACAATAACGATGCGTGTTTCTTGCCCTATTGGCAGAAATATGCGAGCAAATGCTTTAGATGGTTGATAGAGTTATGATAATATTCTCATGTTTGAAAGTTGGTAAAAACTTGAAAATGTCTCCAGAAAAATCACTGTCAAATCAAATTAGGAGCGTGGCTCATCAGACAAGCTGGCTGGAGACTTGTGACCGCATGGGAAAAAAATTTGAGATTGAGATGGGCCTTGGACAGTAGAACTAAAAATTAAAAGTATGAAGTAATTAAAGCCCGCTTTAGATGGTAAAGCTTTATCTCGATTGTCCACTGGCATCATGGCACGAGTCAAAATCCATTCTTTCATTAATTTTTTCGAGCTGTAACTATCTGTTAGCTTTTTCTGGTCAAAAAAAAAAAAAAACTATCTGTTAGCTTTAATTTACTCTTGTTGTCTTTGTTAGTAAGATTTGAACTGTATTCTTAAAATTGTTGGAAAAACTTGTAATATTAAACTATTTCGGGACGAAAAACTAATTAAATCAGCAACTGTTCTCATATCCAAAGGATGCCGTAAATGCTGCTCATGCATGGGAAAACAAGGCCAGGGGATTGAGGGCTAAGTGGTCTATCAATCTACTAGCTAGTAATTATGATTTTGACTTTTATTTTGATTTTAAATATAAGATTCCAATTTACTTTATTTTATATATATTTATTTATTTTAAAATAGTTTTTATAATAATGATAATTCTAACTAATACTTTTGATTAGTAAAGATACTTTAGAAAAAATAATATTTATTTATTACAAATAACTAATCTAAATAATTTTTAAAATTTTTTTAAATTATTTAATTAATTTTTATATTAAAGAGCGAAGGTATTATCAATTAAATACTGATTTTTAATTTCTTATGGAATTAATGCACTGATTTCTCTCACCTCCATCGCACTTCTGGGCGGTCTCTGCATAACGTGTTTTATCCAGTGTGACCACCCCATTTACCCGACTCTCTCTTGCCTAACAAAAATCATGGTATCTTCTTATTCATTTTCCTCTTCCCTTCCTTTTCAACCCTTCAAGACCCCTAAATCCCCCATTGCCTTCTCATTCGCGCGGTTCGGAATTCTGACCTGTACATCCGAACTGGACGCCTCGATACAGAAGCCCAAATTCACCCCGGATAAGCAAAAGGCTAGCACAAAAAGCCGCGGAAAATCTTCTTATGGCACATCGCGAAGGTCAATTCTCAAGAAAACATTCAACCAAGAGCAAGTTAACTTCACTGCTCCAATCTCAGATGACCCAGTCGTTGGCATCATCGGAGGTGGCATGTCGGGAATCATTTGCGCCACGTATTTGGAGAAGCGTGGTGTACGGTCCACTGTATTCGACACGGTTAGTTGGTAACTTGGTATTCTGCTTTCTGGTTAGTACTTGTGTCGTCGGATAACCCTGGGTTGTGTTAGGAGTTATGAGTTGAAACATAATAGTTAACCAAGCTTTTCTATGGTCCTGTCCCCCGCTACATGTCAAAGGTCGAATTATATATTACATTGATTTCTGCATCTTCCGTTTGAACCCTCAGGAGTACCGTTTGACAAGCAATGACTGCATTAGTCAAGAACTCCAATGAAAGAAAATTGCAATAGAAGCATTGAAGTCTTCCTCTGCAGCAAGAAAAAGGAAAAATGAATAAGCAGTTTCGGGAATTAACCATCTGTTTCTGCATATTGTTTATAGGGTATTCATGGTCTGGGAGGAAGAATGGGAACCCGAGTGATTGATCCGCAGCCTTTGATATTTGACCACGCAGCGCAATTCTTTACAGTGAATGATTCTCTGTTTCGTGAGCTCCTTGATGGTTGGTTGGAGAAGGGTTTGGTCCAAGAGTGGCAGGGTACAATCGGAGAACTTCATAATGGTGGTCATTTTGTTCCATTTCCACCATCTCCTTCAAGATATATTGGCACAGACGGAATGCGGCCACTTGCTGATTCATTACTGTCTGAGGTGATTAAAAGTTTAACCAAAATATCTGATAAAGTAAATACATTGTTGAGACCAACGTGCTTCTGCTTCCAAGGCACAGGGGTAGTTGTGCTGTGGTAACTGCCAACTCCTAAGTATAATTGTTAAATTACTAATTTCTTACGAGGAAATGACATTTGTGATTTATTCCGAAGAAAATAATCTATTTCATACAACAATGGTCAGTGAACCTGTTTACTGGTTGAAAGCTTCTTTTCTGCTTATGTTTCATTGTCATCCCTGATAAGAATCTTTCATTGCAGACTCACATGGCAAGTGTGGTGAGACCATGCTGGATCAGTAAACTTGAGCCATTCAATGGGATGTGGCACTTGAGTGAGAATGGGAAACCTTGTGGGAAGTTTGATGCTATTGTTATTGCACACAATGGTAACTTAATATGTCCATCTCTAGCTCCCTCAGTGTAGCAACGGTGTCTTTTCTGCTATATGTTTGGGTTCCAAAGTCGTGCTCGGTTTCGGGGGAGATTTTGAGTTGTAGCTTGAGTTATTTGACTTATTCATTTATAGTAACTCTTCCCTGCTCTGTTTTACTTACAGGAAAATGTGCAAATCGCTTGCTTATGTCATCAGGACTACCACTAGTAGCTAAGCAAATGAAGGTAAAACCCAGACATATTCCTTATTGGTTCATTTGACTTTATATGCTAGTAAACTTGTCACTTCATCTACGGGTAGGCGCCGAGCTACATTATTTTCATTCTCTTGTTTTTGTTGTCTGGTATGCTAGAGGTTAGAGTTGAGTTCAATTTGGGCCCTTCTAGCAGCATTTGATGATCCGCTTCCTCTCCCAGGCAGCTCAGCTGCAATACCTTTTGAAGGAGCTTTTGTGAAAGGAGTTGATTCTCTTTCATGGATGGGCAATAATACCAAAAAACTACTGAAGTCCCAAAGTGGTGGTCCCCACTGTTGGACCTTTTTGAGCACTGCTGCTTATGGAAAGCAAAACAAGGTTCCACAGGTTTGTAGACAAAATGACTGTTCTAGATTTTTTCTTATGCTGACTTCAATGGTGAGATCACGTTTAGGCTTCGGTTTGGTTTGAATAGTCATGGGAAGTAACGATATTATTTTTGATAAACTAATACCATACTATGTTTATCAGGAAAATATCCCTACCGCCACTGCAACGAAGGTGAAGGCAGGCATGCTAGAGGGTGTTGAGGCTGCTCTTGGATTACCAAAAGGATCTCTTCAGAAACCATTCTATACCAGGCTCCAATTATGGTGAGAATCCAATCTTTAAGTATTAAGTTCGATTGCTTTGACAATGTTGTGCCATCATTGGAATTTAAAAGATCTCCGTCAGGCATACAAGATAACCAGGAAAAATTCACGGGCGAGTATAATTTGGTCTTGATGTGTAAGAATTACCTTTGACTCTTTAGAAGTAGCGCCTGGATTCACTCGATTGCAGTTATCAGATGTTTGCACTACCCTGTACTTTGTGCCAGCCTCTAAAACGACGCATGGATGTATGCATACATATTATTTATATGCTGGCCGGGCCTCAGCGAACGTTAGTTCGATCAGGATGTTTAATACCCATTTGACTATTATCTCATTCAACGTTGCTTTTGGATAGAATGCTAGTCATGAACCCGTAGTTGCGCTTCTGATATGCTTGCTCGCTTCCGCGCCATTGTCTAAGACAAGCTTGAATGAAAACTAAATTATTTATCTGGCTAATGTTTCAAAGGTTATATAATATTGGATCAGATTCAGGAGAAGGATGAATTAAAATTAGGGCTTATAAACTTCCTATATATTTTATTATATTTTGTATAGATGTTGGCGATATGTTGATTATATCGATACTGATATTGATCAATGACTTGCAGGGGTGCAGCTCTTCCAACAAATACACTTGGCATTCCCTGCATCTTTGATCCTTACGGAAGAGCTGGTGTATGTGGTGACTGGCTGCTAGGTTCAAGTATAGAGGCAGCCGTGTTTAGTGGAATAGCTCTCGCCAACCATGTAATTGTCATTCCAAACTTGGTCCATTTTATTAATGCAACGGATCGCAAACTTACGGTTATGCTTATTGCTTTACCCAGATTGCAGACTATTTCCAGCATGACGGAGCTCATCACCCATCGGAGTTCGCTATCGGTTTGGAGCAAGAATTTCATCCGCTCCTTGGTCATGATATCGGACAATTCCCGGGCTTGGAGCCCCTAAAAAGGACGAACGAGATTGAGATGCACCAACTTGTAAAGTAGAAGTTCCTTCGATTGCTAGTTATTAAACCAGGGGTGCGGGTCTATCGCATATTTCTTGGAAATAGAATTGCAACTGGAAACATTTTTTCATTAGTAAATAAACGAGCAATACTCTTTCGGAAGCCAACAAAATATACTCCTTTCCATTCTACAAACGAATTTACAGATACATAAGTTGAACTCATGCCCTAACAAACAAACGCTCGCTACTTCTACTTCCTAGCCTTCTTGACAGCCTCTTTTTTGGCCGGCGATTTCACGCTCTTGGGCTTCTTCACAGTGTTTGCCGCCTTGGCTACCCTCTTCCCTAGCGAGGTCCTGGCCGATGTCTTGGCCGGCCTCGAAGTCACTTTCGCACTTCTTGCAGCAGTGGGTTTGGGTTTAGGTTTGGCAACGGCTTTAGGCTTAGCCGCTGCTTTTGGTTTAGCGGAGGGCTTAGGCTGAGACTTCGGGACGGCCTTGACGGTTGATTTTGTAGGCTTCGTGGTAGCAGGAGCCGGCTTTTTGGGTGGAAGCTTAAAGGAGTTCTTGACCTTGACAAGCTTGCCAGCGGCCACAGATTTCTTCAAATTGTTCAGCAACAGCTTCCTAAAAGTGGGGGGCAAATGCTTGTGCTTCTCCTCGATAAACTTGGTGATGGCGTACTGGCTGGAACCGGTCCTGTCTTTCAGACTTGCGATCGCATCCGTGATCATCTGCCAAGCCAGCAGAAGCACACCATCAATCATCACGCCGTAGACGAATTACCGGAACTCAAGGAAAAAAAAAAAAAAAGGACGACTAAAAATAATACCTCGGCGAAAGGAGGATGTGAGGGCGAGGACTTGGGTTTCCTCGCGACTGCGGATTTCTTGGACTTAGACTGGGCAGAGGCCGCCATGATGAGACTCAAGACAGGGGATATCAACAATCGCTGCTCCTGTGGTGATGATTTATCGGTGCGACGCAATTTATAAAGGGCGGGGGAAATATATTTCCAAAGCGCTGATTGGTGGAAAGCGCAGTCGCCCGGATCGCCATCCCGTTTGGTTTCATGTTTAAATATGATCCGTTGGATCTACACTTATCTACGGTGTGGGATTGATGCCACGACAAAGTTTTTGAATCGGTCGTGGTATGCATATATGGTGTGTTTCTCCGTGCCTGACCTGGCGGATGATATTTGATTTTTTTCCCTCTTTAACGCGAATGGAATCTTGAATATATATTAAGTTTAACAACAACATTCATATTTTTATGTTATGTTATCAGTAATATTTTAAATTCATATTCATATTAAAACTTTATACAATCTAAAAATTTATCGATAAGGCCTGGCCAAAGAAAGATATATTTAGGTTTGCCGTCCAGCAACATAAGGGAGTGGTGGAAGGCATGAAAGCCAACACGAGTGACGGTAACAAAGCATCTATGGACTTGAATGATGGCATGGGTTCCTTAGATCGCCCCTAATATTACTGCGTTCATCGTCCCGTAGGATTGACGATTTGTGAGAAGATAACTTGTGAAGTATCAGCAGAATCTTGGCCTGCCTCATGCTCACCTGTACGGATAAGCTTTGCCACGTCATTGTCTCGCAAACACGCCCCTTGAAGCTCGCTTTCCTCCCAAGAGTTATTCGATCCATTTGTGCTTTGTTGGAGGTTAAGAGCAAGTTCTAGATTCCACAACAGATCATTCATCGAGGGTCGGGCAAGCCCATGATCACTCAAACACTTCTCTGCTGTGTCTGCAAACTTGCTCAAACTTTCTGGGTTGATCTTTCCTTTCAGACGCGGGTCAATAATATCCTCCAACGTCCCCTTTCTTTTGCAGCTCAAAGCCCAATCCGCAAGAGACACTTGCTCCTTTGGAAGGTTAGCATTCAAAACCGGCCTTGCGCATAGAACCTCGAACAAGACCACTCCAAATGAATACACATCAGACTTCTCGGTCAGCTGTTGTCTCCTGAAATATTCAGGGTCCAAATATCCGAAGCTTCCCTTCACCACTGTACTAACATGCCCATTTTTCATGTCCGGACCTGTTTTTGATAACCCGAAATCTGAAACCTTGGCAGTCCAACTTTCATCCAATAGAATGTTAGTTGACTTGACATCCCTATGGATGATGGTGTATTTGGCCCCAGTGTGAAGGTAGTGAAGCCCTCTTGCAGCTCCAATGCAAATCTCCAACCTTTGTTTCCACGACAAAGTAGACAGAGATTTGCTGCTCTTGTATAGATGCTCCCTTAGGGTGCCGCGAGCCATGTAGTCATAAACAAGGCACATCTCATTCTGCTCCTCACAGAACCCAATCAAGGACACCAAATGCTTGTGTCTTAGTTTCGAAAGCATCTCAATTTCAGTCTGGAACTCATTCACTCCCTGTTCTGATTGTGGATTCGACCTTTTAATGGCCACTTTCATCCCGTTGTCTATAACACCCTTATAAACCTTCCCAAATCCTCCAACCCCAATGACATTAGACTCGTCGAAATTCTTGGTCGCTTGCTTGATTTCCTGCAGGGAAAAATAGCGACAAAGACCCTGAGCCATGGCCGATATGTTGCTTCCAGCATAGCTTTTCCCTGACATCGTGGATCTACTGCCATTTGAATGGGAATTCCCATAGATTGGTGGCCATGATGTATGTGAATCTGATCCCGGCGCTCTCTTCTTCTTCTGGTACACAACAATGCATATTGCAGCTAAGAATGCAACTCCCGCGGCTCCTCCGGCACTTAATAATACGGTCTTTTTGTGACTGCTTCTGGGTGTGTTAAAAGTCTGCGATTTTTGCTTACTCTTCACCAGCATATCTGACGGTTGAGGATTTGGCCCAGCCAAGGCTGTGCCATTGATCTTGAATATCTCTACCCCACTCAATATTGCATCATAGTACTCAGGCTTTGTTTCGGGCGATGGATGCAGAGCGATCCATAATTGCTCGCTGCCCTGCCCATCTTGCACAATCACCACATAGTCCTTGTACGTTGGCACTCCTTTTCCCCCTGTCCACGCTATTACATCTGCTTCGGCCTGTGCCGTTTGATTGTTCACGTAGATATCGAAAACTATCTCGTTCACTCTAGAAAAATAATAATCACAGAAGTGAAACCTCACGAGGTACATGAAATTTGGATCAATTTGGAATGTCCAGGTGAGGTTATATCCCATGTTCACGTTCTGATCGTTCCCCATCGATCTTGACGTAGAGTAGACACTGGGAGGAGCAATGTAATGTGGCATGGTTTGGTAGTCGATAGTGACATCGTCAGCAGCTTGACTGGTGTCCCCAACTGATGCGCCATATAAATAAGGCGTATCATCGTACCATGTCCTTGTAAGATTAGAATCTTGGAGTGGCGGTATATATTGCCCACCAACATTGAGCCTAAACATTGTCTGCAAATTCGTGCTTTTTGCATCAACGGTTTGTTCGGAATGCCCAACTAAAATGGCTGAATCAAACAAATCTGGCATTTGAATCACCTCGATCCCGTTAACAAAAGCAAAAGCTTGATCGTACTTGTCTGATGGCTTAAAAGTAACCTGGAAGAAATTAATTATAAATAATTGCAGTAGTTGCATATATCATTAATTATCTTGTGTATATAAAATCTAAATATACATGCTGGTATGCCAAAAAACTCTTTTAATGTTCGCATAAATTGATTTTAACTTAGGTTGCGAATTTTTTTTCTTTTTTATAAAAAAGTGCAACATTGGTTTTAATTACCGTGAGAGTATCTGAATTCAAAGGGGCAAGGGAATACTCTCTGTCAATGTAAGCTTGAGACAGGGCCTGACAAGTAATAGAAGCGCTGAAGTTGCTCAAAAGCGTAACCCCGTTGGCCGTTACGGAGAAATATGAATTGCTCGGATTATAGGAACCATAAACGGAGGGGTAAAAGTGGAGGCGAAGCCAATAACGCTTGTCGGGTAGAACTGGGAATTTATACGTTGCCACTGAGGTGAAAACTCGTGCCCACATGTATGGAATCTCGGACATGACCGAAGGGTCTTGGTACAATGCTTTGAACGTTGTTGAATCACCTCCCGACAAGTACTTAGTATCTGCCTCCCATTGCCTTCCATCGGCATCCTTGCCGCCACCGTCGGCCAGCCCACAACCCAAGACCAACGGCTCTTCGCCCTTGGCCCATGCTTCCGGGGTTCTCAGGAAACCCAAGATGCACACGAGACATAGCAACACACTCGTCTCGCTGTGCATGATGGAAGGTGACTGGAAGAGTTTTTTGTGTTTTTGATGCACACCCAAAAAGAAGAAATTGGCCTCTCGGAGCTGTCTAAGGCATCTTGATCATGAGATAGCTTTTCAGGAACTCTCACCTGGATGGAGGAACCAAACCAGGCAAGAGCCAGAGGATGAACTCGTAGATTTGCGTTTTAGAAATTTGATTATGGAATTTTTTCTTTTCTCTTGTTGTTCGTACCAAACGCGGAAGAAGGTTGTTGGAAACCGATGAATGGGAGAGAGCACCGTAATGAAATGAATGCAATTGGTTACCATGAGATTAGAATTTGAAACGGGGCTCTAAATATAGGATGGATTTTCTGGACAACATGAGGACTCATCATTTGTTGAAATAACATGACTCCGTATGTACACTACCACTTTCGGTTCCCCTCCCACGACAACAGAAAGGCCAGAAAGGGAGTGCTTCTTTCTTCAGCCATCACTCTCGGCAGGAGGCCTCTTCATCAGTCCCGTCTCAAATCAAAGTAAAGCAACAGGAACCTATTTTAAGTGGCCTCCTGTTACTTTAGAAGTTATACATTTCATTCAGTAAAGAAGTGTAAAAATTGACAAATTCTTGATCTGACACGTGCAGTGGTTCGAAGTTAATTTGAAATGTTAAAAGAATGCAAAAGTCTATGTTTTGGTGGTTCTACTCTGACTATATTTAGGAGGGCGTGCTAAAAGAATTAGTGTTGGGAGCTTACGAGATGGAAAGAGGGACAGGATAGATTTAGAGGACGAGGATATTTTACCCAAATGTAGCAGGCGGGTATCAAAAATAACGCAGAGATGTTAGAAATGAATGGTGGGAGAGGAATGCGTGGGGTGTTTATGTAGAGAGGTAGTGAGGCTGGCAATGGGCGAGGCATCGAGGCCCACCCCACTCCTCCGCGTGCTAGATCGACGAGGTGGCTCTCATCGCTACCTCCAATGAATAAGCCGATGGCAGAGGAGGGAATGGGGAGCTCGGAGGAGGAACAGACGAAGCAGATGACGACGACGACGCCGGCAACACCGCTGTGGAAGAAGAGGAAGTGGCTATCCAAGCCCCTGTCGTTGGGGGATACGCGCAGAGAGATTGCGTGGGAGAAAAGGCGAACAAGATCGGAGCGAGGGAGGAGGGCGGGGAAGAGTCATGATTTTTACGATCACGTGACGGACGAGGACCTGAGCGAGCTGAGAGGGTGCATAGAATTGGGGTTTGGGTTCAACGAGGAAGACGGCCAGGCGCTGTGCGCCACATTACCCGCACTCGACCTCTATTTCGCCGTCAACCGCCAGCTCTCAGCCTCCCCTCGCTCTTCCTCCTCCTCCTCTCCCAGCCCAACTAGCGACGCTGATTCATGGAAGATTTGCAGCCCTGGTATGTGTATATATATATATTGACGCACATGTGCGTCTCGTCCACTTAACGCCAGTACTGATCTCGTGAATCAGATCACAGTCCCATAATATAGTCATGTGATTAATTAAAGAAAGATAAATAATGAGGATAAGCATAACAAGTGGTACATATTACTCATAGTAGAATTTTTGACGAAGCTTTATTTCCAAGCAATTATAATATAATAATTTTTAATCCATCCTTTCCAATTAAAGCTGTCATTTTTATGTGTGGGCCAATGAGTAATCCCAGAACAGCTCTTCAATTGCGTGAGATCCAGTAGAGTATGTGATCCGTTAATGAACGAAGTTATTCTTTGGTGTTTGTGTGAAATGACATGCCTAATTAATATGAGAATGGGGATGTGAAGGGGAGGATCCAGAGCAAGTGAAGATGAGGCTAAGGCGGTGGGCTCAGGCGGTCGCATGCTCGGTGATGCAGTCTTCTTGAGGCGAAGGGATAGGATGCGGCGTAGGGAAGGACGCAGAAAAGGCAGAGGGTTATTAGATTCCATGCAGCATGATGCGGAGGGCGATCCACCATTGCTTCATCATCATGCAAATTAAATGGGACGCAGCGCATTGTTTCCGGCAATTATTTGGGTCTCCGTCCTTTTCGTTTTCTGTTTTTTTCCCTCTTTTTTTTTTTTTAAATGCGCAACAAATGCTTTGAAAGCGGGGGGAAATGGGCCGGGTCTATAGTGTCAGTCCATTTAGGCCCGATATTGTCAGCGCAAGACTGGAAAGTGGAAGCATGTAATATCGAGGGTATCCAGCGTCCTCTTGGGCTTTAGACAAACAAACCTGAATTCCTCTCCGCCGCAAAGTATTTTCTAGTTATTCTCTCCTTTTTCATTTGTAAGGAGCATTTTAAGATCTTTTTAATTACAATATAAGGCGTGATGCTTCGTTTTATGGACATTTAATTAGTGATGCCTTTCAAAAGAACGTCCCTGAAAGATACTCCTATTAAAACTGTTAAGCCAACTATACTGCCTTCAGAGATCACAATCAGAAAATAACGTCAAAAAATAATTTAAAAAGATATAATATGATAACGGTTGTTGTCTGCATCTACATTATTTAGAAAAATAATTAAATTCTTTCGTTTACCTCAATCATTATCAGTATCATGTTTTTAAAGTTTTTTACTACCTCATAATAGGTTAAAAGTATAATGATATGGGTCATAGGGGGGAAAAAGGAATGATCTGCACTTAACTAAAATAAAAATATGTACACATATTTTAAATTATATTTACAAATATATATATTAGATAAAAAGGGCGTTACCATGATTTAAAGAATAGTCTCTAAAAAAATTATTTTACAAATAAATTTTGAAAGAATAAAATTTATAAAAAAATTATTTTGATAAAGTGAGAATATTTAGAGGATTATTAGCATAATCATTCTGTTTACAAAATCTATTCTTAATTGTTTTTTCTTCTCGCCGTTGTACAAATACATTAATTTGATATAAAAAAAATTATAGGTAGTTTCTTACGTTCATTCACACAGCTCTCAATTACCAGCACAAAACACCAGCAAGTGGTAACCCAAAAAAAAAAAAAAAAGGCACACAAGCAAGTGAGTACATATGCCACAAAAAGCACAGAAAACGTGCCTGTATTTGAGGACTTTGCGGAGCCGGCGCGCGAACCCGACGTCCAAGCCTACTGAACCCGGAGCCCGCCGCAAAACCGAAGACAGAGACTTCCATAGCGAGTGTTTTGCGAAGAGATTTCTTGCCTCTGCCCTCCAATGGCCCGCGATGCTTCTGACGCTCTTGCAGGTCCCTTGTCCTTTACCCCTCACATATAGATAAGTGCAATTTTATATTCTCCGATTCGCAGGGTTTTCTGCTAGTATGAAGTTACCATTGCGTCGCATGATTCGGCATGTCAATTTTGTTGTAATTCCATACCTTCTCTCAATGCAGTGAGGCAGAAAGTTCAACTATTTCTTAACGCAGCTCGCACTGGAAATCTTGATCTCCTGAAAAGTAATTGTCTCACTCTTCGCCTACAATTCTTTCGTCATTACTATTGCCTTTGCTGTTCAAATTCTTCATCTGGGTTCTTCCTTTCTGGGGTAGATTTGGCGGGGCAGCTTAATGAAGACAGGGATTTAGCGAAAACCGTGGCAGCAATCAAGGATGCAAATAAACGAGGAGCACTACATTTTGCGGCTCGCGAAGGGAAGACTGAAGTCTGTGAATATCTGTTGGAGGAATTAAAGCTAAACGTGGATGAGAGAGATGACGATGGTAATATGTTTTTGTCCTTGCAAATATCTGCAACATATATTGTTCTGTCACATATAAAATATTAAAATCCACTTTCTTCTCCTATTATTATATTGTAAATTTGCCAATAAATTCTTGTAAATTTTCCAATAAATGTTAACCTCTCGAATTACTATTTCTTTTCAGGCGAGACTGCTCTGATTCATGCGGCTCGTCAGGGGCATACTGTTACGGCTAAATATCTTATTGACCGTGGTGCCAATCCTACTATTGCTAGCAACTTAGGAGCCACAGCTTTGCATCATTCCGCAGGAATAGGTGCTTTCCCAGAATTTCTCAGATTATGTGCACTTCTGCATAAAAAAGAAATTGCCTCTCAGTCTACTTTTACGATCTCTTATTCTCTTAATCTCGTGCGTTTTTTAACAGAATTCAATTTAGCCGTCTTATTGTTCTTGTTCTGTTTATTTTAATCTAGTATGTGCCTTCCTGTAGGAGACATTGAGTTGCTCAAGTATTTGCTTTCCAGAGGTATTGATGCTGATTTAGAAAGTGACGCTGGAACACCATTGACTTGGGCTGCGGGTCATGACCAGAAAGATGCCGTCAGTGTTCTGTTAGAACATCATGCAAACGTAAGATCACATATGTTCTTTATTTTTATTAGCCATATTGATGATATTCTATATAATTTGACGATGCTTATCGTGAATAATGTCCATTATAAAAGAAAGCTGACCAGTTAAGCTTACTTCTGAGGGAATTCTGGCAGGTTAAAACTCCATTTTAATTTAATATTCAAACGATAAGTTAATGTTAAATATTTTATGTTGTTTCTATACGCCTTGAAATAAAGAAGAAAATTTTTCTTTCTTCCATGTTGATAGCTTATGTCTTTGTATCTGACTTTGATGGATCTGATGTTATTGGGCCTATGGTATTGAAGACCTTTAACAGAAGAAAGGAAGTAGAAAATAAAGGATTTGGGCATGAGGATAGCGAACCATTAGAGAAAGGGAGCCTTGTGACTGACTATGCATAATTGAGGGGCTTAATTAACATCAGTAATTCTGATTGATGCCATTGAAATGGAGGATAGAAGATGCTAAATTACAATTTTGTCTTGCTTGCCAGAACTTCTGTGAATAAAGATAAGCCATAAAATAGTGCTGCGTAATATGCTCCTAATATGGTATAATTTAATAGATAATCTTCCATGAGAATGCCTTTTTTGGATTAAAGATCAGACTCTAACTCTTTCAATTTTGAATATATAATTTAAAGTTTATCTGTAGGAGGCACTATTTTAATTTGCAACAGGTACAGTATAGATTTATAATATTTTGATCTTGTCAATGTGGCATTGCAGCCTAATGCTGAGACTGACGACGGTGTTACTCCTCTCCTCTCATCTGTGGCAGCTGGTTCTCTGACATGTATAGAGCTGTTGGTTCAGGTTGTACATATTCCATAAACATCTAGTATATTAATGACAAATTCATGCTTGATTGAGATTGAAATTTGAAACATTCCATCTCCCAAAAAAGCAGTGTGGTAGTGTATCTTTCATCAAGTTATTGATGACTGCAACTTATTATTTGTGGCCATAAAATATTTTATTTTCTTGTTTTCTGTTCTGATAAATAATATGATAGGGTTATTGTGATAACAAAATAATGAATTCTTGTTCTCTCATTGTTCTATGTTTAATCTTAATATGTCAATAATGATTATGAACTAGGGGCTTACCATATGCCAAATCTTAGCTGTATCCTGAAGTATTATAGAAACTTTGAATCCTCATGCTTTTGCATGTCATGCACAGGCAGGTGCTAATGTAAATGTTAGTGCTGGTGGAGCAACTCCTTTGCACATTGCTGCTGATAACGGAAATCCAGAACTTATAAATTGCCTATTGAAAGCTGGAGCTGATCCCAATGTCGCTGATGAGGTGTGCTGATTCTAAGGACCTTACTATAATCTTCTCCTTTTGGAACATTCACTTATGCTGTTAAGAGTTTGAAAACACGCCCGCTGATTGATATTTGTCTTTATATGATATGGTTATTCCTAAACTGGTGGTCTTTTATGTCATTTGCTATTCTATCATTTCTTTCTTGTCCTGGACACAATGAACTAAGTGACTGTAACTTAACTTTATGAACGACCCTGCGTCATAGGTGCACAGACCTTGCCGATTACTGTTCTTATGTAACCTGCAACTGATTATGCTTACTAGTGATATAACGAGTGATTTGTGTTGTACTCACATGACATCGATTTACTTGAGCTTGGACGAAAGTGGATGAGTATGCACCCACCGCGTGCAGACACGCTAACACCCAGATGCCATTACCATAACAGCATGCCTGGCATCGTACAAAATATAGGTTTTTTTTTTTTTAATGACTTCTTTGTCCACTTATTTGAGGAACATGTGTCCTTGGAATTCTATATCAGTTCTCAGTGCTTGCTGTTATTTCTTCATTTCCAAAATTGAGGTTATTCATACTTTTTTGCTTTTCACTTGTACTCCTTATGGTTGTGAAGAATGCTGCATCCAGAATCACCTTATTGTTATTGTTGTATCTTCATCAATATTCGAGTTAGAATGTGATTTTTTTTTTTTTTGGGGGCATGTCAGGACGGAATGAAGCCAATAATGGTTGCAGCTTTAAGGGGCAATCGCAAAGCTGTTGAGATATTGTTCCCCTTGACATCAATAGTCGAGACTGTTCCTACTTGGAGTATTGATGGCATATTAGAGTCTGCGCAATCAGAAAATAAAAAACAAGTAGTCAGCTCTCTTTTCCCCTTATCACCGATTTTACTAAGCTATAACATTTTATTTTATTGGGTTAATACAATTTTTTGTTTTCCAAATTTGTCCTCATTCTGGTTTTGGTCTCTCAAATTTCAAACCATAGGTTTTAGTTCCTTAAGTTTCTTTTCATTTAAAACGTTGGTCTCTATAATTCAATAAAAATCTAGACTGTTTTGCCTCTTAAAAGACCAAAACTTATAGTTTGAAACTTACGAGACTAAAACCAAAATAAGAACAAATTTGACAGACCAAAGATTATATCAACCCTATTTTATTTCTAAATAAGGAGTATTATAGCACTTGCTATATTGTTAGGATATAGTCATAACATGCTGGGCAGGAGGTTTATGTTAAGAAGCCTCTTCTGGATATATTTTGTTAAATAGAGCCTTTATTTTAGCTCGGTTAAAATGCCAATGAAAATAAAAGCTTCCAAGTAATTCTGCTGCTTCCAAGTTCTCTAATTCATCTTCGTCTTAAAGTTCATTGACAAGTGAAGCGTAAGTAATGACGAGTTTCAAAGTAGGTAATAACAACAGATTCAGGCTGGTCACTTGTCATTGAAATTTTTTGTTAGTTAAATTTCTTCTTTAGGACCTCTTGGTAATTCTCCCATTTTACTGCTCTAGGATATTTAAAATTGATGTGATAACAATGTTTTCCTTGTAGGAAACAAGAAATGCTTCAGAAACTGGTTGCCGCAAGGATACTGCTTTGACAGAGCAAAATCTTCCTGAGGTTTGTTTGCTCTTTTTTAAATAAAATGCATTCATTTGTTCCTATGAAAATATATCAATTTCTTCTTTATTTTGGTTAATTTTGGTCTGCTTCTTAGTTGCTCCATTATGCTGGAGTGGTATTGAATTTCCCTTAATCTTTGATTTTTACCAAAATTATTTCTGTCCTTTATACTTTGTTCCTGTTCCACTCTCGTTATTTATTAAAATCTTCTCAAGCATGTGTGATAGCTGAAATTATCTTCAATTTTGTAATTCCCCTTTGCTGTCATACTGGCAATTGGTTTTTGGCTATGTATCCGTATAAAAAATGACATATTGACTCTATCGGCTAATGCGCATAAATGCCCATCTTTATCTTTATTATAATAGTTTCTTAACTGATCTAGGTGACACCTGAAGCCAAGAAGAAATCTGCGGAAGCAAAATCAAGAGGGGACGAGGCCTTTAAGGGGAAAGACTATTATATGGCCGTAGATGCCTATACGCAGGTAAAGTCTGCTGATCTTGCACTTGAGTCTTGAGTCATGAATTGTGTCCTTCTGTAACTGTGTTATTTTTTCAAATTCAGTCATTTTGAGAGCTACAAACTACAATGCATAATAAATTAGTAATTAAAAAAAGCATTAGATAGTAGTCTGAGGGCAAAGTTCTCTTTTTAAATGTAACTTCTCCAGAAAATATGTAAATAGAGCCTAATGAGTTCTTGTTTGATCCTGATCTCTGATTTGCTTGAGTATGCTTATCTAGTACTCCCTCCGTTCCTTATTATAAGAGACATTTGATGCTTATGGCATATTCCTATATATAAGAGATACTTAAAAGTTATCTTTAATTTTTGTGTTGATTTCCTATTTTACCTATATTTATTGTCTCCAACTCACACTCTCTCTTCCTCTCACTTCTCTCTCTTTTAATAATTTAATTGTTCTCTCTCATGCTCTCTCTCTCCTTGTTAATGAGGGCATTTTTGGAAAAAAAATATACTTTTCACACATTGATTGTTCTTAACTAATTTTAACTGTTTTTTTTAATCAACATAATTCGGTTATTCGTTTCTTATAATAAGAAACGGAGGGAGTGCAGTCGTAGAAAATAAAGATCCTAAATGTTTTTATTTATATTTTATGGAATGATTGTTTTCTCAATTACTGTACTCTATTTTTGCAACGTTGTGACAGGCAATTGATCTAGACCCCACTGATGCTACTCTTCTATCCAATAGAAGTCTTTGTTGGATCAGGTTGGGTCAAGCTGAGCATGCTTTAGCTGATGCAAAGGCCTGCAGAGCATTAAAACCAGACTGGCCAAAAGCTTGTTATAGGGAAGGGGCAGCTTTACGCTTGATGCAGGCATGCTTACAAACTCTTTTGCTTTTTGGCATTGACAGTAGGTTATGTGATTCCCATTTTGTAAATTTTGCCTTTGCTGTCCTACTTGCAGAAGTTCGATGAAGCAGCAAATGCATTTTATGAGGGAGTAAAGCTGGATCCTGAAAATAAGGAGCTTGTAAATGCATTCAGGTATTCATGCTATATCTTTATATACCCCGTGTCCTTGTGCATGCATCGTGCCTTAAAGTATGCGTATATAACTGTTTTTGCATGCGTATACATCTCTTAACTGTTTTATCCTTACAGGGAAGCTGTTGAAGCTGGGAGGAAATTTCATGGCACGGCTAAGGATGATGTATAGTCAACTAGCATAGGGCGACCAAGCTGAAATGTTGCTGATGGGGCAATCTTATTTTTGTAACGTATTTATTTTTTCCCCTTATTTTTAAATACAAGTTAGGATCTGTTTTATAATGTTGGTAATTAGTGATTAGAAAAATTTTACAGTTGGCATGTTCCGAAATTATTGCTGTCCACATGGGCAGAAGTCATGGATACCATGTGAGTGCCTTGAGATATCTGGAATTGCTGCGAAATTGATTATGGTAATTTTGAGAACCTCAAAAAGTAGAGGAAAATGAAAATGGAAACGGAAACATTTCATTCGATTCTAACTGCCGCATTTGGGTAAAAAATTTATAGAGGTGGATGAATTTTAATTGCATATTCGATGGGTAAGATTATTCTATAAGGAGCAAATCAGGAAATCCTATAGGAATATAGCGGCAAGCATGCGTATCCTCTTCGTTGCGACATGAGGAAAGAAAAATCAGCTGCAACTGGCAAGGATCAATTAAAACTATTCATTCGGTGATGTATTCCGTCGTTGACAGCTCAGCGAGGCTTGTGTTTTGTTGGATGCTCATAAACACACATTTCCAGGAAAAAGATATGAATCTATTGTAGAGGACGTGAAGGGTTGTCATAGTAATCAAAGTGTCTAAATTTTTCTTGGAGCAGCATCTTTCGGAAGTTGAGAAAGGGAGGGTGCAGCAAAAGCGAACTGTAAAATTACGTGAGATGCAAATATGAATCACCCATGAGGATATTATGAATATCAATCAATAACAATATCACGCAGGCTTGAGAAAGTCGATCATAATTATTAGGCATTTTTGTGAGGCTGGGGCCGAAGCAAAGTTGAACCAATACGATCATTATTATTACTAGATCTAAAGAATCAAAAGCGGTTGGAAGACGGGCCCACTCGGTGTTCTCTTGTTCCTTCCCCCGTTCTTTATTGGAGGCGAAGCCAGCGCCAACGTTCATTTTCTTCTTACAGTTACAGTGCTAGATCCGACTCTCCCCCACCAATGTCCATCAAAACCCCCGCCGCCCCCTCCCCCGCCCCCGCCCCCTCCCAACCACAACCGACGTCGGATCTTTCCTTCGTCTCCCCCGCCACGCATGCCTCCCGGCCTCTCTACGTCACTCCCCGCCCATGGTCCCAGCTCCTCGGCTTCTCCGCCTTCTCCCGCCCCCGCACCAAAACCGATGCTATGTTACGCGTCAGACGAAACTTTAGTTACTTCAAGTATAACTACGTCTTGGTTTCCCTTGTGATCATCTTCATTATTCTCTTCTGGCATCCCATTGCCATGATCGTTTACATGATCGTCTTCATTGCCTGGTACTCCCTCTACTTCGGTCGTGATAGCCCCCCTGTCTTATTTGACCAAACATTGGATGACGGAACGGTACTCTGTGGTCTGGGATTAATAACAGTTTTGGTACTTGTACTTGCTGGCGTCTGGCTGAATTTGTTCGTGTCTTCCATAGTGGCTATTGTACTTGTTGGGTTGCATGCGGTTTTTCGGGTCACGGATGACTTATTTTGATATGTGGTAAACTGGTAATAGTATTAGTAGGGGCAAGAAGGTAAATGGGAAATGGGTAGTGGACTAGTGGTCTATAAATAGGATGTTAGAAATTATACCGGGTGTCGATTGAATACATATTTTACTGTTTACTCTCTGCTCTCTCTTCTCTCTCTGTTTACCTTTAACAAAGGTATCAGAGCCTTTTGTCCGGTCCATGGCGCCACCGCCGGACATTCGATCCTCTGCATGCATTGATGATTTGGAGCATCGACTTGAGCTCCAGCAAGTCTCCCTTGATGCTATTCACTCACGCCTGGACCAACATGCTCTGGCTATCAATGATTTGAAATTATCGGCGAGTAGGTTGGATGAATATCTCCAAGTTATTCTTGCTCAAATCTCCTATGTCTCATCAGATCTGGTCACTGACTCAGGCGAAGGGGGATCTACCTCTATTCTGCTTGTCGAATCAGATGAGCAAAATGGAGATGAAGTTAGGAACGATTCGAATCTGTATGAAATCGTTGCAACCGAAAACAAAATAGCCAACGATGATGATATGAACAACGTGACCAATGAGAACCAGGACACGGAAGCTGGTGCAGAAACAATGGTGGAGTCGAAGGCCAACACAAAAGTTAAGAGAGTTGAAGAAGTTACTGTGATTTCGAAATGCACACTTTCTGTTGATGACAAGCTGAAGGATCTCAACAACGAGAAATTAGACGAAGCTATGAAGGAATCATCTCAACATGACAATGTAGCTGCAGTCGTGAATGGCAAGACTCAAATCGGTGAGGCTAAAGCAAATCAAGTAATATGTGAGAATGACAAGAAGATGGGAACAGATCAACAAATGAAAGAACCAGCGCCTCTGCTTAGTTGCGGGAGTGATGATGGATTCTGGCATTATGGGATGCTCTACCTTCATCAACTATTCTTTCTAGCGAAACAGTTACTATACCTTCGATGCTGTTGGGCTTTACACAAGAGGGCACGCCCATCCTTCTCTGTTCCCAAGACGTCACAAATGTCTTCTCTGTTTGATGCTCGAACTACTGATTTTGGGACCTCTAGGTCTTCTTCCATTTTGGGACCGAAGTTCGGCCCCCTTCCACAGTCACTTGGGGATGAGTCCAAGTTGCAAGCCCTTATAGCTCCCTCTGTTTTTTTTTCGTTGCCTGCGAACACCTCTGTGTCTGTGTCTTCTATGAATACTCTTCTGCAGGCATCTTGTTCACATCTGTTGAAGGCCACTAAGCAGATTCCATTCATTACAGAGGTCAAAACCTTGAGTCTAGGCCACTGCATAACTGTTGCGTTTCATTACCGTGCTGTCACACCATTATTGCTGTCCAGCACTACTGCTGACGAGAAGTTTTTAGTAGGAGGAATGGAGAACACACTGGCCGACCTATGCATCAACGACCCTATGCGAACTCCAATGCATTCGCCGGAGCTGTTTGCGTTATTCATCAAGTGGAGGGATTCTGATCAAACGGCTGGACGTGAGTTGTTGGTTGATGAAGTCAGAGATCAGCTCAGCAAGGACGAAGATGGTTTTACATTCTGGGTGGGTAGGGCTGGTGCTAAAATCGGGTTGAACCCAAACACTAAAGCGATTAATGTGATGCTGGCTTTTGTTGGATTTACGGGGAGTAAAGAAGTGGGCCTATTGGGGCGTCTTTGGGGTGGGACGTACGTTTCCTTGCCGGTCTTATTGAACCCGAAAATCTTTACCCAGACCAAAGAGCTTCGTTATTCGCCTTTTGAGTTTTTCGCTTCCATCTCAAAGGTGATGTGGTGCGGAAGTTTACTGCAGGTAGAGCCAAAAATTATAGCGATTGAAGCAAAGGAACTTTTTGTTTCTGAGGAATTCTTTGCTTCTATCAAAATTGGGGAAGGTGTGTCTGTGGCTTTGTGCTTGACCATGGCTGTTGCAGCTGCAGCTTTCATCATACCATTAGGCCTGATCTTCTTAGCCTTTGTTCTTGTCATTAATCTCATCACCGCGGCAACGTGTTATGTCAATAGGATTGTAACAGAATTGTTATGGCTGGAAGTTGTATGGATTTTTGGTTTGTATGCAACAGTTAAGGGCCGATCATTTACTGATAGTGAAACCTTTCGTATGATGGGTAAGGAGCGTGCACTTGTCAACTGCAATCATGGCTCAACATTCTGGTTGCCTTGGAAGCACTCTAGCTGTGATGGGGAAAAAAATGCTGCTAGAAATTGGTTGGGAAAGGTGGTTTACTGACGATGGTCTCGTTCACCAATTATGGGCCTTCTACTCGTTTGGTTTTAGCATCAAGTGCAACAATGGAATTGGGATTTGAAGGAAAGCTGCAACAAGTTTGGGTTTTCATGTCCTTTTGTTTTTGTTTGTCCTTCCAGTCTTAGCAACTTATGATCTTAAAAAAAAAAAAAAAGAGTGCCTTACCCCACTTACATGTTTTAATTTCCACCTTTGTACTGATCCTTGAGGACAAGGATCTTTTGTTGGGGGGGAGTATATTGATATGTGGTAAACTGGTAATAGTATTAGTAGGGGCAAGAAGGTAAATGGGAAATGGGTAGTGGACTAGTGGTCTATAAATAGGATGTTAGAAATTATACCAGGTGTCGATTGAATACATATTTTACTGTTTACTCTCTGCTCTCTCTTCTCTCTCTGTTTACCTTTAACATATTTCTTGATGAGGAAACCGCTGCCGAATGTGGCTTGCTTTCCGTTGTGGGAAGCCAACCCCTCACAACAACGTATACCCGGATTTGAGCGTAATAGGATTCGAGGTGTGTTCAGTTCTTTGTTTCTTAATTTCCCTCTTTTTATTGGTTTTAACGTTGCTGGTCCGATGAAGAATGTCGCCTTTTGAAAGGAGGTGGTGGAAACGTCGATGACGAAGTCTGCTGACTTCCCGGACACAAACTGACTCTGACTTTTATGCTAACAATCTGCAATTCGATAGGCAACAAAATTTTCAGCCTGACTTTTTGAGGAAGGGGCTTCATTCGATTGTCTATTTTTTGGCTTTTTGCTAGTTCAGTATCGTCGTCATATTTCAGTGTGATATTCAAAATTGATATAAAGTAATTAAGCATGTTTCTTGATGCACAATCTACTTTTTACCATAACTACGGCAGGTTTTGCTCCTTGTGGTTATGATCTCACCGTTGTACTATCTGTTCGTTATTTATTCGGTGTATTTTCGTCCGGGCCTCTGGCAATTTCAATCGTCCCCCACCCCCCAACAGTTTGAGGTCATCGTGAAATTCCAACCCCATTATAAAGGATGGGCTGATTTCCTAGTAGTATCTAATACAGGACTGCAGAGGTGGGAAGGGGAAGTTGGCGAAGAAAGCTTTCAAAATTATGACTAATCCTCTGTTATATGCAGAGGTTGATATTGATAGCGAGGGAGGTTAATTATGAGTGGATTAGATTGTGTATAGATGCAGCGGTTAATGTGAAGGAAGAGAAGGGGATAAAAGGGTACGAATGAAGGGTCTGGAGAGATACAGAATATGAAAGTGCAGCGTCTCGCCCCATAATTTTGATTTTAAGGCCAAGGCAAGGACGTTTAATTTGACATCCAGTGTCCCTCGCAGATCAATCATGCACACTCCGAACCTATTCACTTGTTCCCACAATCCCTGTGGTTTCATAATTATGTCGTTCTCTCCACTGCTTTTCCCTCGTTGTCATCGTCTCATCAAACTATACTTGAGATCAAGAACAAAGAGGATTAAAATTTGAAAACCGTTAAATGCCAAATGAACTTCAACCCAATTCCAAAGTAAACAGAACGGTGACCTTCCAAAGTAAAATGTGAAGAAGAAAGTTGTTGCTGGTATTGCTCCCAATCCCAAAATGAAAAATTCCAAATGAAAAAAATTCGAAAGAAATGAGTGTGGGAGTATCCCAAGTTTATGATGTGATTTGAACAGTGACAACTCGAAAGAGAAGCATTTCTTTGGCAAACAATGGCATAGGAACAGCAAATGCGCCGATACGTTCTTATGATTCCTATTTTCATTATCTTGGAGAAGACTTCAATGGGTGAGAAGAAAAAAACAAAACGTAAGATAGAGCAAAATTGAGGTAGAAGAACAGAAAATGTCTAAAGAGGGAGGGCCTTCCGACAATATGATAAAACCATAACGAAGTCCTTGGCGGAGGAGCCAACAGAAGCAGGAATCTTTTTAGAGGATGAGGCAGTCCTGAACCAGAGATCAACTAAGTTATGCAGTTGCAAAGATGGCATCACCGGTCGACCGCGGCACATTATTTCCACCTGTCAAATAACACTATCATATTATTGCCAACCCAATAATGTCCCCACCGGTGTCGCACGCTTATGTGTAGTAAAATGATGCTGGCAACCACTATTGTATCGAACTCACCTCTGCTTCGCTGGCAAGATTAAGTTTCTTAACAAGGTACTTTTGAATATACGAGACCGGCACAGTACCATCCCTGTGAAAGGGGAAGAAACAAGTGTTAGACACCAATCACCCATGCCCGCATAATTCACTGCGCACTTCTTTATCCATCAAAACATGATTTTTTGTTTCTGGGTCAGCAAAACATAATATACTAAATAAAGAAGAGCATGTGAGAAAGAAAGAAAAGAAAAACAAGAGGATGGGTAACAATAGAAGCAAGCCAGCTGACGAATGCTTAACTTACCTTTCAAAACCACGCAATAGGAGGCACTGCTTCGCAGAATCTCATGCTCACATTTAGGGTATTATGAATCTTCTTGACATTATTCTATCAAATGTTTTATATGTTGCTTCGTCACTAATGTTTTTATAGGACTATAATGCTGGAGTTTCTTTTAAGAAACTTCAAATTAGCATGTACAAAAATTTTGTGTAGATTTTTTATACTTCTTTAATCGACAGTAACCACCATTCTGACACAGGAGAATGAGAAAATTTCAATTCATTAACAGTTCAAAGGGTAGAGGCACAATCAGTCTAAAAATCAGGCCATATATGAAGCAAACGAAAATAAGGCCAGCAGAAAGGCAATGGGATAAGAAGAATTACTTTATTCTCAGGTAGCATGCTGAAATCTGTGGCAAGGGAATATCTCCTTTCCTGAACATAAAATGTCAATTCAAAATTAAAGGGCCACACAGAAGTTGAACACTATACAATTATATTAATTCTAGCTATAGCTAGGTAACTTACTGGTCTTCTGAAGCAACCAATGAAAACCAAATAGGACAGTTTTCTCTGTTACCCCTGCCCCGAACTGCATCTAGCATAACTTGGGCTGAGGCAGAAATCTCAGGAGCTGCAGCTCTTTTCTGACCAGCTGAACGCACCCTTCTCCGCCTCACTTGTCCTGGAGGCACAACATTTTCATCCTTCTCATCTCCAAATTTTGTTTTATGTCCGTTATCCTTGTTTTTGGTTTTAGACATACGTAATTCACTAGGGACAGAAGCAGAGGGTTCTGATTTGCCTGTAATTTCAGGCACGCTTAGTCCACCATTGGGAGTAGCTGGAGGCTCTGATTTGGCAAGAGACAGGCCTTGTGAAGTTAACTTTGAGGATTTTGTTCTGTTGGCAGCTTCAACAAGACAGTTCAAGGGCGTCCAGAGATCAACTTTCCCTTCTGGAAGGTCCACATTGTTCTCTGCATCTTCGTTTGGCCTATTCTTCTTAGAAGGCTCAGCTGTGGAAGAATCCTACAACAACGCAATAAGAGGAGATGGTTACAAGAAAGTAAAGATTTTTTCACCAAGCATGCCGGTAACTTGTGTATAAATTCAAGTCCAAACCTTGAGTCATAAAATAACAAAGCCCCAGGTCCTATGACCCCACCTGACCTCTATTTTGAGAATTATATTAGATAAATCAGGTGAGCTTGAGCTTACAGGGTTATCCTCGGTATAGACTTCTTCCTTCTTTATGGATTCATGAACAGCAAAATTGCATCCGCGTAAAGCAGCAGCCTTTCTTGTACCAGTTTTTGTTCTCTTTCCTGTGAAGCCAGTCTGCATTGAAACTTTAGGAGCAGAAATCACCAATGATGAAAGTGATCTTTCCTTCCTTTTTACTGGCAAAGGTACTGAAGGTAATGCCTCTGGCGCCTTAACCTTTCTTCGTCTCAAAGGGAATATTTTGGCTCTAATATCTTGCAAATTGTGATCTGGCCTGAATATTATCATTAGGCACACATGATTAATTGTATATAGATTTTATAAAAATTTATCAGAAAAAAGTTGTGCTAGTTTAAAATACAGGATGAACAAAAGGGTAGCAAATTGATTATCCCTTATTGAGGAAGGAATCAATCTACCAGAAGTTATCACATTTAGCTACAATACAAATATCAGTATTCACCAATAATTATATGGCATAGATTAAATACTTCATGCTTCTATGAATAAAAGCATGCGAGATAAAATGCAGAAATAAGATATGTCCTCAAAGCACATGCTACGCCAGTAGGCTGTCTTCGCACGTTAAGCAGATAGTAAAAGAATGATTCTCATGAAAATAAAACAAAGGGGGCTGCTAAATGAAAGTATGGGGGTAAATGTCCAGGTAGGTCACTAATCAGACAGTTATTTGTTACACTACTCAGGATAGATGCAGTAGAGGAAAACTTAAGATCTGGGAGAAGGTGTCAGGTAACCACGGACACCACAAGAAGACAAATAAGTTGCAGGCATTCACAGACTAAGGATGAAGAGCAGAAAAAGGAGATCAGTCTATAAGCAAAAGGACATTCTTAAATCTCGAATGCCAACAAAAAGGCAGTAAGAAGGGGAACAGAAATGAGCAAAATTCGTACAAAAAAGATAGTAAGATTTCTATAATCAGGCAGTCCGTAGCGTGTTTGTTCCGTTCAATTCAAATTCCTCATAAACCACACATATTTGTACAACTAAATTAGCAATAACGAACAACAACAGACCTCAGTTTTTCCACCGGAAGACAGCCCAAGTCAATATTGCATACTGGACAGCAATCTGCTTCCTCATCTGAGAATCTCTCGTATATGCATTTCCTGCAGACTGGTACAGAGTTCAATGTTAAAGGTATTTTGCCAAATATCATTTGATGAGCCAAACTATGCTATCAAAAGAAAGGCAAGTGGATGGAATTCATTACTGCCGTATAAACAAAATTTGCCATCAGATCTGCAAAAATCGAGCATATTATGAAATTTTGCGGCAACTACACTTCCTTAAGAAATTGCATAACTGTTCCACACTCCCCCTTAGATTCCATCGGAGAATTCAATAGAGCAGATAAAACAATCCTTCCAGATGGAAGCAAAAAAGGATTTCCTTCAGTTTGCTAAGTTTAACACTGTAATGATGACAAACATTAATTGCATCCATACCATCAAGATGGTTTATGTTAATTATGCCTCAGAAAGCCAAAAAAGGTTGCTAGGTTAGATACTCATACTACAATGGCAACAAAAAAATTGATGTCCTTAATAACAACATCGTTTATATTAAGAATGTCTCATTAACTTATATCAGTAGTAGTGAAGAACCGAAGATGGGGGATGGCAATCCTACGCGTTCCATCTACACAAAAATATAGGAAATGAGCTCAAAAAATGAAAGACGCATGAACTAACACAATCAAAGTTTCTCCTTTCTTTTGATCACCCAAAAAATGAAAATCTCCTTTCTTCAACAGTCAAATCTTAGAAATCCAATTAACCAATTGAAAAACAGCAAAGGATATTAACCTCAGGTGTTCCGTCACTGTATAGATATTACAGTAAAACGCTCTCACCATGCTAAAATATGAGGTCACAAAATGTTTTCGCGAAAGTAAATTAGAATGCATACAATTGTAGTCGTTCAAACAAGAAGGAATTAAGGAACCACATTGAAAGCCCAAACCCTGAGAAGCATGCTGATTGACTAATTATTCCAAGGCAACAGCAAATTAAAGAAATATAAGCGAAAAGTTCTACAAATGACACAGCGCTGAGCTGCTACGACGTCCAAATTTTGAAGCACAAAATACATAGCATAGAGACGCCTAACATCATCGAAAGCGCCGCAAAATATAAAATTTCAATCAAAATCATAATCAGAAGAGAAGTCAAAGCCATAGATAACGTAGTCGCAGGCCAGAATCAATCCGAACCGCTGTACGCAACGCATGAAAAAACGAAGACGAAAAAGAATCCGAAGAGCGGAAGAAGTAAGATTGTTGGTGCGTAAAACGGAAGAGAATAGGAAAACCTACACGTATGAAGGCAGAGAGAGATGGTAGTAGCATCCTTCAACAGTTTATGACAAAGAGGGCATGTCATGCACGCTTCCAGCTTCTCCCTCCCCACTTTGACCACCTGGCTCGCCATTATTCAGCTAAAACGGATGCTCAGAAAGGTGCATTCGAATCCAAAGCGAGAGAAGGCCGAAGATCGTAAGAGATAGTTTACAGAGTGGGTTGGTTGAATTGTTGTGGGGTGTAGTGGACGTGGAAGAGGAGTGGATCCGAGGGGTGGAAAAGGTTGAAAATTGGATAGAAGTGAGGAAAATTACGAGGCGGATTTGTTAGAACTTGGAGAGAGGAAAGAACAGCGAGGGGAATTGCTGATGGGGGCGTTGAACGAAAGAGCATGAAGAGAAAACAAGACCTGCAAGGAAAAGCTTTTCGGGCGTGTAATGCGAATACCTCACCCTCATCTCATGGTCCGACAATTACAATTGTGAGGCACTGTGCCTCAAAGTGCGGCTATTGGACATCTGTGAAGCAACCTCCTTTTTTCCCCCCCTTTTTTTCTCCTTGTGTGTGGCCAAGTACTGAAGCAACCTCCTTGTTTTTCACTTCTTTCCCTCTTCCGATCACACTTGTGTCCTGTTTGCTTACTTTTTGCGACTTCTATCCGCATATGACGTGTAATTACTAGTAATTTTCTTCAACAGTACTAATGCTTGGATCCATGCCCAAGACGTATACGTACCTGTCTACCAACTCAACCAATTCTGTTTAGTTTGCATGAGTTGCGGTCATTTATGCTTAAATTGTTATTTAAATTAATCAGCTAAGGTAATTTCTGAAATTAGATTTTCATTTAATTTGGAATAGGCGGGTGAAAGAAGAATTTAAGACATTTATGAGCACATAAAAACGGAGCGTCGGTTTGTGTTAAATTCAGTGGATATAGATACGACGGAGGGATCACGACCACGGGGGGGCGGGACTGCTCTTGATTTCGTCAAATATTTAAGGAGAGTTCGACGCGCGCAAAATGCGTTAGCTTGGTAGGAGCTAGGAAGCGCGCCAAGCTGAAGTCGGGTCGCTCTCACAAGAAAACCAGGGGATGGTTTCTTCGTTCAAACCAGCGACATGTACAAGTTTCCAAATCAAGCGGAATTTGGTTTTGATTTGAGATAAATTTTTTCAGTTTTTTTCCCCTAATTAAGGGACGTGGTACGTAGCCAATAACTATAACCCCGATTAACTACTAATAGGAAAGTCCTTTTCCTGCCACACACGCACACAAACTAGATTTTCCTTCGACCAGGCAAAGCTCAGGCATGTAATCATGAAACGATATATCAATGCCGGCTGCTTGATTGCATTTCTTTCCCGGCAGCTCAATTCCTCTAATATTTATGGGTGGTGGTAACAAGCTGATCAGGAGACGAGGAATTAGTGATGGCAAAATACATGCATATAAATATATACATGCATAGTATTATCTTTGATCCTAATTATAAGGACTAGTTGACTAATTTGAGAAGATTAAGAGAAAAAAAAAGTTAAGTTATTTGTCATAAATAGGTGTTATTTTTCCTAAATATCTTTACTAATCAAGTTTATTAGTTAGAATTATCATTATTAAAATGACTATTTTAGGGAAAAAAAATATAAATATGAAAGATAAAGTAGATTAGGGTTTTATAATTAAAACTAAAATAAAAATCAAATAAGATCTTATATTAAGAAACGGAGGAAGTATATTACTCCTCCGGTCCTTAATATAGAACCCAATTGGTGAGTTGGTTTTGGTCCTAAATATAAGACCCATTTCTCATATTTATCAATTTTCTCTAAATTACCCCTATAGATACTCCCTCAATCATAATCAAGTGTAGAAGAGGGAGAGGGGTATTAAGAAAGATGATTGTGGTGTTTTAGGAAAAACGTGTCACATTTTTTATAATTAACTAACTTACCTAACTTCCTTAATCTAATCAAATTAGTTAAATGGGTCTTATATTAAGAACCGGAGGAGTATTATCGATCGATTGGTTTTTTCGGTCCTTACGTGCATCATAATTAAGCATCCCTGGTGGAAGGCCGAAGAGGTAGCGACAAGTGAAGAAGGAATGAAGAAACACAGGCGGTGTAATTACGAGTAGAATGAATTCGCTAAGCCAGCTCTTGGCGCTCTCTAGATCAGCAGAGTGCTTTTATTATACTAGAAGACATGGAGGCGAGGAGTGAATACAGTAGAGAGGCTTATTAAATTATTAACGCAGACGAGATTAGTCGCCGCAGTCAACGAAGTCGTAGTTGACCAAGAGATGACCCTGAGCGTTGCCATTGCCGTCGGTGTCCAGCCTCTGGAAGACTCCGACGTCCAGGTCCAGACCGCCATTGCTGCACTGATCCACAATCCTGACGGTCTGCTGGGAGCCAGTGCGGGTGTTGGTGACTCGGAGGCAGCGGCCGCAGGCGGCCTGACCTTGGGGGCCGACGGGGCCGCAGAAGGCGGTCCAGCCGTATTTGCTGCGCCAGGAGAGGGGCTTGGAGGCGTCCCAGGTGGAGCAAAATGCGCTGACGGCCATGAGGTCCCAGTCATGCTGCTCCGGCTGGTACATGTGGTAGGTGGCCCTCACATTGGTGGCGCTCTGTGCCCAGGCTACTCCCACAGCGCTCACCACGCACAACGCCCACAGTACACTGCTCACGCTCGCCTTCCCCATGGATGATCAATGATGGATCTCTTGTGTGTTTTCTCTCGGTCGAATCTCACATCTTTCCCTCGGCTCCATTGTGCACTTTATATACAGGCCACCTCGCTCTGTCAAATTATCATATTGCCCCTCCCTTGCCTTCACATTGACACGTCACTCCTCCCTATTCATTTGACTCCACCCCCTTCTACGAGTCAAGCTGCCATACCGACTTCCCTTCACACGCATCTCTATTATTGCTGCTTTTCTTCAAAACGCGGCCTCCTCTGCTCTCCCGTCTTCCCCACTCATCAATGCCCTCAATTCAACACAGTCCTGCCTCTAAAAGTCAGTCGCTATTTACGCTTTCTTCGTTTGAAGTTTTATTAAATATTAAATAAAAGGGAAAAAATGGAAAAAAAAATAATGATCAATCATACAAAATACGAGTATATAATTTTTGTTTTCTTATTAATTAATCTGTGTATTTCTTCACGATGAAAAGAAATAATAGTACGAAGTAAGCAGCTGGCTAGTTACAAAGTTGTGAAATTACAGCTCACTTCATGCGAGTGGTTTTAACTTTTAACTTGCGCATAATGCACGATGTCTTATTTTGTCACCCGTTTGACTTAATCGTTATTTTATTAATTACTTGCATTGGCAGCGTTAATTTTTCTCTTCACAAATATAATCACGTGAATTAGATTTTTGTTTCATTTATATCTTTAACATTTTTATACAATTTCTGATGCTGTGCACAGGTTAAATTAACTAACTAATAATGATTTTATCTTCAAGCCACTATCAAAGTCTAATCATTCCGAAATTAGCTATAAAAGGCATGCAGCATAACACGTGATCACTGACGTTGAAGTTTGAAGCTCTCGTTTAATTTCACCTTCATATGCTGGCCAGACAGAAACTTACTTTCATATGTCTATTTTATTTATAATTAAGAAAACTAAAGTGAGGTCGTTAAGGTAAATCACAAACCCCAATTGATTACAAAACAATTGAATCGCACATTTAATTAGACCGCGTGTGGCCAAATTGATCATCCCATTCCACGCAAATCACAAACCCCAATTGATCTCTTTTCTCGCTTGGTTAACCTCCAACGGGAGAGGCCGTAACTACATTATCTGAAAACCAATTGATATTTATCTATATATATATATATATATATATGTTAAAAATAGTTAATATATAAGGCAATTATAACTTCAACGTGTTAGGATATGAGGGGGACACGTAAATACGACAGAATAAGGCGGGACGACGATCAGCAGCCGGTGAAGGATCTTCAACCTGTATGGGTTACTTCGATTCCGGAGCTTATACACCAGATCAGTCGCATGATTGCAATGCATGGCCCGTAATATAAACGCACATAATAAAGCGTACCGGAGAAAACCGTGCTTAGCTTCCGGGAAGCATTTCAATAATTGAGATTGAAATTGAAATCCGGAAAACTCTCTTCCTGATACATATCCTCGCCGGCGTCACATATTTTTGACTGCGTCTGAGGTTTTTCTGGTAGTCACAACAGCGGTTCATTCAGGGCATTGTGGATATAGACCCCTCACACTTATTATTGGCATGGTAAGTCATTTTCAGCGCAAGTTATGCAACATCACGCGGCTTCCACCAACTTGCTCTTACCATCCTGCCCGCCATCTTCATTGACCGCTCCCCAGCTACACACTTTGAAGCTTCCATGTTGACTTTTCAACGATCAGTTGTACGTACGGGAAACAAACACTCATCAAGAAAATTCTTACACGCACACCATTCTAGACGGTCTACCCATACTCAAACATATACATACGGAACACAAAACCACGGACAATGGAACCATTTATATGTGAAGCCGCTGCTGATTGAGACGGGGTTAACTAGATTGTCAGTAACTACAAATAAATATACGGGGATCAATATACCCTAAGCACGAATACATGTACGATCGCCAAAAAAACTCCACGTGTCCGTGTTTTATTCAGATCCATGGCAAAAAAAACAAAACGTCGTCAGGGAGCAATCATGATGAGTGTTCTTTTTGACTCGAAATTTCGGGACCTCACCACTCATTCACATTTGGATCGATCCCTTCTCCTGTATAGACTCCAGAGCAGCGAGCTTTCTGACTTCTATAATTTAGACCGTACGCACGTATGGCATTGATGTGGACCCAACACCGAGTCTACGATCTTCGTCGGAATATTTATTTCCCAATCAAAACACCTTGTGGGAGAATATTACAGATTAGGAGCCTGTTTGGTTAAGTGGTGGGATTTTAAATAAGCCCGTTTAAATTCAAATAAGTGCTTATGAAGCATATTTAGGGTGTTTGGGTGATTTTTATAAAATCCCGATGAATCGTGATTTTAACCTTTCACCGCACTTTTAGGATAAGCAATAAGAAGTAGCTTTTGCGTTTGAAAAATCCCGATGAATCTTTAGTAACTAAATTTTCTCTAATCTACCCCTCATTCTAATAGTAATTATTTTAATTTTTTTTATATTTTCATTCATCTCTTATTTATATGGGGTCTTTTATTTAATATTTGTACTACACATAAATTTTGTAAGTGATTTTAAATAATAATAATTTTAAAATAAACATAATATTTAAATATTCATGTCATTTATTAAATTATATTTAATAAAATTTATTATTAAATATAATAATTATGAAAATGTAAACAACTTTATTAACTTCATGTCCTTTTTAGTAATTATACACCCATAAGTGATTTTAATAAATAAAAACCAAACATAATAAACAATTCTTAAAATCACTTATAAAAAAATATTCAAACATAAATCACGATTATCTAAAATCACAGTTGTTCACCGCTAATCCAAATGGGCACTAAGACACATCTTATCGTTAAATTTTTCATTGAAACTAAATCAAGATTTTTGCTGGTAATTTGCGTGATTTTTTTTACCGATATCATCTATATAATTATGGATCTGTTTGGAATGACAGTGAAAAAACAGCTTATTTTTAATTTAACTTTTAGAAAAATAATATTGGGTAAAAATTAAATTGGATAATGTCAATTGTGTTGGATTAGATTTTAAAAAGGTTAGTTTATAACAACGAGGTTGGTAAAAAATTATTTGAAATGTGATTGAGTAAAGATAAGTTTGTTTGGGTAAAAGAAATGGGACAAATATGTCGTCCTTCTCTCTCCACTTTTTTAACTCTATAAACTGCAATTTTTAACTTTGGGCTTAAGTATGAGCCTATTTGGATCAGTGTCTGCTAGCCCAAACGTGGCTTGAAACAAGGAGAAGCCCAATTTAAAATGAAGGTGTTGTTTGGAAGAGCTTATATTGTATTGGGCTCATGAAAATATAAACTATCTCACCATGCAAGCCAAAGAATGAAGCTTATTTTTCAAATATGAAGAGCTTATTATTTTTTTGAGGTGTCAGGAATTTTTTTTATTCCTCTTTCTCTCCCTTCTGGCAATTATTTTCCTGTGAGTTCTTCACTTATTTTCTTTATTCAGAGCAATCACCCACGAGCCGTGAGTTCTCATGCCGTTGTGACTATATTGACCCCTACTCTGGAGCCTCTTTGAAGATTTTCGAGCATTCAGAAAATGACGGGACATGACATAAAATTAAAAAACAAGTTGGTGTACTCACGGAATACTAGAAGTAGTATTCGAAATATTTAAAATATTTTTTATCTCAATCCTTTTTTTTTCATCTTTCGCTTTATATTTATTTTTTTATGATTTCTTTAAAATTTTAAAATTCAATTCACTCATTAAATTTGACTTCTTCATATTAAATTATTTTAATTTCATTGTACTATGTGAAATCAATTCTTTTTATCATGTTTCATTATTTATTAAAACTCATACCCATTTTGATCATTTTACAACGGAACTTACTTTTAGTCAATCATAATTCAAACAACTTTTTATCAATCTCACTTTTGTAAACTAGCTTTTCTGAACTCCAATCCAAATACAATTCAGCTTGTCCAATTTAGCTCTTGTCTATCTTCATTTCTTCATAAGCTACTTTTCTAATTGTTGATCCAAGTGGAGCCTGTGTGATTTTGGCATAAGCTCTTAATTTTTTAAGCTCTTCTGAACACACTCAAACATATTAAAAGCCAGAAACTACTTAAAAGCCGCTTAAATGTGGCTCCAAACAGGCACTATATTGCCAGCACCGTCTTTACATAGATGATTGGAATGGTTTAAAAATCGTATTATCTCTACTTCTTGAAAAGCAGGAGGGTTCTATCAAAGTGGGATCTAATGTGATCCCTGGTTGGCCCTGGCTAATGTACATATCCCTGCTCTGTATGTCATGCGACAACTTTCAGAAACTCCCTGCATGCGTTAATTATATTAGTTAATGTCAATTTATGCCTATAGTTCGACTTGTATTTAGGATAAGAGGCAGGATTACTTACGAATTCTTGTCTCTACACCGCACTGGAACGGAGCAGACGAAAGGTGAAGAGTTGAGGAGTCCCGTTGGAATTGATTTATATGGGATAAGGGAACCACGTGTGCTCGATCGCTAGGTAGCACGTGGCAATAATCCGAGCCATGGGCCCGCGGCTGCTTTCACCCCCGGGGCACGAGTGTACACGTATGATGATAGGCTCAAAGTTCGCACATTCGCATCTACACATAACCATAATCAGCCTACTTTCGAATTCAGGGGATCAGCACTGAACACGTAAACCAAAACAAAACGTCGTCAGGGAGACCAGTAATGGCGGGTATTATATGACTGGAAATCTCGGGACCTTAGGTGCAGCTCAACAACATTTGGGTTCCCTGTTCATGGAGACATACAGAGAGAAGCAAGTTTTGTAACTTCCATATAGTCAAAACCTGTAAAAAGACAATCATACGCAAACGTGTGATAAGAAACTCCTGTGAAAATATATGTTGATTGCAGAATTTGTTAAAATGTAGAAAACAATTCTGATTTGAATTTAAGTTTTTTTTTTTTTTGGGAATTTTTCCTTAAGATGGGGGCAGGGTATGGTTATTGTTAGTTTGACCTTTTCTGATTTCTCATTTAGAAATTAATACATGCAGCGCACCGA